TGGCCATCAATTAGTGAATGAGGGTGAAAATTGTTTTGGCAATTTAACAGATATTTACACCTTTCGCCTAATGGAGTGATAGAGTTGGTAGTTGGTTATTGTGTTTATTTGCTGCCACTATGATTCACATTTTGCGTGGCATGTTGCATGTTTTTTGGGATTTCCGAAATTCCCCTGAAGTTGCCATGAAACAGGCAATTAAACAAATGCCTAAGAAGGGATACCGTTAGTCGTAGTCTCCAAAAGGTTTCAAAAGGCCCCCGGGTGATATTCTTGGGCCCTCTTTATTTGCGGCTTTTTAAGGCAAACACGCCTTTGAGTTCTAAGCTCTCCTTTCTTTCTGGGGCCCAAATGTGCCTGGCACATGTTGGACACAAGCCCTTGGAGCCGCCGGTCCGCCTCCAGACGCCAATTATGCAGCCCGGTCAAAGGATGCGCCTCCTGGACACAAACTGGGCAGGATGTTAGAAGCCGTCGGCAGTCGAGGTCCAAGGAAAAGTGCAAAGGAGACTGCGCGCAAAAGCGAAAGTTGGGCCCCAAACTTTTTGGCCAGCGGCCTTAACGGAAATGGAAATGATCAGGGGGTTTTGGGGGGATCTGAAGCTGGGGATCTGGTGATCCTAAGATCTTAAGATCTCGCAACGGGCTGGGCAATTAGGCAGCGCCTCTCGGACGTGAGCATTAAATTTCCAACTGAAAGTGGCAGATCCATCAAAAGTGAACGCAATCCATCATCTGGCGAATCACGGCGTGATGAGAGCAGCGCCGACAAGGCCCCCAACTCGCGATCCCCATCCTTATGGCTTATGATGATGGCCAAGAGAATGGCGCGTTCGCAGCACGAGCTAAAAGGCTCCAGCTCCACCGTTAGATAATCGATGCTTGGATGGTTGGTTGGTTGAGAGCGCTGCTCCAAGGTCACATTTAATTGCAGCCAGTTCAAGACACAGCCACCGATTCCGATTCCGATTCTTTCTAATGCCGCCTGGTCTACTTTCGCAGCTCCGAAGCGACCTGCCAGCGGCAATTAAAACAATTACAGGGACTCTGGGTCTGAATCTGTATCTGTATCCGAGTTTGAGTCTGGGCTGCCCAGAAACCTCGGAGCCCGAAGAGGCTTTTCGCTGGAACAGCACGCCCATTAGCGACAATCAATCTCGGCCACGCTGCAGCGCAAACCAAACTTCGAGGCCCAAGACTTTTCGGTTTTATATTTTGCCGCGAATCGTAGTTTTTTCCCTCTTAGTTTTTATTATTTACGAATGCCACTTGCCAGATAACCCATAATTATGAAATTATTATTGGAGCGCCAAGCGGCGACGGCAGCGAAATGTATCTTTGTATCTCCGGAGCGACGGCGATTCTGTGTGTGCCGTCGGAAAAGCAGAAATCATTTCGAGCCGCGGCGGCACAGGAAGTTTACTCGGTGCCCCGGGCCGTGGAAGTTGTACAATATATAAAAAATATACTTTGTGTGCCGAAACAGCCAAAACGTTCAGTGTCCACCTTTCGACTTTTTAACTCGATGAAGAAATTGAGATACCAGCGAAAATAAATAAGACTACCTCGCCAAGGAGCCCAAATGAGGCAGCCGAAAACTTTTAATAAATTATATGCAAAACTGCCGCTGGGGAAATGGCGAACAAACAAAGTGTCCAAAATGCAGCGGGAAAAGTGAAGTTTCAGCAGGAGAAAACAAATGTTGGGCGTTCTAGGAACTGCAACTCCGTTTTTTGAATATTTATAACCAGACTGGGGGATCCTCAGAGCCGAAGACCAACAGGATCCTGAGTCCTGCACATGCCGTTATGAGGGACTGCGGTCCTTGACTCCTCGTTTACTAATGTCCTGGGGCAGCTAAGCTGCTCGACAAGTTGGTCAATTTGAAAAAACGAATTTGTTTATCAATTGAAAGACTTGGCTAAAATTAAATAGAAAACAAGAGAGAACGCTATAGTCGGGTGCCCCGACTATCAGATACCCGTTACTCAGCTAAAGGGAGTGCGAAGGACATGAAAATAAAAACTTTGATCCGCTGTAACTTTTTAACGAATGGTCCGATTTAAAAAATTTCTTCTACATTTCGATAGGTATTCATAAACACAATAAAACTGCATTTTTACTTTTCCGAAATATTGAAATTCTAAAAATCGTATATAAGCGATTGTGGGCGTTAGAGGGGGCGTGGCACCCTTTTGAAACAAACTTGCGCTGCGTAGGAACTCCTAGAATCTGCATGCAAAATGTTAATCTTCTAGCTTTTATAGTTTCCGAGATCTCAGCGTTCATACAGACAGACAGACGGACAGACAGACGGACAGACGGACAGACGGACATGGCTAGATCGACTCGGCTAGTGATCCTGATCAAGAATATATATAGTTTATAGGGTCGGAAACGCTTCCTTCTACCTGTTACATACTTTTGCACGAATCTAATATACCCTTTTACTCTACAAGTAACGGGTATAATGATTTTGAAGGGAAGTACATAAATGTTCAAAATGAATAGTCAAAATTTAATCGTCAAAGTTGTAGAACACTAAAATGCAGAATTCTATGTAATTTTTTTAAAAGCTTCAAAATATTAAATTAAGGACATTTGTAGATGGAAATGTATACCCTTGAGCTTAGCTTGTTTAATAAATGTGATGATAACCTATATAAAACTCGCTTAACAAAATTAAAGAAATCTAATGTATACATTTAATTAACCACTAATTTGTAGAAGTATTCATTAATTTTACTAGAAATGAAAGTGTTTTGCTTAGATCTGACGATCTCATCTGAGTTAAAGATGTTATTAAAAATATAAAAACACGTTTTTAGTTGGAAATGTATTCATTTATACTTTATCAAAAAGTTGTGGAAAAAACTCTAAATAACTTTTAACTTAATCTGACATTAAGAACATTAAACTCAAAATAAAAACATTTGTGCTTCAAGAACAAATTATCTCAATCGAAGAACAATGTGCTTGGACTCTCTTTCTGTGATAGAGATAGATATGATATTAATAATCCTGAGCCTGGGTCGTGTTTAGTTTCAATTCGTATCTCGTATTTGATTGCTAAGAACTTTTGCTTAGGTTTATATTGAAGTATTAAAAACCTACTAAAATCTGGAACCCATTTTGGACACTTCGAGCCACTTGATCCTAACCACAAAATACCGACGGACAATAAAAAAATGGCGATGGTGCAGTGCGATGATGGAAAGGAGATGGCGGTGGGGCAAGGAAAAAGGAGCTCAGGGGTGGGGATGATACTTTGAATGCGAGCAAGAGAGAGATGTTCATCGGAACGCATGTTCTTTGAAAATTGCCCATAATTATGCGAACGAACTTCAAACTGATTGTTTCTACCGGCAGCAGCGCAGTCCCAGAACCGAGAACCGAGAACCGAGAGTCGAGAACCCAGAATAAGAATCGGAGCCCAGACTCTGGGCCTGGCTGGAACCCAACTCCATGGACCACGCTGTCCGAAAAACGCGCGTCCGTTGCATGCAACGTGGCTGGGATGGGATGGGATCGAGATCGGGACCATGGACATTGGCGAGGGTATGGGTATGGGCATGGGCTATGTGGAATAGCCCGCTTGGCTGCAGTGAAAGAGAATGACTGTAATTACGCATCACTTTTTCTTAATTTTTATGCTGTGCATCTTGCGGCCCGGCCCTTCCTCCGCGGGATTGCGAATGGGAGTAGGAATGGAGGACGGACGGATGGAGGGGTCCTCCATCTTGTCGCTTGGGAACAATTTGGACACTGAACTTGACCCACAAGACGGGTTTGCGGCTTTTTGTGGGGCTGAGTTTTAGAAAATTGCTCGTTTCGTTGCGTGCATGTTTCCCAAAATGCGAGCGACTCGAAAACATTTTGCGTGTTGTCTGTTTTCTGTTTTCTGCTGTTTCCTTCAATGAGAAATCTAATTTAAAAGATACAAATTTTAAATTATGGGGTTTTCTTGGCTGCCAAAAATGTTTTCGATGTTTTTTTGTACGTCTTTTCTCCCTCTTCACATATGATTGCTTCTACGTGCTGCGAAAGACTCGCAAGCATATTGCGATTTCTTGGCGGAAGTGCTGAATGTCAGGAGTGGTTGTCTAGAGAGTGATTGCATAACAACAATGACGGCAAAAAAAGCGATAAGAACAAAGGGTGCTCACCCACCAAGGAGTATCACTCAGTCGAAACATTTATTCCAAATGAAATATTTGTTGATTTTTAATTTTCGCGGTCTTTCTGAACCCTGCAGTGGTATCGATAAGTTGGGTATCTCCTCGATCACATCACTATGCGCTCAACCAAAAAGAAAATATAAAACAAATACTTTTTAACAAATTTAATAATGCTATTAATATATAGTAAGAAGGTCTTGCGTTGAGAAGAAATTGATTGGGAATTTAATTAGTAGTTAATTTAGTAGTAGTTATTTTGCCCTGAAAATAAGGATCTGAATATTTCCTAAAAATTTAATTTTTCTAAGGTGCTTTAACTTGCTCAAAAAAGATACAAGCAAAACTTACAAATGTTTAAAATTACACAGGTGCTTTATGAACAGCTATATTTGAATTTTAGGGTATGGCAGTTAGTATGACTTTTTTTGGGCGATTAGGTAACTCTCTTAATAGAAAGCTGCCACCTAGTTGGAAAACAGTAGATTACACAGAAAGAAAAACGAGCTAAAATAAATTTAATAATTGTAATGTAATGTAATAAATACGTGAAAAACGATGAATCATACGACACGTACGCCACTTTGAATTTAGTCATCACAAATCGTTTTTTATTTGCAACCTTATTAAATTTGCTTGAATAATTGATTAAATAAGGGAGATCACAAATTTTTAAAAAACCTTCGCCACCTACAAATAATAAAGTTTTTTCAAAAGCCAACAGTACGTATGAGCGATAAACTATTTCAAGCGACATGTGTGTGAGGGCTATAATATCGGTATCGAAAACCATATGTTATTGTTTTCAATTGGTTGCCAGCAAGTGTTTTTGTTTTAAAAAGCAATGTTTTTGATGTAACCGCTGGCATGGACACCCCAGAAGCCATGGAGGAGCTCGCCAGCGTGTCCTTCGGCGACTTTGAACCAAAGTCCGCCGAGGGGGACGTGTCCTGCTACCAGAACTTCCGGTCGCAGGCCAAACATGACATCTCGCTGGACCTTTCGCTCGGCCAGAAGGCGGAGAACCTGTTCGCCGCCGACCAGACGCCCACGCCCACGCGCCTGATCAAGAACTGCGACGAGGTGGGCCTCTTCGACGACCTGCAGCACGTGAATCCCTTCGACATCGGCTTCCAGCGAGCGGCGGAGCAGAATGTCAGCGGCACTCCCAGTCGCCCAGAGGCGCCTCCCCTTGACGGGGAGTCCCTGCACACGCCACAGGTGTACCCGCTGGAGGCCCCGGCTCCACCTGGTAACCCGGTCACCCGGAGCGACAGCTGCAGCAATGTGGATGTGGAGCAGCTGCTGGCCAGCACAGGGGACACTCCACCCGAGGTGGACACCCCAGAGGGTCCACCGCCGCTGCAGTTGATCCAGCCGCAGCTCATCACCTGGGTGCTGCCTGCCCAGTCAGTTGCAGTTCCCCTCGCCGCAACGGAATCCCACAGGAGAATTCGCCCCTACATCCTGCCCAAGCCCACGGCGAACGAGGGGCCACCCAGGACCAGTAGGAGACCCGAGCCCATACTGGTCAGCCAGCCTGCCCACGAGCCCAGTAGCGCCAGCCTGACGCCCACTTCACAGCTGCCCATCAAGGAGCGACTAAAGGCCATCCTGCACAGCAGCAACAACAACAGACGCAACTTCGCCACTCCGTGCAAGGCGGCGAAGGCGAAGGATCGCAGTCGGGACGAGGACTGCATGGAGCGGCGGAGGGCAGCCGCCTCCCGCTACCGCAACAAGATGCGGAACGAGCACAAGGATCTGCGCAAGCAGAACGCCCAGCTGCAGCAGGAGAACCGGGAGCTGCACGAAAGGATCGCCAGGCTGGAAAAGGAGCTGCAGCAGCACAAGAGTCACAGCGGTAGGCCTAGCACATCCCCTCCTGAATCGAGCTAATCTATCCTATCTTTTCCAGTGGCCAACCAGCTGCAGATACCTCCATCCAGCATTCACCTGCTCATCAATGTGCCCAATATGTTGGTGCCCAGTGCGGATAAAAAGTAATCGACGTGCCTTGTTTATCTATCTATGTTCCAGTGCCATGTAAATAATCCTAGCTTAGACAATTATCTGTACAGAAAGGCCTCAATAAGCTAATAGTTAAGAAAGATTGCCCCTAGCCGTCGTCTCTGTGGTTATGATTTCCGTAAACTCGCGCTGGATTTCCAGAATGGAGTTCTCGATGTCCACCAGCTGGGGATTGAACTGCAGCGATGAAGTTGCGGCGGGAGTGCGCAGCTGTTCCATGGTCATCTAGAAAGGAGAAAGGCGAGCTTAGGGATAACAGAACCTAATCTATCATACATCACGCAAGTTCCTCTGCAGCTGATCGCGCTGACTGCAAAGCTTCTGGATGTTGTCGTAGTACTTCTGGGCCAGCGGAGCACCCTGCGCCTCCGAGTAGTAGCGCTGCGCCAGGAGCTCCATCTCCTGGTTGCGTATCTCGTCCTCGGCCAGCTGCATTTGCTGGTTGTGGCGCCGCCGCTCCCGCTCGATGCTGTGCATCAGCAGATCAATCTCCTTTTCCATCTCCAGGACCTTGCGCCGCTGCTCGGACTCCTGCAGCTTGGTGATGACCTCGCTCTTGCGCCGACGCACCTCCATCTGGTAGGTGAGCAGCATCTTGCGCTGGCAGGTGATGCGCTCCTCCTCGCGGTGGATGGTGTCCTGGTACAGCTTCTCCATCTCCTTGAGGCGGCGGGCGTGCTCCTCCTGCTTGAGTCCGTTCTCGAGGCGCTCCATGATCTGCACCTCCTCCAGCTCTAAATGCCGGATGCGGGCATCGATCTCCTGGTTGTGCTTCATCAGCGACACCGCCTGCTCCTCCTGCTGGTCGATCCACTCGCTGGGATACTTCAGGAACTTGGGATACACGCCCTTCGGAATGGCGCTAAAGCGCTGCATGAAGCGTTGTGGGTGCAGGGCGAGATCGCACTTGGCCATCAGCCTGCGCGCCTTGGAAAGAAGCTTGCCGATGTCCACTGGATTCTGGTCGTGGAAGAAGGAGAGGATAGAACGCTTGTCCGGCAGCCGAACTATGATTTCTCGATGAATCAAGTTGTAGGCCACCACCAGGAAGACGGGAAACCAAGGCTGTTCCGAGACGATGTTGTCCCACAGCGACAGCCACTGGTGCTCCTCGAGGACCTCGGCGAAGGCGGTGCTCAGGAGGGGCCAGGCGAAGTCCTTGGCCACGACCTCCTGGGACTTGTAGAACTTGCAGAGCTGCTCGTCGCAGTGCAGCAGGATATTCTCGCACATGGCCAGGTAATTGGACGGCGGCAGCGGATGGAACTCGAACCACAACTGGAAGTGATTCAGGACCAGGGTGGCGACCACCTCGAAGGAAACCAGACTGTTCTTGGGCAGCTGCTTTACAAACGGGTAGATGAGGTGCGGCATGAAGTCCGCGTGGGCCAGGACCTTGCACCACTGGGCCAGGCAGCTCCAGATCTTGATCACCCCGCGCCGCTGGGCATCGTTGCGAATCTTGAGCTTCTTGGCCTGATTTCTGACCACCAGCGGTGCGCCCAGTTTGATGAGCGCCTGAAACTGCGGCCCATTGCAGGGGAGATCCAGGAGGGAGGTCCAGATGAGGAACCTGTACTTCTCCGGATAGCAGCCGTACTCCTTGAGCATGGCCCTCAGCCGCTCTGGCTTGAGCAGGTGCCGCAGTTCCTGGCTCACGTTGACACTGCAAGGCGGCAGTGGCTTAGGCTGCTTGAACGTCGCCTTCACTTGGTTGAGGCAGCGCGTCTGAGCCTGCAGAGCATTGAACAGGCGGCAGGTGGACCACACACTCACCTCCCCGCAGCGGGAGGTGACACTCAGCAGCTTGCCATCCCGACTCAGGCTCAAACTCATCGCATTGGAGCGCTGCACAATCAGCTTGTGGTCCGTGTTGCTCAGATCCAGCATAACGGCTTGGTTTCTGGCCGTGATTCCGAACACTATCCGCTCCTTTGGCTGCGCGAGAAAGGCCATTTGGCGGAGAGTGAAGTCGGTCAGACGATAGAGCTTCTCCAGGTCAAAGGAGGCCACACTAAGCATTAAAAGATAGCCGTCCAAGGTGCTCAGGCACATTTTGTTGCCATCGGGGGTGAAGCAGTAGTTGAGCAGCGATCCATCGGCAAAGTCGTGGTCCTGGCAGTCGAACGTCAAGTCCTCCTCCAAGTCGCTGTCATCCGGCCCACGCAGGACTATTTCCGGAATGGATTCGCCCGCTGGCAGGAGTCTGAGCTTCCGATTCCTGGCCTTAATCGGTTGGGCCATGCGCAGCGTGCTCAGCGAGTGCGAGGACCACACGTGCAGCGAGTCGTTGGAGAAGCCTATGAAGAACTGGTCCGAGTTGGGCAGGAAGGCGGCGAACTTGAGCGTGTAGCGCGACTCATCGAAGTCCAGCTGGTGCGAGACCTCCAGGCTGTGCAGGTTCACCAGGACAGCCTCGCTGCCGAACCGCATGAGGGCGTTCGAGGAGCGTGGATTCTGCAGTCGGTTGCTCCAGCTAATCTCCTCCAGAGCGGCGTTGCCCACCTCTCCGCGGGCGCCGAGCATCGAGTTGTCCACGTCTATGATGAACACCTGGCCCGTTTTGTTGCCCACAATGTAGTCGCTGGTGTGCAGGGGAGATGGGCGGATCAGCTTGGCCCTGGGCATCAGGAAGCCCAGGCGCCAGTAGCGCTTGTGCACAAAGTCAAAGACGAAGACGTTGCCTCTGTGGATTGAGAGGATCGTTAGGTTGCTTTGCTATTATGCCAGTCTTCCCATCCTTACCGCTTGTCAATGACCACCAGTTTGTTGCTCAGTTCGTTGAAGCAGCAGGCGGCTATCTGGATGCGCAGTTGCTGGCCCGCTTCCTTGACCGTGTGGTGTACGGTCAGGATGTTTCTGGAAGTACAAAGGTCCTTAGCTACCACTCCCCGAATCCTTTAAGGCTTAAACTAACCCACACTCGTTCTGCTTCAGCTTGAAGGGATACTTGCGCATTGGAGCATGACTCAGGGGCAGACTGTGCGCAGTCTCAGCCTGTGTGAGCGTCACATCCGAGTCCTCGGTGTCCACATCCTGGTAGGACGAGATCTCCAGGTCCGCCTCCGTCCAGTCCTCGTCCTCCTCCAAGTCCGTTTCCCCATCATCGCCTGCTTCCTCCAGCTGCGCGTTTTCGATGCCATGGAGGCTAATAGAAGGAATTCCCGTGATCTCCTCCTTCTTTATTTCCGTTTTTACAATCCTATCCATTTTATGAGCGGTAACAAGGGCTCGGCATTGAAAAAAGTATTGCCATCGGCGTAAGGATACTTCAAAAAAAGAGTGTTTGAAAACTTCCTAAATCACTTAATTGAGTCCTTCTAGTTTTTAAAAAATTAATGACTGAAAACTGCCAGCTGATCCCTCCCGGCTACGCCCGTGAAATGAACCACTGCCTATCGAGGAGCGGCGCGATTATCGAACCAGCAAATGAACCGGAACCAGGACCACTAATATTTTACTACGTCTGTTTATTTCGTTTGCGTTTATGTTATCTGGATACACTTGATTATATGAGATTGGCTGATGACTGCGAAGAAGCGAACAGCATGCGTGCTTACGGATAAAAGTAACCTCGGGAGGTGATCCTCCTGCGCCGGCTACTGGGCGTAAAGTGCCTCTGTACCACGGATCCCCTCTAGAACATCGAGCCGTAGGGCTCGGCATCCCGCATGGCGTAGCCAAAGATGGTGCCGTAGTTGATAAGGTTGCTGATTATCGTCAGGATACTCGCCGTCCAGGTGATCTGTGCAGGAAGGCAGTGTGAGAAATCTTTAAGGATCACTTAGAATCGCGTAGAATCACTCACCACCGACGCGTGGGCGAGGACGATGGGCAGGGCGAAGGCGCTCAGCACCATGCCCGCGGTGAGGAAGAGGGCGAACTCCGACTTCGGATTGGTCTCGGTGCCCGGAGTCGTCCTCTTGGCGATGAACACGGGCAGCACGGACAGTGCGTAGAACAGCAGGACGAAGAAGGGATAGAATATCTTGGGGGTCGGCACGGCGCAGGCCAGGATCAGGAAGGTGAGACCCATGCATGTCGCAAAGGCGCAGATGATGAGGCTGCAAGGAAAAAGGGGAAATCGTTATCAGACGTTCACCTGCTGGGTGGGTGTAGACTTACGCTGCGGGGTGGTTTCCATTTCCGGAAGGGTGGAGCGGGTTCAAGGTGAAATGGGAAAGGGTTAGTCATTAGTTGCGCCTCGGTAGGACCTTGCATAATTACCCGTTAAGGTGGCCATTGTATTTGTTTATAATTTTTCCTTTGTCGCTAAAATGACTAAGATGTGTGGTTCCGGGCGAACTAGTTTATCAGTGGGGCCACAGCTTGACCGTTAAGAAATACCATCCGCCTTTGGTGAAAATACCGAAAGGTACTCAAAATACCGTTAAAAGAAAATTTAACTGAATTACTTTTTTTTACTTGGAGCTTAAAATTAAGTTTACTAATCTCTTAAATTAATATAATAATATATACATTTTAATTATAAGTTTGTTGTATATTTTATTTATAAGCTTATAAGCTATTTTGGTTCAGGATTCAGCTAAGCTTCAGCTTTCAGCTTTGCATATATTAAATATGTTTGAGCTTGGATTTGCATCCTTTCATGAATGGGTAATCAATGAAAAGAAGGGGAGGAATCGAGATAGGCCAATTCACTTTGACTATATTAATTTTTATATAAAGAACCCTCCATCGGCCTGATTTTATTTTTCTCTGCAAATCCCAACAATAAATGATAAGTTCTAAATATCACATTAGCCAATACCCACCTAGGATCGAGCTTAAGGATCCCTCATAAATCCCTCACCATTTCATTCGCTCGGGAGCAAAGCTCTTTGGCTGCCAATTCATTGATAAAAATAAAGCGCGCCCTATCCCAAGCGAAAAAGCTGCAGGAAAGGGAAGGCTCCTCGAAACTCAAAGTGGGGAGGGAGTGGGGCAAGTGGGGCTCGGAGATTTGTGAGTGGCAGCCACCTGCTAGCTGGCCAAGAGTCGAGTTCGGTTTTGGTTCGGGTTCTCGGCTCTTTATGAATGCCCCGTGTGTTTACTCAAAGAACGGACGTGCCGAGCTTTCCAGCACCACTCTGCGCAGGCGCCTCCCTTGTACTTGTAGCCCCTTTGTAGTTGTTGCTGCGGGGCCTGCCCTCAAAAGCTGCCCGCAACATTTAACAGCGCGGGGGCGAAACATAACATTTGCGTCACAGCTTCTGCTTCTTCTCGGGCTTTTTGCCGCCGCCAGGCTCATTCAGTTTCTTCAGTATAACGGTATACGTCCACGACGGAGCAACGCAGGCCAGGAGAAGTCGGAGGTCCCATCCGCATAAATACATCCATATGTCCATCTGAGGCTTTTCTCGCCTGCATTCTGTGAGAAAAGTGCAGCGTTTGACATTCCCGGCTTAACACTTAAGGGTTAAACTATTGAAAAGTGCCGTTAACTTACGCTATTAGCCCGAAATATTGCACGCCCACGCGAAAAGTTCACAAAAGTGCGGAGAGCAACCACCAGCAGCTGCCACTGGGATTTGCAGCAGTGTGTGTGTGCGCGAGTGTGGGAGTTGAAAATCAATAAGCCCGTCGACGTCGTCGTTTTGGCCAAAGCGCCCCATTAACCGGCCATATGGCAGTCGCGTTCGTGCTGCAGTGCTAGATAATTTCCATTTCCATTTCCACTCGCCTTTGCCAATTTCCACGCTCGGAACAAGTACAAGTACAAGAACAAGAACCAGAGGAAATTTCGCAAGTACAAGTGCAATTTGTGCCAAGTGCAAAAGATGGCGGCTCGCCTGGAAATCACCGTTAGCTTCGCACTCGCTGCAACGGTACTCTGCAGCATATTGGGTCATTGCGAAATGTCCGTTTACCCAGGTAAGCCTAAAAATAGCACACTACACCCATACAGGCTCAGTTCTTGGGTCTGAATGGATTGGAATGGCACTCAGGGGGGGAGGGGGGCCACCTCGTTTTGTGTATCCCCTGCACTAGATACATGCATAGTATATATGTGTCCTGCGAAGTGTTCCCGAATCAATTCAAAACACCCACGCTCTCCGCTTCGGCGAAAATTGAAAATCAAATGCAGAGTCGTTATAGATACTGCAGCTACTTTGGGGATAGTTGAAACTCTAGATATATAAAGTAATGAATTTGTATAGTAATAATATAACTTATTCCCGGAAATCCAAATAGGATATTTAATTTTTCATAGCATACATTTCGGGGATTTTTAGGGAAAACCTAGATCTCTAGATCTAGAAAAACCTCTAGAATCTACCTACGCAGCTACAATAAATAACTTCCTTGATTTGAGCGCAACAATAGCCCCATCCCCATCCCCATCTCCATCCCCAACCATCACGAAAACAACAAAGTGCGATAAAGTTTCCAAGCACGTCACAGGCCTCAGCTCCCATTTCCCGCTTCCCATTTCCCAGTCCTCCGTCTGTATGTTGGTCTCCCTCACTCCACCGCGATTGCTCGGCTTTGACCTGGCGCGTGTGTAATTGGTCTATTTTTAACCTCTGGCAATAAAACGGACTTTTGTTTGTCTATTTCGAATCCTTTCACGCTTTTCGGGGGGGCTGACCACCCTTCGACTGGTCTTTCTATTTCTGTTTCGACCTCACTTTGTATTTTCCGACCGCTGACACGCAGACCGCGGGCTCATTAACATTAGCGTAATCACCCTCGCCTGCGCCCACTAATCAATCCGAATCGGAATCCTTGCAGGACTGCGCCGCCGACCCATTCAGGCGCCAGTGATGGATCCGCAGAGCGAGTTCCTGTCCGCCTACCAGATGTACCAGCAGAACGCCCGTCGCCGCCTGCAACAGCAGTTCGACCAGCAGCTGCACGAGATCAACCTGAAGATGGACCGGCAGCGGCAACTCCTGGAGCGGGAGCGGTACCGCCAGCGGCAGCAGGAGCTCCAGGTGCAGCGCGAGGCGGAGGAGGAGGAGGGCGACTACGGGAACAATCTCAACCAGCAGTACGACCAGTACGACAACGCGGAGGCGGAGGCAAGCTACGGCAGTCCCATGGAGTCGGTGTCGGACGTCCAGAGTCCCCCGTTGTACCTCCCCCGCCTGCCCAATCTGCCGCCGCTGCCCAGCCTGGCCAACTCCCCGAACCGGAACAGCGTGCTCCGCGAGCGGATTCCCTTCGCCGTGGGTCCCAACGACGCGCGCTTCTTCGACAACCCCAACGATCCGTCGGGCGAGCTGGACTCCCGGGCCCTGGAGGACTACGAGGAGTACGCTCCCATTGAGCCCACCCCCAAGATTGACACCCCCGTGCCGGCTCCCGTGCCCGTGGAGCCGCCCAAGCTGCTGGACGCCGCCAATGCCAACTTCCACCGCATCAACCCGCAGTCCGTGGCCGCCGCAGCAGTGGCGGGAGTGAATCTTCCCCAGGCCAAGGACCAAACGCCCCACGAGCTCAACGCCCTGATCAACAAGCTGCAGAAGCAGAGCAAGGCGCCAGCCCACCTGACCCTGATCAATGGCGGCGATCCCGGCCAGGAGCAGATCGTCCTGCGCCAGCACATGGGCATGAACAGCGAGATGGGCGTGTACATAGTGGCCCTGATAGCAGGAGTCAGTGCAGCGGTGACCGTCGGTCTGCTGGCCCTCGGAGTGACTTGGTGAGTTAGCCAGAAAAGCTTTGAGTATTTCATTTAATAACCTAACCAATCCCCCACAGGTTCCACAATCGGCACAAGGCAGCCGCGGATGTGGAGTACCCCGCCTACGGGGTAACCGGACCCAACAAGGACGTCTCGCCCTCCGGCGACCGCAAGCTGGCCCAGAGCGCCCAGATGTACCACTACCAGCACCAGAAGCAGCAGATCATCGCCATGGAGAACCAGGCCACCGACGGCAGCTGCGGCATGTCGGACGTGGAGAGCGACGACGACAACGAGGAGGGCGACTACACGGTGTACGAGTGTCCCGGCCTGGCGCCCACCGGCGAGATGGAGGTCAAGAATCCGCTCTTCCTGGACGAGACGCCGGCCACGCCGGCCAACAATCTCTCGTCACAGCCCACTGGGGCGGCCCAGGCCTCCGCAGCCGCTGCGACCAACAACAACATCACCCAGGCCACTCCCCAGCAGCCGGCCACCCAGAAGAAGGGAACGGTCAAGCCGAACATGAATCTCCTGAACGCCGCCGCCACCGCCGCAGCCGCTGCAGCCGCCTCGGCAGCCGAGGAGCCCAAGCAGAAGCGCAAGAGCAGGAAGTAAGGTGATCGATTCCCTCTTGGGGCAATTGGTAAAGTTTGACTGATCCATTGTCAGCCAACAGACAACACATCCTCTCACACAGATTCAGCTGCAGATCAGACTAGGTGTAGAGCTATGTATGAATTCCTAACAGATACTCCGGGGAATTTAATTCCAGGAGCCGAGCAAATCACACACACGACACTCAGTCCACTGTCTCTATTCTTCCCTATATGCATAAGTCCTGTAATGTAATGTAATCGCATCGCTATGCCGTAAGAATAGCTCCCAGCACGCCTGAGCCACTGAACCGTAAGACCCCGTGAGTCCACCTACCCCCATTCCCATCCCCCATCCCCTTCCACCCTCTTTCCACCCGCTGTCAGTTGCACAACGCTGCTCTGATTCTATTACGATCCGGCATGTGTAATTCTGTTTTGCGTGGCAGCCGAGTTATTGTATATCAAACTTTTTGGTCTCTGCGATTTGTTTAAGGTCTGGAGAGGAGGGACAACCAACCGAGGCAAACTAACATATTATATTATTATAAATATATGTATACACACACATACATATTTATATATAGATATATATTCATGTAATTATTGTATTATATACACACGGAGGCGGACACCTTTTTACTTACCTGTCTGTGTGGTGTACTATGTACTATCTTTTCTTATTTTTACTACGCTTTGTGATCGATCCTAAATTATCTGTGTCAATTTAGAAATACAATTCTGGTAACCAACCTGTATGCATGCAAACATATTTAGAGGAGACGCGACTGGAGGAGAGGAGAAGAGGATTATTTACAAGTAAAACTTAACAATAATTTCCCTGCACATTCATGTAAAGTAAATGAAAAACGACTGATAACACACAAAGATAACACGCGTCTATTGTACAAAAAATGAAAAAACGAAAGAAACAATTTATTTACTGATTAGTGAGAGATTAGCAAGGAAACTATCAGCGGAAGCGATTCCCAGCCCCCAAAACAACTATAGGAAACTGTAGCGACATTTTACTATATTATATTCTCAATTGCTGTAAATAAACATGAAACATTGGGCAGAGGACGAGGAGTTAGGAACCATTGCGGCCGAAACAATACACTGAATACAACTGAATTGAAGAACTTGCGAGTTCAAAAACTAGCTAACAAAACAGAACACGAATATTATATTTCTATTGACTAGTCGAAAATGCAAAGCATCACGGAGCATTGAAAATTGAATTTGAAACCCAAATCGAAACTGACTTAGCCACAATAAAATGCGCGTAGCATATGAATGTACGTTGAGCGTAATGTTGAGTTTGAAATATATATTTTATGGTGTCTGGCCACAGGCACGTGAAAATAATCCGAACTCAAAACGAGGACTCGAAATGCGAAATTGCGATTTGCGATTTGCGAGCGGCGGAGCAGAGAACCCACATGTATTGTGTATAAATACATAATTTAATTTATTCATGTATGATAACCGTAACAACACAAATTATACAATATGCATACAGAATAAACTAAACTAACCGAAGAGGATGTTTTTCTTTCGGGAGGTGGGCTACAGGTTTAGACATCAATGGATCCACTATCCACTATCCCACTGTCGAAGGCACGAAGACTCTTTGGATGCAGGACACTGCTGGAATAAATAAATAAATTCTTTTTTCCTTCTCAATCTCCTAACTTGTAATTTTTAGACTCATTTAATTTCTCAGTTTTCAAATTTAAAATTTGACCGTTATTTTCCAGTTTGTAAATGTTATCTTAACATTTCTGTTAGAAAACAGCGGAATCTAACATTTTCGGAGGGATTTTTCGGTATTTATATACTGCCAAAAATACCACATCCAATTTTAGCACCATTTGTTTATATACTGCCAAAAATACCACAGCCCCACATTCAACTGTTTTTTTTTGTCCCGTTCGCAACTTGTTCTCTTGACGTAAGTCCGAAAATTGTTAATAAATCGAGATAATAAATCGCCGTGACTGCGTATTATGTAAAGTGGAGTGGGCCTGATACCGCTGCGCTAGAACCCTTCCATATGGAACATTGTAGAGCACATATCTCCTGCCCCCAGCCTGTGTGTGTGTGTGTTTGTGCGGTGGTCAGTGCCTGTGTGTATGTGAGAGTGGGGCTTCCGTGTCGCAAGCGGACAACAAATGGAATTGAGTTCTCTGTTTGAGTCATTCCAGTGACAAACAAAGCGCGTCATGCGTTGCCCATCGAGTTACTGTTTAATTTGATTACCGGGCAATCAATGGTACAGACTTCCAATCACCGATCGCATCTGTGTGGTGCCACAAATAGACATGGCGTAATGGAACGGAGATGCTGCTTCTCCGGGCTGTGTGTGCTAATTAATTAATTGCTCATACTTGACCTGGACACTAAACAGACGCTGTTGAAATCGACAATATGTGTGCTCGGCCAGATGAAATGGGCGAAAATAGTGCGTGTTTGGTTCAAGTTACGTGAGCCCCTCGCTGTGATTGTGTTGGTGGGGAGCATTCCCGTGCGAAAGTGTGTGTGTGAGGGCAGTGTTGTTGGGGAGTACCTAGATAGTTGTACCTAGGTGAAATAGTTGGGTACTTTCTTTCCCTCGAGCTGCATACCTAGTTTGGATAGTTAAATACTTTTATGTTGCAAGCTAAATTAATTGTTTTTTGAATGTATACTCATTCTGGTTCGTCAATAACAACTTATGATGCATTATTAGTAATACAAATTTAAATATTAGTCACTTATTTATAAAACAAGTACAGATTCTTAGGAATTTCCAAAATTTGATTTTCTTATCTCTGTATTTTCCAATTCCCGGCAGCATGACTCAAGTCTTTTTCCCAAAAACAAACTCTTCAAAACCGAGTACCTTAGGCACAGCGCTATTCAGGCAGTTTCTCTCGGTAGCGCAGTTCATTTGGCTTAATTTCTCTTTATTTACTCTCGGTTCACACAGATCAGGTTTTGTTCGCTGCTCGTTGCTGCAGCTGCATTCTTTCTCGCTCCCACCCCGGCCCCTGAAGGCCCCTGGACACCCTGCACACCCTGCACCTGTGCGTTCTTGAGGTGCAACAGAGAGAGAGGCACTTGCCACGCTTGACTTGCAGCAGGTCTGCAAGCGACGCGGAAATGCCACAAGGAGGCACCTCCATTGCCGCCGATAGCCACCAGTTCCAGTCCCGATAAGGCGACGATAGACCCGAATAAACAGCTATAGATAGCTGAAGCGACAGATAGCGACGACGACGGGACGGCGGAACTATTTATTATTCAAATTCTGAATGGAATGACGATGTGATGGGCTCGTGCTCGTGTACGCGGCGACACTTTTTGCTGTCAATATGCTTCCTGCAAATGGTGAGTACCCTACGATCCGATTGATCACTATATGTAATCCCCCATCGATCCGCAGATAACGATCATCGAGCGCCAGGTATTCGACTTCCTCGGGTACATGTGGGCGCCCATCCTGGTGAACTTCTTCCACATTCTGTTCATCATATTCGGGTTCTACGGCGCCTACCACTTTCGCGTTAAATACATCATCACCGTAAGTGGCCTGATTACCATATCTCTGCGATAACCCCAATTTATTTTGTGTGCCCGCCTGCAGTATCTAATATGGAACTTCCTGTGGATCGGCTGGAACGCCTTCCTCATCTGCTTCTACTTGAATGTGGGGCAGTTGGACAGGGTGAGTGGATAGCCTAGCCCTCTGAATATATACCTTACTAACCATGCGAATCGCTTCCCAACAGGACAGTCACCTGCTCAACCTGGGCACCGGCAGCGTCTCCTGGTTCGAGGCGAACGGATACGGCTGCAAGCCCACCTACAACATGACTGCCGACGATCCAATCCGGCCGGAGCGCGTCGATGGCTGCCTGCTGGACTACCCGCTGGTGGAGGTCACCCACTCGGGGGTGCAGTGCGCCCTGGCGGTGAGTAACCCACTCGGTTAAGTGCCCGGAATTGAGTTTAATCTTAATTTTCTCCCACAGCTGCTGGGCATACTCGGTGCGATTCTGATCAGTTGCATATTTCTCGACGAGGACGACAGATGTAAGTGGCGCTCTCTGAAAACGAACCATGCTCGATTGTTGTCATAAACCCCACTAACCGGGATCGGTCATTGCTAACCCCTTCTCATCCCCATCATTTTCACTTTCGGGTCTCACTGTGCACTGTGTCTATGGTAAATGTTCCCCTCCTCACTTAACCTGCATTATTTCCCCTCTATGTGTAACGAATGTTTATGAGAAGCCATGAGGCAAAAGACGATTGTTTGTTGTTAGTGTCGAATTTATCAGGTTGTCGATATATGTAAGCTCCCACCCAAAACCCGCACCCCGGAATGCGATTGTACCCACATAAAATGACTGTTTTCGATTTAAAAACATATAAGTACCCCAAATTAACCAGTGTGACGTGTCCATGTGAACTGTGAGCAACTCTACATATGCTTTAAAAAACCTTATACTTACATGCCATATACTCGTATTGTAATCCAGGTTATGTCTAAGTCATTCACTCATAATCAAGAAAATCACAACATTGTATTTGCCCATCGACAGCGACACTGTGCAGCTGCAAAACAAAGTAGAATGCTCAGAAAAACATTGAATTTGAATAATACTAGTAATGAGATTCGAAATGAGTAATGGGAAAGTTCGTGAAAGTCAAACAGGCCGATAGCCATGGAAACAATTTAAATATTTACAATTTGTGCAAACAAAGTTCAAAACTCGTGTTGCTGCACAGTGTCCTGCGATTTCCGATGTATTTCTCTGGTTATTGTTAAAGCATCTTAATCAATTTCTGGTTTGCAGTCGATTTCATGAACGGCGACGCGAAGAGTCCACAGCACACCGTGGTGCACCCAATGTACGTGAGCTATACAAGTATACCCACAACATCCGCAAGCGCCACCATGCAATCAAACAAGCATCTGCAGCTACAGCAGCAGCAGCAGCAGAACTCACTGAAACTCTATCATCATCAGCAACAGCAACAGCCAAACCAACCCAAACTGCACCACTTCAACAAGAACTACCAGTTGAGCGGCAGCAACAATAATACACTCGACAATAATCTCCACCAGCCGCGAGACACAACAAATAACCACAGCGCATCATTCCAACCGCCCCACAATCAGTTCAGCCACCTAACCCAGGGGAGCAACTGCAGCAGTCTGCGCCGCCAGCGGCACAACCATTCCCACAAGATTGGTCAGCCCCCCGTCAGCCCCAGCCCCATGTCCCCCCAGACCACTCCCTCGCTCTCGTACGCCTCGCTGCAGAACTCGAATCCCTACCTGGCCGGAGGCCACTCGCTGAGCAACAGCAACTACAGCATCTTCCAGAGCCCCGACTCGCTCCAGGGCAGCTCCCACTTCGCCCGCATCCACCACAAGCCCAAGCCGCCCAAGTCAGGTCTCCCTGTCTCTGCGGGAGGATTAGATCCGTCTCCAGGCATCTCCTCGCCCGTCCGTCCGCTCGAGCGCCTGTCGCGCAACCTCGAGGAGGACGAGGACAACTTCTCGCTGCAGCAGTTTGCTCCGGGCGAGCACGGCGTAACCTACGTCCCCTTCCAGAGTCCCACTCCAAACAGCCTTTTCCTAGGCGAGAACAATAACGTCTTCCAGTCCACCGCTCGCTCAAGTCCCAACAACAATAGCAGCAGCGCCTATCCCTACGACCAGAACGGTTTGCCCTCTCCCCTTCGCCTGGGTTCCAACTCCAAGGCTCGGCGACCCGCGCACATTCCACTGCCCACGGTGCCCATGCACAGCTGCCTGGAGATGCAGGATGACGAGGACGCCGATGGCGAGTCCGAGTTGGATCTCGATCAGATGCTGACGCCCCCGCCTCCGCCAGTCGTTCGGCCACCCCCCCACATCCACCAGCGCTTGGGCCAGGCGCCCTATCTCGATCTCTCGCCGGAAGTGGCTGAGCGCTATGCGATGCCCGGTCCACCCCTTCAGGGGCCCCTGCCCGTCCCTCATGGTTCGCCCATGGTGCGTCGCAGTAATCGCCGGCCTAGGCCACCGATTCCCGTGAACTTCTGCGACCAGATTCGCGCTCCTCCCCCGGGATACGCGGTGGTGCGCGCCCAGAGCGACGATCGCCTGGTGGAGCAGGCGGAGGCTGAGGCTGCTCCGCACGTTAACCGGCGGAGTGGTCGCAGTGCCAACGGCCAAAAGTCCCGTCCCCGCTCCTTCTGCAACTCGATAGTGGGCGTGCAGGCCTAGATTTAAGTACGTCCCGCTGCACTTGCTCTCTCTCTCTCTCTATTAACCAAGCTCTCTGCCTCGGCAGGAGGCTGTTACTAACCAGGATCACTCGATCCCCATACACAACCCTTCATACATACACACACATAGGTGTTGCTGTTTCTTTGTTGTGCCTAACCAGCCGGCTAACCTGGCTAAGAACAGGGCTAACCTTAGCTTCCCATGCGTGCGTTTAACGATTCGGATGATGCCTTGCAGAGCTGACTTCTATTGTGTAGAATAGAACTAAGTAATCAAACAGTAGAGACTTTCCCGAATTGTGATAGAGGGCGTGGAAAGTCGCCACAGAGTGCAAGCCTAACAATTTTATGTTGATCTGTGATAACTGAAAACAAACATGAACGACAAAAACGATTATTTAAAAGCGAAAATGTCACAAAATCATTATCAAGAGAAGGATATGACGATTTGTTGAGAATGCAAGCGATATAAATGAAATTTAGCGCCAATTGCAACCAGATGCCTTGGATGAATGACGGAATAGAGATTAGAGTATACAACATACATATATAATCGATGTTATGTGCGGGAGAGCGCAGCCTCCCCAAGAGTTGCCTTTTGTTGTTTAACTGAAATACGATATATAGTATACCATATTACCATAAACTGCGAAATGTTAGTACACTGCGATGCAAACGCTAGTTGTCGAACACAAACAAGAAGTTGCCTATTGATTTAAGCGCGAGATTCGTTATACAAAACGCAAACGTAACCATACAATTTATAGATCTGTTAAGTCTAGTTTTAAGCTTGAGGCCACACAAATGCATTAGCAGAGCAGATCCAAATCCACGTAGCATAGTCAATACTTACTGTTTAGATAGATCCCCGATCTTGATCTTTAGCCATGCGAATTGTGCTGACTGGTGCCAATTCGCGACGAGATTCGAAGCGTTTCCAATAAAATGTTCATTTACACACCAAACCACGGTTACTCTCTATCTGTCTTCGTAGCCGATCCATCTATCCTCCTAAGTTGTAGCTATTCTGGTAGCTGGTAGCTGGCTTTCCGTAGCATTTGTGGCTCTAACCAACCGCTAACTCTCGACTCTCTCCGAACGTAGCTAATCCAACTTGTTTAACAGCTCCTCCAATCACAAAAGCACACTCAAAGCTAACCCGAGGTAACTTTGAACATTCTATCCGCCGCGGTTTGTTGCTCTTGCCGACCTCCTACTGATCTAATCTTGTTCTTGTCCCCGGCGCAGTGAAGCATATTAACAAGCAGTCCAAGCACCGCCAGTCGCTGTACTCGATTGAGTTCGGCGGCAGCAGCGACACCATCCGGCACGGCGCCCACTCTCACATGGGCCTGGGACTGGGCGATTCCCGAGGCGACCAGGACGGCGGCGAGCTGAGTCCCAAGCCGATGACCCCGCGGCGCGTCAAGCGGCGCTCGGTGATGGCGCGCGGCACCCAAGGAAGGCAGTCCAGTGGAGGCGGCGGCGGCAGCAGGCGTTCGCATCACGGCTCCAGCGGCACACTGAGGTCCAAGCACGGACATGGCAATGGAGCGGACAGCAGTAGCGGCAGCTATGTGCGGAGCAGCACTCGCAGCTCCCGCCGAAAGTATCACCAGAACCCAGTGACCAAGATCATGGACCAGCAGCAGCAGCCCCATTTGGGCTCCTTCCATCGCCAGGACAAGCTCTCGCTGACCGCCTCCAATCTGCACTCCCTCAACAACGACATAGTGAACAACGCGAACGCATCGGGCAGCCAGTTGGGCAGTCTGGGCAAGAGCAACCGGCACTACTACCACAGCTACCGCAAGAACATTCCGCTGGACCCCATTTACTACAACACCAATGGCCAGGGAGTGCTGGAGGAGCCGAGTTCGCCGACTCTTCCGCCGCCGCCACCGCTGCCATCTGCTGCTGCAGCCTCATCCATGCTGCAGGCAAGCGGAGGAGGAGGAGGTCACTACAATCCCAGTTACCAGCACTCCACCACCCACCTGAACGACGTGGGCCATGCGCCCGATGCGGAGCTGTACAACAATCGCCCGCCCTCGGTGCGCTCCAGTTACTCGAATTTCCACGGCTCGCGGCCACTCTCCACCGCCTACGGAAACGCAGCGGGCGAGAATGTGTTCGCCGGACTGAACGGGGCCAGTGCCAGTCCGCCGCAGGCTCCATGCACGCCGCCCCTCTACCAGCAGCATCCCATGCACCTGCAGCAGCACCAACAGCAGCAGCACTACCTTCCGCCGCCGCCAATGGAACCGGCGCCCGCCTACGTCAGCGCCATGTCCTTCTCCAAACGGACTGCCTCGCGGGAAAGCATCCGCTCGATGGCCTTCCTCAACAACGGTCCGCCCGCCTACAATCTCAACTACCACACGCCGCCCGACTCGGAGACGACCATGTGAAGCGGCTCCATGTCGGGGTTTCGCCCAGTCCGTCCTCGCCCATCGATCTTCCTCCGCATGGATCTCGGAATCTTACAAAATCTCCATCACGGCCATCGCCACCATCGCCCAAACATATTTATTCTTGTGCAACAAGCCACGCCCATAGCCCTGCTTTAATCACTTGGATAGCTCGTACTTGATCCGTAATTTAACGATATGTGTAGTGCTTAATGTATGCTTAAGTTTCTGTCGTTTTACCAAAGTGCCTTTGTAAATAAACATTTAAAGTATTGGAAAAGTGTGTTTTTTAAGCCATCGAATTATTTATGTTCATATATGTTGGTTTATTTTGAGGTAAAATATATGCTTAGATAACTGGACTGGGATTTCAGTCCCTGCGACACACTGTAAAATAAAAACGGAAACTTGAGGTAATCTAAATCAGAGGTTTACCCTACTCACATTCATCTGCATCCCAGCCTGGCTCAATGTCCAGCTGCTTATTGCGCTCCTTCAGCCAGGTGAAGAGGGGGGCGAAGTACTCCAAGATGCCGCGACCGCTCAACTTGCGCTCCCCGGTGGCGATCTCCATGACATCGCGCCAATGGCGAGTGGCTCCCAGCTCCATCATGTCGTGGATCTTCTTGCCCGCCTCCTGGTTGCCGTAGAAGTCGCAGTTGTGCAGTGGGAACTCGGGATCTCCGGGCTTGTACTGGTTGCTCGTCAGGCAGAAGGAGCGGTAGAACTGGAAGCCCAGAATCTCGGCCAGGAATTTCCTATAAAATAGTCACGAAATAGGAAACAGTCCATTGGAAATATGGTTACTTACTTGGTGTTCGATGTTTCCGGGTTTAAGCCGCGATAGAACTTAAAGTCTGGATCAAAGTCCTTGTTCAGGCGTGAACTTGGTGGCTGAACTCCCGCGAATTTATCCTGGAGATCCCAGTAGGCGCAGTTGTAGTCCTTCACCCCAATCCGCCCGTCCATAACGTCCACCAGGAACTTGTCATTAATGAAGTACTGCGGCACGGCGATCAAGGTGTGCACGCCCATGCGGAAAAGTCGGTTAAGGGACTGCTCCTCGGTGAGGCTCTTGTTCAACAGGATGTGAAGGTGCTCCAGGTGACGTGCGGTTCCTGAGGCCAGGATAACCGTCTCCGCTATTGCAGCGCCAAATCCAGGACATGGCTCTGTGTCGAGACCAAACGGCAGCCGCATCTTGTACTGGTAGTACTGGATCTCGGCCATCGTTCCGTGGACCTGCATCAACTTCTTGTAGTCCAGTTTGGGGCAGTAGCGGAGGGCCACGTCCGGCGGAAAGTAATACACCTGCGACTTGCAGTCACCTCCGGCTTCCTCCTCACTCATCCGGCGGGAAAAGCGGTCGTAAAAGGTACTGGGGCGGGAAAGAATTTGATAATAACCCTTTTAATAACCCAATATAATCACATGTATAAGAATCGCACAATTCCTTTGTGATTAATACCGCGCAGTTAAAATGTTCGTTAAGTATTCTTAAAACTGTGGAGCATTTACTCACCTTGGCAGCTTGATAAGGCCCAGTGACTCGAAGAACTCGGCGGCCTTGTGGTTGATCTTGACGGGCGTCACCAGGACCTGCTCCAGGCGCCGATGGACCGAGGGCAACTGGTGCTGCTTGCCATGGTGCGGGGTGCGGAAGAACTGGTGCGGGTACCAGTCCTGCGACAGGATCTGGTCCATGATGGGTGCGGAGATGGCGCCATCGCTCTTGGTCTCCGCCTTGGGGTAGGCGGCCTGCACCTCGTGGCGCAGGTAGGCGTGCAGCTCCCGGTAGAGCGGCATAATCTCCCACACGACGGCCTCGAGCTCAGCCTGGAAGTTCTCCGTGTCGTAGTTGAGGTACCAGGTGCGCGAGGGCGTCACATGGCCGTTGTAGGTGGCCGCCATCCTGAGCAGGCGCACATAGTCGATAAACGTGCTCTTGGCCACGTCCTTTTCGTTTACGGCCCTGCGCCAGCTCTTCCAGTTCCTCAACAGCTCCTCGTATTGCTTGGTGTGCATGTTCTTGTTGAAGATTTGCGGATACATGGCCAGCGCCCCCGAGCCCGAGCACTCCTCGTGGGCACAGACCATTGATCCGCTGACAAAGTTATGTATCTGCCGCAGCAGGTCCTTGGCCTGCTCGTAGTCCTTCGGCCGGAGTCCCTGCAGCTGCAGCTTGGACATTCGCTGGACGAACCGCCGCTGCAGCGGATCATCCAATTCGGCCACCGGCACCACGCTCAAGTTGGCCGCCAGCTCGTAGTACAGGCGATAGGTCTCCGCCTCCACCTCCTGCTTGGAACTGACCACCGTTCCGCCCAGCGGCGACTTTCCCTTGGCCGTGAGCTGGACGAAGATCTTGCGATTGATGTCCCATACGCGGTGAATGCGATCGGTGGCCCATTTGAGGATCTGCTTGGTGTGATTGGCGGTGGCACTGCTGTCCGCAAAGGCGGTCAGGACCAGCAGGAGAACCACTCCCAGTAGTAGCAGCCGCATTTCGGCCTAGGCTGGCTTCCGTTTCGCCTCGATAAGGGTTATCTGCGTGCTTGGCAATCCGACTGGGGTCTGGCTTCCGACTCTGGCGGAATCTCGCGGAGAACTGAGCTGCCACTCGAGCTTCTAGATGCGAGCTAATCGGGCTTGGCGTCTTTCGCAACTGCAGATAAGCTCAATGCCCCGGCCCCAAGCGATCTCCCCATCGAGCCAACGCTGCGTATACGTTACGTGCTGGCTCTGACATTACGTATACGCGGCGTGTGCCAGCCAGAGGCGGATATTGCAGTGGGGAGGGGGGAATGGCAATCCTTACACCATTTTAGACTGATGAACAGCGTCCGCATGCTGCTGGCTTTGTTAGCCAGTGGCCCATATTCAAGCTTAATCATTTTGACATTTTCTTTTTAGGGGGGAAAGCGGCGGGAGGGGAGGTCCTTTGGCCCGCGGTGCAGCAGCGAAGGATTCGGACTGGCAATCGGAATTTGAATCGGAGAAATAGGGGGAAAATTCGCCGGAGCGTGTCGTCGCTCGTGTGGCAAAGTAGCAAAGTAGCAGTCGCAAGTGGCATGTGGCATGTGGCACGGCATTTGTTTATGCCGGCTGACCTGCAAGCAAACCGCGAGGTCGCAGGGAAAGTGCGCCAAACGAGCGAGAGAGAGAAATTCCCCGACGTCGTCCTTTTTCGGCAGAACACTGGGGAAATTACGACGGGCTGTGTGTTTTTTCATCGCTCTGCATCGCGGAGCCCTGCAGATTACGTCAAACGGAAAGGAAACCCGTTAGCCGAGCTCAGTCGCCGACGAACCTTAGAACCGAGCAGTCGCCATGCGAGCGCACGTACGTACAGCAGAGTGCCTCAGTGTCCCCTAGTGTTCCTTAGTGTGGAGTGAAAAAGCCCAAGGAATATGGTGAAAAGCAGTCGAAACGCAAGTGAAAAGCAGTGAAAGGCCTGAAAAGGCACGAAAATCGCACGCAGAAAGGACCCACCAACACACACACGCCACCAGCACAAGTGCATTCAGTGCGAGGAAAATTCTTCAGCGCCCAAAAATAGAGTGAAATGTGTGCTGCATGTTGTTGTTGCTGCTGCCGAGTGAAAGGGAGAGGGAGGGGCTGGGGCCACGGCGGAAACTAACCTACATTTTCGCGCTCTTTCGCACGCTTTCGCTGACACTCACATACACACTCGGGCAGGGAGGCCACCTCCTGTATCGCCGTATCGCTCGCACTCACTGGTGGGGCCGCGAAAGAAATCAACAGTAAATTGTAATAACACTTCTCGGTCCGCTGGTGTGTGTGCGCCAGTGTGTGTGTGTCAAACAATGTGCGTGCCTAAAGTTTTTTGCTTTGTGCTGTTTCTGTTTCTGTTTTTGTTGCTGGTTCCGTTCCAACATCCCCATCCACTCAAATTGTTGCACAGTTGCGACTAAATAAAAATGTAATTAATGTAAAATAAAATCAAATAAAACACAGCAGCAGCAGCAGGAGCAACAACAACTGCTGAATCGGGAGTAGTGAGTGGGCCAGTGTTGGGAAGTGGAAATGTAAATGTAAATGGAAATGAAATAAAAGTGGAAGTGTTAGTGTGGGGTAAGGAGTGCGGGGCAACTTCGGTGGGTTAAAGTGTGCGTGTGTTGCAGGCCCCAGAAAGTGTAATCCGAAAGTATAAATAGAAATAGCCGTAGTGCAAGCACACAAGCGATTACATAAAGTCCAACTATCATCCCGAACATCCAACAACTGCAGCTAACGGAGAATAAACAACTGATGGCCAATGTTCAAAGGTAAAATCGAACGTCCTGTGTGTGTGAGCTGGGGTGGGGGTGGGGGGTGTTTGTCCAACACAACCACAATGTCGTGGCCATAAATTAGCTCTTGATGTGCACTTAACTAGGCGGCCACACTTTCCCTTCGCTTCGTATCGCTTCGCTCTGTTCTTTTCTGTTCCCTTTTGCTCCTTTGGCACGACAGAGAGAGCAACAAAATGGCGGAAGGGGACCGAAGAGCAAATTTGTAGCACAACTTTAGGGGCCAACTGGCAAAGCTCTGCCGCACTTTTATGGGCCAACTTTAAAACCAACCGCTGGTCACGCCCAGAAAACCAGAAAAACGGAAAGCAGCACCTGAATCGGAGTTCCCCCGCCCCCCTCCCATGGGGAAGACCCCGCCGTAAAATTGTAAGCCAACAACACATTGTTTAATGCCTCCAGCGCCGCTCTTATTGTTGTAATAAAAGTGTTTTTGCCGATTTGTGTGTGCCCGGTCCAAATTCAAGCCTCCAGGAGGAGGATCTCCTATGGCAGCCCAGCCTCCAGGCCTCCTTCCTAATGGCACGGGCCACTGCCAGCGAATTTCCGCCAGCAAACATCAACTGCCATAACGGGGAGGTGGAAACTTGATATTGAATATTTTATGGGCGCCTTCATCTAACGCTTTTCCATTTTCGCTGCCAGTTGCTTGCAGACGTGTCAAGAAGTTTGCGAGAAGCAAGAAGCACAACAGGAAGCACAGGCCTACACAAACATGTAGCCACACATATAGCCATGCTACGCCATACACCTATACTATATGCACAACAATGCCGGGAGCAGCAGCAACAAAGCGCTGAGCAATGAGCAGCATCATCTCATTCCCCCGCCCCATCCCCTCCTCTACGCCACTGCCCACGCAACCTCATTGCTTTTGGTTGGGCGCCATTTATCAATTCTTGTATCTTACTTTGTGCTGTGTGTGTGTGTCTGTGAGCTTCTGAGCAGGGAGATGCTAGATTGTCTGTGTGTGTGTGTGTGCCCATAATGTTAATTAACTTTATCTCGCTCAAGCTTTAAGTCTTAAAGCGGCGCTCATTTCCCGGCTCTCGTCTCAATCCGCCTCCCTCTCGCAGGTGTTTATCTCTTCCGTTACGCACATTACACACACGTGAGACGAGTGAGTCGTTACGTTGCGTATACGTACTGCACTTGGGGAAATGTGATTCGAATCTTAGGAAAGTGGAAGCTGTAAAAAAGCACTAAATGATTTATTTAAAAAATAGTTTATTTTCGTAAATTGTAATCCTATTTAACTGAAATCATTAAATGATTTCATTATATGTAATGTTAAAGAATATTTATATGTTAAAGAAAAAGTAATTACTCCTTTTTTTAAGTTCAAAAATAAGAATTTTAAGTCATTTTTTTCTGTGTGTGTTGGTGTGGGCGTCTCGAGCAGCCGGGGATTAGCGCGCTGCCAATTACCGTTACACGACACGACGCAGAGCAATTGCGGGCAGAGGCGATTTAATTTACTCGCAATCCCCACCCCACTTACATAAGCTTAAGTCTCCCCACTAACATCACTTTCTTCTTCTCGTTTATTCCATTTTCAAAACAGACGCGCATCGCAAAATGTAAAGCAATAATCAACACAACAAAGCCAAAGCTCACAATAGAAGTAGACGAAGACGAGCTGAAGGCTAGAAGCTGTGAAGACGAGCAGAAGACGATGCCAAATGCCATTATTGGAAACCGTCGTAGTCATAAGATTTGCATAGCATAGCAATAGCAATAGGCATCATGAAAGCCCCCAGCGTGATAAGCACTACAGCAACAACGGCAATAGTAGATAATACCACGCACAAAATGGTTAACAAAGGGAACGGTGACAATATTAACGTTAACGGTAAACTGAGCGATCCGCTCGCCTGAAAAGTGAGACAGACATATGACCAGTGTTCGAAAATCGAGTGAGAAGCCAGATAAGAGAGAGAGCGAGACGAAGACATGCAGCTGCCCTAAGGACCTCGGCAAGGACGCAGGAAAGGAAAGAAGCCCAAGGAGCAACTAGAGGCAGCAGCAGCAGCAACCAACCAAACGACGACAATCAGTCAAGATGAGTGATGATCAAACGGCGTCCTACGATGAGAAAGGTGAGTCCCGAACCGCTAAGCCCTGCTGATACTGCTATTGATAGTTTTCCAAGCCACCCGGCCTCATAAATATTATTCCTGAGGTGTCCCCGGGGGTACGGAGGGGTGTCGGATAATGGGGAGGCCATCAAATCTGTATACGAGGGCATATGCATTGAAAGGCCAGCAGGGCAGGTGTCACGGGGCAGGACTCCTGCTTCTCCGACATCCTGACAGCGACACCTGCACGCCAACTAAGCAAAAGTCGTGCACAGTGGTCGTGGCCACACGGATGTCGCTGCTTGTCGGCTGACTGGAGTCACAAGAACTCTTTTGAAACTTTTATTTAGGTTGTAAGGGCATTGGGAAAATCTGTAATACTTTGAAATTATAGAACTTTGAAAAGTTATAATATAAAGCTCTACAGTTTTTACCAAAGACTCTCTACACAGTCTGATTTTTCATGAGAATTGGTATTTGACTTTTTATTATAATGCAATTAGCTATCTGATTTTTATTTTTCATGCAAATAACTTTTTTGGCATTTAAGTTTCTTGATAGGCAAATAACTCAAAGATATACATTCATCATCAGGATATTGCAGGCTATACATATGTAATAGTTAAAACTATGTCTTAAAATTATTAAATTATACTGCAAAAATATATAAATTATTTTATAGGGAACATTTAGATTGTATTCGATAAATCGTATTCCTTTACTCATTCAACATTTTAGTATCCCGAAATTTAAATTCCAAGAATTTGCATAATTTGAAGATTTATTAGTTGGCCAAGTTATGAGCTCAAAGATGAACATTCATCATCAGGTTATTGCACACTCTGGAAGTTCACTTTGTCCGGGAGCCGCCCACAGTGCGAGATAACGGAATGCCGGCGGAGGAGTGGCGTGTTTCGGGGGTGGAGCAGTGGGTGGGAGGACCAGAGACCGAAGGCATTTGCCTTTGCTTTTTGTGCGTGTTGTGCGTTTTCCTGCCACTTCCCGGACTCCTGTCCTCCTGTCCGGTCCTGCTCATCAACATAATTAAATAGCATTGCTCATTGTGTGCTGGGCCAAGCAATCGCCTGTGCTTTTGGATCTGGGTAGGGGTATGGGTTTGGGTTTGGGTCGTCCTTTTCTGGGGCTGTGGGTCTCGGTCTGGGTCTTGGCCAATAAAACGAGAATGGAATCGAAGCAGCTTAATGGAGGGCCAGGCCGACCCTAAGGCCGTTTAAATAAATGATAAACAAATCGAAAATGGGAAGCGCTTTTGCTTTTGCTGGACGCAAAACTTTCGGCTGATGACTGGCCATAAGTTACGCAATCGTTTTGCAGGCGCCGATAGAGAGCGCAATTTGTCCTTTTAGTGGGTGGAGAGAGGGGGAGGGGAGGTCGTGGGTGGGCGCCATTGTCAGTGGAGGATATTCATTGGGGAGGTGAACAATGCACAAAGGCCAGCAGGCGCTGCCAACTGCGGATTACGAATATGAACGGAAACGGAAACTAATTAAATATGTAGAGCAATTGCTGCAACTGCTGCATCTCGCATCTCTGGCTTTATCCTCCCGATTCACTTTTTCACTTTTGTTTGTCCCGCATCGCTGCAGCTTGTGTTTCAGTTGGGTTTGGGTTTGGGTTTTTCCTTCTGCCTATTTTTGGCCTGGGCTACCTTCCTTTTCGCCTCGCCAGCCTCGAATTGGATTTGGTTTTTGGCCAGGGCCAGGAAGCGCTGCATAGAAAGTGCCCCGTCTGCGAGGGGCGTAATTGGCTTGGCACACCCCTCGAATCCCCTCTTTTAGTCACAATCCCATTTCAATTTCCATTCCCATTCCCGTCACCATTGAACTTGTGCAAAGGTCTGCGCAGCTGCAACTGCAACCGAGGCAGCAGCAACGCCAATTGCAACTGCAACAATGCCTGCACTAAAAGAAAATTATGAAAATTAACCCATAAAACAAGCAACAATACGGCCAGAAGTTCATAAAGAGTTGCAACTTGCAAGTTGTAAGTGCACTTGAAAGTTTGGACACTCCAGTTTAACTTTGTTTTAAAAAACTGTTTTGGAATTTATATTGAAGGGCCCTTTTTTTTCAGAGTTGCAAGCTATTGTATATGGAAAAACCTAAGGAATAAAGTTTGGATCAGAATAATTGAGATTAAGCTAAATGGAAAAATAATTTGTGAAATCACAGCATAAACTTTCTTCTACTCTACTCTTTTTAAAGATTAAATGCAAGTTAGGACTTCTCATTGTCATGGTGAGCTGGTCAAAGTTTGCGATTACCTTGAATGGCTTTATAGGAAAAGTGCATGCATCATTCGAATTTCTCGCCGTGTGTGGATGCAACTGGTTTTTGGGAAAACCACGACATTGCACATTGCCCGTTGCTAGTTGCTTTTAAGTTTTCTGTTTCTGTGTGTCTGTGTGCAATTTCCTTTTTGTTTTTGGGCGCTTTGAGAATGACTTTGCTTCCGCGTGAAGATGCGGCGGCGAGTCTGGAGTTTCGAGTCGCAAGTCGCGAGAGCCAAAACCCGGGACGATTATGCAATACGGGGAAGATGTGCGTCTTTGTTGCATCTGATGTTAATGTGCGACCGCCAACCGGTTGCCCATCGTCATCGTCGTCATTGCAGAAGCAGCTTCATCATCGCGGAGCCCTCGCTAGCTTAAATATATGTGGTCCCCACACGGGAAAAAAATAATAACAGAAACTAAACTAATCGTACATTAAATTTAAGCTATTGAGTTTCGGAATATTATTTAGTACTAAATCAATGCAACACTTTTATACGGTACCTAGTATGTTTTTATTATTGTTACATAATATTCGGCTATAATATAAAGCTTACAGGCGAACTTAAATTTAGCTATAGCTACGGGGCCTTAAGCTACGCTATATTTTTAATACAACGAGTTATGAGAGTTCGACTATGTTTTCTTTGGGTGCATCGAGAGATGCTCCGATGGTATTGAAATGCAGCTTAAGTGCTCCAACTCCCGAGCTCCCAGTTCGAACTTCATTCGCCACAGCATCGTGATTATGATCGTCATTATGGTTTGATTGGCAACCAATGTTGCGTCGGCGTCCCGCTCTCTGCCAGCTAGTTCCTTATGTAACCCCCCTTTAGCTTTGTTTTGTTTACAATCCGAAACAGTTTAAATGTGTATTAATTATTCGGCAACGATGGAATCTGCCGAGCAGTCAGCTGCCGAGCTTCCCAGATGAGAAATGATAATCAGCGACGTAATCGAAATGGCCGGATGGCCCCGATTCGGATTCGGATTCGGATGAAAACTACGGCCCACTCCAGCAGTCACTCAATGCTAATGAAAACTGTAGCTAATCAACGGCGAATGCATAACGGAGGGGGAGGTGGGTGGTGGGTGGCTTAGCTGATGGTGTTGGGTGGCCAATGGCCATGACCTCTCTCCGCTGGCAGTCCATCAGTCCGTCAGCCAGTCGGACGTCTTGCTGATGTAAGAGCGAAACAAAACCCACGGCACGGTACTTTTTTCTTTCTTTATTTTGCCAATGCTGCAGCTTTGGAGCATGACAAGATATTTTTGATGCTGCTGCTGCAGGCGAGGCTTAACCCAATAACGCTCGAGAGCCACTCGACAGAGGAGACCTGACCTGGGCCAATCCGTTGCGAAGAACAGGTTCTACCGCCCCACTCTTCCTTTCGCTGGCTGGCAAACAACATTATCGGGCTAATTTCCGGCCAGCAGGGAAACGGCCATCAATGGGTTAATGACTAACGACCCACTCCAGCTGGCCAACCCTTGGCCAACCGTTATGCAAGTGGTCCAGACCAACAATAAGGAATTGCCAATAGGAAGTTCGTATCTGCATAAACATCCATAAACATGAACGTCAACAAAATACAAGATACAAGATACAAAATACCTAACGGTTAACTGCGATGTGATAAAGTGGCAATAACAACGAGCTCTGGGCCAAAACTGGAACTGGTCAAGTTGCATATTACCACAGTTTGAATTTCGATTTTAACCATTTTCGGCAGCCAGCCCAAAAAAGCTTAGGGCCACTCAGATTTTCTCTCAAACGAAAGTGGAGCACAGAAGCCACTGCTCCTCGGGAGAGAGTGAGCTGGTACACAGGGAGAAACGGGGGGAAATCGTTTTGGGGGCTTAAAAAAAAGTAACATAAACCAGACAAGATAATCTGAAATACATAAGTTCTTTGTTTGGGAGATGCAGAGCTAATTACGATTATTTAAATGTTCCCCTATCCATTCTTAATACGATATTGGGAATACCTAGAAAAAACCATTCATGGTGAATCATTTCAGTGATTCTAAATTGGTTTCACAAACCCGTTTCGATGGTCGTGTAAAATATTGCAAATGGAAAACCAAATATGCTAAATACATTTACATTGGAACACACCATTTTATATCAAAGATGTTGCACACAGAAAATATAAAAGTGATCAGCTCTTCTCGCAGTGTAAGAGTGAGTGAGAGAGGAGTTTGCAAAGGGCACATGCTGGGGATGATGTGAAAGGTCAACACTCTCGCGATCCGCAGAAAGGGAGAGTGCAGAAGAAAGGCGAAGCGAAGACGCGGCGGAGATGTGGCCTTCAATGGGTCGCGGTCGTGGAGCTCCGGCGGGTCTGGCCTGGTCTCCACTTCATTCAGCCGAAAGAGATTATCTCTGCACTTGCTCGACGGCGTCGTCGCGATCGCTTATGTAACCCCAAGCGGCTACATGGCTCCCGAGTGGAGAAGAGGGCTATAAAACGGCGTGCGGCCGCGATTGCCGAATCATTTCCAGTCAGTCGATCATCCGAGAGAGTCCTTGGCAACGAATCCAGAGAAATGGCGGCCCGTTTCATAGTGAGTTTACCTCGGCGACAGCGCGTCGGTTCAGCTGGATCCTAACCCTCCTCCTCCTCCCACTCCCAGATCAGTGCGCTCCTGCTGGCCAGTCCGGCCGTTTGGGGCAAGCCCACCTTCGGACGCGAGCACGTCCACATCCGCATCCACCTGCCGGAGAGCGGTGGCGACCACGGCGGTCACGGCGGAGGCGGCGACTTCGGAGGCCACGGAGGCGGTGACTTCGGAGGCCATGGAGGCGGCGGTGGCTACGAGATTCACTCCCACGACGGGGGCTACAGCGGCGGCGGTGGCGGTGGAGGCGGTGCCCATGTGAACACCTATGCCATCATCACTGAGAACCACTCTTCCGGTGGAGGCGGAGGCCACGGCGGATACAGCTCTGGTGGCTACAGCTCCGGTGGATACAGTTCCGGTGGCCACGATGATGCCAAGATTGCCGCCATCGCAGCTGCCGCTGGTTCGTCCTCCTCCGATCACGGACATGGTCACGGAGGCTACAGCGGCGGCGGCGGCGGACACGACGGTCATGCCATCGCCAACATTGCAGCCATCGCCGCCAGCTCGGACTCCTCTTCCCACGGAGGCAGCGGAGGCTACGGAGGATACAGCGGTGGCGGCGGACACGGAGGCTACAGCGGAGGTGGACACAGCGGCGGAGGCCATGACACCCAGGTGATTGTCGCTGCCGCCGCTGCTGGCGATTCCTCCTCCGGCGGATACAGCGGAGGCTCCTCGGGTGGCTATGACTACTCCGGTGGCTCCTCGTACAGCAGTGGCTCCTCCTCCTACAGCTCCGGTGGCTACAGCGGAGGACACGGTGGTGGCTACAGCAGCGGTGGTGGCTCCAGCTACGATACCCAGGTGGTGGCTGCTGCTGCTGCTTCCGCAGGCGGTGGCTCCTACGGCGGCTCCTCCGGAGGCGGTGGTGGTGGCGATGGCTACAGCTACTCGGCGCCGGCTTCCGGCGGCTGGGCAGGATCAGCCCCCAGCTCCAGCTGGAAGTAGGCGGCAATGTCCGGCCTTGGCCATCTGGTCGTCTAGTCCACTGTTCACGCCCTGCAGTTCACTCCATCCATCCACGGAACTCCTAACTTATATACGACTCGTTTCGCTCATCCATATTCCACACATCGTCACGCGATGCTGATGTACAAAATAAACCATGTTAGTGTAATAATTTAAACCAGACTCTGACTCCTCCTGACATTGGGTGGGATTGGTCCAGAACTTACAAAATGATATGAGTGCTATTATGGCTAGGTCTTCCCCAGCTTTTGCTTCGTTTTTTCGGCTTCCTTCATGGGACCAATGAGGTGGCGCTTGAACATGTCGTAAATGGAGAAGTAAACGGCGCTGGTCAGCCCGGCCTTGAACAGAGTGGGCGACATGCCCTTGTAGAAGCCTCCGATTCCCTCCACCCGGAACGTGGTCAGGATGCAGCCCATGACCGTGGGGCACTCCGGGTTGCGGCCGAAGGTCTTGCGCTCCTGCTTGAAGGCCATCAGCTGGATGCGCTTCTTGAGCAGGTCCGCGGGATACACGATCATCTTGGCCATCACCCCGGACAGCGCCCCGTTGAGGAAGAGGAAGCCGCCGTGGATCTCCTGGCGGTTGTCCGGCTCCTTGGCCATCAGCACCAGGGCGTTCAGGTACTTGTAGAAGAGGAAGTTGGCGCCCACCAGCGGGAAGACCTGCACCAGCTGGAAGGGCAATCCGCGCGAGAGCCCCGTCCAGCCCTCATTCCGGAAGACCCGGCGTAGTCCACTCAGCGTGCTCATCTGGCTGCGGCGCGAGGAGGGATCGGCGGCCACCATCTGGGTGCGCACCACGTCCAGGGGCTGGGCCGCCACGGCCCCCAGGCAGCCGGCCAGGCCGCCGCAGACGAAGAACATGAGGAAGGGCCGCTGGCTCCAGAACTCCGACTGGTGGGCCAGGGTGCGGAGCTGTTCGTAGGCCCAGAACTGCACCAGGGCGTACGTGATGCTCAGCACCTGGCCGGAGTTGTGGCCCCGGAACATGCCGCGCATCCCCTCCTCGGCGTAAATCGACTTGAAGGCGTGGATCACCCCGCGGTACTTGGACCCCGAGTGGTCCGTGACCGGCTCCACCTGCATCTGGAAGCGGATCTTCAGCACGTCCAGCGGCTGGGTGATGCTGCGGGTGACAGCGCCGGCGAGTCCGCCGCAGAGGGCCTGCAATACCTGGACTTGCACGGAGTTTTCGGGCATCGGACGTGGGATCGGGATGGGACAGTGGGTGGGATGGAGATGGATACGGATATGAGGTGGGGCTCCCCAGCACAGCAGGAGCTATTGAGGGTACACAGAAAGAAGCACGAGCGTGTTGTCATCCCGCAGGATAGATTTTTTGTCGTTTGTTTCAGTAAAAATAATTAGGCTCCGATTACGTTTGTGTCCATAACTCAGATTTTATAAATTTTAATAATGGGTCGAAATCTAAAAGTACAAAATAATTTGTCTGACAATAATATAAAAGTGTACCTTAAAGAGAGTAATTCTTTTGATTGTCTTCTGATACCTATGGTTTTGGGATACCTAAATGAATATGAATTTTACGATATGTAAATAATATAGTCTCTAGGATGAGTAACGCTCATACCATTACTTTATGTTGTTAACTAATTTAATTCTTTTTCCTCACAGATTATGGAGAAATACTAAATTTAATTTGGCAGCAACTTTATAAATTGTTTTAAATTAAAAATGGTATATATGTATATATAACACATTTAAGAGATTAAAGACTATTGTATTTTTTTTAAAAACAAAATTGATAAAAAACAAGATAGAACGCTATAGTCGGGTGCGTTTACCGACTATCTAATACCCACACTCGGCTAAAGGGATTACAAGGGAGATGGATATATAAAATATTGATTGATGTTCCGATTTGAAAAATGTCTTCTACATTTCGATAGGTATAAATAAACACAACAAAATTGCATTTATACTTCTCGGAAATCCTTAAAGGTGTGGGCGCCAGACACATTTTAAAATCGTTAGTGGACGAGGGGGCGTGGCGTTCGGCTGAAATAAACTTGCGCTGCGTAGGAAGCCCAAGAATATGTGTGGGAAATCTCAACCTTCTAGCTTTTCTAGTTTCCGAGATCTCAGCGTTAGGCTAGTGACCCTGATCAAGAATATATATACTTTATGGGGTCGGAAACGCTTCCTTCTAGCTGTTACAAACTTTTGCACGAATACAATATACTCTTTTACTCTACGAGTAACGGGTATAATTACAATCCAATGAATTTCCAGCACTAATCCCCCCGATCTCTTCCAGCTGTCGCCAAGCACCAGGTCGTCGCGTACACGCAGAGGTCGCAGGTCAAGCATGAGAACCGGCACATCCAGCTGGTGCGGGAGTACGGCTTCCACCCGCGCACCAAGGCGTCCGTGGAGGACGGCGACGTGCTGCCCCGCAAGTTCGAGCCCTTTCCGGAGCACATGTACGGCAAGCCGCTGGAGGAGATTGACACCTTCATCTACGAGGAGGTGAGTCCTCATTATCCTGTGAGCGAGCGACCTCACCCCAGTTGGCCGCCCATTGGCTCTAATTAAAAAGTCGCACGGATTGTGGCAGGAGGGGGGGAAGAGGGGAGGTAAAAGGGGAGGCAGTTGCACAGGCGGCGTAAATGGAACGCTGTTGCTGCTTTTGTTTTGATAGCTTCGTTTCGCTGCACTTGGGCTGCACCATTGTGGGCACAAGTGGAAGTGCACTTTGGCGGCAGGGAGGTGGCAGGTGGGAATGGGTCTGAGGGGTTAATGGAAACGCCTAGAACGGCCCTCGTGGGCCCTCGAGAGCCGAAAAGGAAATCAGCGTAAATGCCGCGCGCTCGTTAAATTTCAAAGGCGGGAATAAATTTTTGGAGCCGTGTACATCAAACAAAGGACACACACAATTGCGCACACGTTTGGCCTGGCCACCGAGTAACCGAGTAGCCGAGTATGTGTGCTGGAAATATGGGTCATGTCATGCACAGGGCTCCGGGCAGCAAAGTTGACAACCGTATTTACGTGACTCAAACAAACTGGCCGGAGTCGCTGCCGCAGCAGCCGCAGAGGACAAATTATAGGCGAACATGCAAGTGTACTCAAGATTCGGCGGCTTTCGGGCCACGTGTCGTGGCGGAATAATTCTGGATAGGCGGACTGGACTGGGCTGAGTAAACATGCAAGTGACCAGCCAGGGCCTGCAATATAATGGGAGTTTCAGCTACGTTGCGGGGAGAGATGAGATGAGCGTACCTGTGACGACGAGTGATGTGTTTATCGATCGACCGGCTATATCGCATATCCCACCAAGTCCAAGACAAACACAGCCGGGCAATCTATAATTAAATCTTATTGGCCAGGGGCTTGCAGTTTCTGGGTCGCAGTGACTCCTGCTCTGGGTGCTGAAACGCTGTCCCACATTCTATAATTAAATCTGGACAGTGGCTACGTAGATTGGGGGAAACTAAGTATCATCTCTGATGGTTTAAGCTGTTGACCACAGGGCTTGATTAAATCCAAGTCACAATATTCCTCTAAGTACTTCTTGAGTCATCAGCGATAAGCCAAGAATGAATTCCATTCCAGTTCTTTGATAAAACTTCAGCCAAAAGCTGTCCAAAGTTTAGTATTAAAATCTACAATAAAGGGGAAGGTAATAGTCTAGAAGAGCGGCCTGAGCACCAAAAACCGCGAAAAAATTACCCTCGATGGACCGCGATTTCTTAGGAATTTACGTGCAGAAGATTATTTGCGGAAATGCATGGTTCTCTTGTAATTGAATTTCAAAGTTGCGTGTTTTGCTATAAAAACAAAGTAGGATTTTGAGGTGTTTTGTGTCATTTTGCTATAAAAACAATGAGCATTTTCTATGAATTTATGGGTTTGCTATAAAAAACAAGTAGGCTTTTGTTGCTTAATCAGAAATTGCACTTTTGATTTTTGTTTACTATGGATTCCTGCAACGGGTGCACTATTTCTTATAAAGACGTTCTTGCCATGGACGAAGAAGAAGTGTTTTCATTTCTGCAGAGACATGGAGTTGTTCTAAAGAGCAAGGACTGTCCCAACTGCAGTAATCCCGCAACATTGTCTTTCAATGCGAAGAGACCGATTAGTACGCCATTTTGGAGGTGCCGCAGGATGATAAGTAATCATCAACAGAAACGGAAATTAAGAAAAGTTCAATGCTCCTTTAAGGTAACAATTGTTTAATTTGAACAAAATATTGCTTTAAATTATATTTGTAAGGAATCCGCCATCAAACGGACATTCTTCAGCAAGTCCCACGTTGGCATTGAACAGGCCTGTAATTTTGTGGCTTGGGAGATGAAGGGTTCAACAATCTCATTCCTTCGGGAAGAACTAGGCTGGTCCCAACAGACGGTGGTTGACTGGAGTAATTTTCTTCGGGAAATTTATCTTAGCTGGACGAAGAAGAACGCAAAACAAATAATAGGTGGAGACGGTTTAACCGTCGAAATTGACGAAACCAAAATTGGCCGGCGCAAGTATAATTGCGGTCGCGTGGTGGATGGCCAGTGGGTTTTCGGAGGAATTTGCAGAGAAACCGGTGACTTTTTTTGGTGCCTGTGGAGGACCGTAGCCAGGAAACACTCCTTCCAATTATAGAGGCCAACATCGCCAATGGAACCAGAATTATATCCGACTGCTGGAAGTCATACAATGGTTTAAAGGATGCGAACTACTCTCACATGATCGTTCATCACTCAGTAAACTTCGTCGACCCTGAAACGGGAGCCAATACACAGCGAATAGAGAGACTATTGCGTGATCTAAAGGAGAACATTCCCCACTATGGCCGGAAAACGGAGCACTACCAAGGGTACATAGCGCGATTCACTTTTTTGAAAAGGCACCCAAACCACACCTCAAGATTCCATGCAATTTTCTCAGCAATGGGCGAATTGTTTAATCCTGAACGCGATGTTAGTATTTAAAAGAGATGGGAAATGCTAAAAAAGCGCCGGAGGCAAAAAAATTAAAAAAAAAAATCGCGCGATTTTTTTTTTAATTTTTTTGCTTCCGGCGCTTTTTTAGCATTTCCCATTTTTTAAATCCACCGATACGGGCAATGAAAAGGAATAGGCTTAATCTGTACCACTAACCAGCATTTTTTATAAATAAATATTTACTGTCCAATCATTAACCATAGTTTAATATAGCATTTTATTTACTATTACAAATGAGTTACAAGTATAAGGAGGTACTGAACTAAAAACTCTCGTAATTGGCTTTGATAAAGACTAAGGTTGATCCTCCTCGGATTGCGATTTCTTAAGATTCATCTTAAAAATGTATATGTTGGTCATCCATGGTCGCCCAAGCTCTTAAGGAATCACGGTCCATCGAGGATATTAATGCGCGGTTGTGGGGTCTGGCCTGCTATAAAAACAATTTCACATTTTTGTCGAATTTTTTCGAACGCTTATTATTTTGACAACAAACGGAAAGCCCATATGTTTTTTATAGCAAAATGACATAAAACACCTCAAAATCCTAGAAAATCCTACTTTGTTTTTATAGCAAAACACGCAACTTTGAAATGCAATTACAAGAGAACCATGCATTTCCGCAAATAATCTTCTGCACGTAAATTCCTAAGAAATCGCGGTCCATCGAGGGTAATTTTTTCGCGGTTTTTGGTGCTCAGGCCGCTCTTCTAGACTATTACCAAGGGGAATATTAATTGGATCAAAAGTTGCCAAAATTAAATTTTAGTCAGTGACTTTGCTCATCTCTGAAACTGACCAAACATTCCTCTGGCTTTTGAGTAACTTTCCTAACCAAATAAGGCGGCAGCAGTTCTTCTGAATATTACATTTTAGCTGGGCAAACCTCCCCAATCACTTGCCGATGGAAACTGGGCTGCCAAGCTCTCAGGTGGAGAATCAAAGTGCTTAATTGCATTTAATGGCACTCTGCTGGCAAACACAGCCCGTCTGCTCCTCTCGGGCGTCCTGATAAGACACAGACGCCGCATGTTTGCCGGAATTTCGAATCCCGAACAAGGCCCTACACAACTTTTCATTTCGGGCACTTAAAAGTACACACGCTTATCCTTAAGCTCTCTCCGACCACATTTTCAGTTTCTACCCCGCATGCAAATTTACAGCCGCACGGCCCACAAAATGGTAAATGGCAAACTGCCACCCAATCGTAATTTCTGCTTGTTACATTAAAATTTCTGCTTACTCGGCTGAGCGACGTTTATGTGTGTATTACAGTGACAAACGACCTTCAGCTGCAGACAAGTGGGTTGGGTTGAAACATCATCCTCGGCAGCGGCAGCAGGCAGCAGGCACATCTGCATATATAATTGAAGAAATCAGGGCGCTAATGAACAACTCAGTTTGGCCCGGGCAGCGGCTTCAGGTTTAGTTTGCTGGCTGCTCCCCTCCGGCGGCACACAAATCGATATTCGGAATGTGGCCAAGGAGCGGGAGCAGCGGAACAGCATGACGAGCGCAGGACACGCGCTCCCTGGGGCCAGAGGAGCACCAGTAATCGTATTAGCCGATTTGGTGGGAATTTACTGCCCAGCCTCGGGCTGATCAATGTTTAATGGGGTCTGGCGAATCCCTGGCAAATCCGTAGTTCCAATCCGCCGGCTGGCTGATAGCGACGCCCAGTGGGCCTAGAATCTGGAATGGCTAAAACACTTTCAGCAAAACGTGCTCTCCGCTCACGCACATATAGACACATGATTCGCGAGTGTGGTTATGTCGAAAAAGCACGCTCGCTCTCCTCTCTCTCTTACTCTTTCACTCTCATTAACAACACATGCTTTTTCTCGTGGAACCTTGGCGAAAATCCAGTAATTTATTTGAATCAATTTTACGTGAAGGGAAACGTGAATTTTAAATGCACATTTGCTAAATTACATTCGGGCCCTTTTATGCAAGAGGGTGACCCAGTAGTCGGCGTTTTCGTTTCGGTGTGTTTAGCATCAATCAAGAGTTCCTGGAAAGGGCGAGAAAGAACGCGAATTAGAACCTTGCGTGCGGCGGTTGGAAGGGGGAAAGGGTGCTCCCGGGGGCAACTGAACTCACCATTTAGTGGGCGATGGCGCTGCGATTACTTGGACCTTGCACGCATCTTTCTGCGCTTACGCTTCAACCTACGCATACGCTTCTTACGCCACTGCAAAACGAGAGAAAACACGGTTAATTGATGTTCACTTATTGGGATGCACAAATATTGGCATATTTCACTATGTTTCAGATTATTTCACTGGAGAACCAATTTACCTTAGCTCTCATTTTCTGTCTGGTCGGGACGACTGCTTGAGAACGAAAGAAAGATTTCGGAACGGATATTTGCCTCCTAACCTCGCGTGGCTTTGCAGGGTTGCTTTGGCACGGGGGCCTATCGATAGGGGCGCTGCCACTTAAGGTGACCATTTGGGCAGTGTTGCCACTTACTTTGTGCTGCCACATCAGGTTTTAATCCAATCCAATCGACAGTTTTTTGGCCTATCGATAGGGCGATGCCACTTGGGTGACCATTTGGCCAGCGTTGCCATTTACTGTAGACCTCTGTGCTGCCACATCAGATTCTCGTAATTTATAAATTTTAATAAGAATTCCCGCTAAATTGGTATTAAGTGAGGCTACCAAGTCCGCAAAATAAGTACGAACCCCTTATAAAATTAGACTGACACCCACCACTCACCCAACTTAAAAGACACTTTCCAAACAACACCCTGTACTCTGCCCGCTCTTTTCAAATCCTACCTTCGCCCCACTTAAAACTCTTCTCAAACAGACCTTCTGCGTGGTGTCCAAGCGGTTCCGCAAGAACTACATCCACCGCTTCACGGGCACCAAGAGCCTGTTCCTCTTCTACCCATGGAGCCCGGCGCGGCGCGTGTGCGTCTACATCGCCACCAACCAGTTCTTCGACTACTGCGTCATGGCCACCATCCTGTTCAACTGCATCTTCCTGGCCATGACGGAGACCGTGGAGGAGGCCGAGTACATCTTCCTGGCCATCTACTCGATCGAGATGGTCATCAAGATCGTGGCCAAGGGCTTTCTGCTCAACAAGTACACGTACCTGCGCAACCCCTGGAACTGGCTGGACTTCGTGGTCATCACCAGCGGCTACGCCACCATCGGCATGGAGGTGGGCAACCTGGCCGGGCTGCGCACCTTCCGCGTGCTGCGCGCCCTCAAGACGGTGTCCATCATGCCCGGCCTGAAGACGATCATCAACGCGCTGCTGCACTCGTTCCGCCAGCTGGCGGAGGTCATGACCCTGACCATCTTCTGCCTGATGGTCTTCGCGCTCTTCGCCCTCCAGGTCTACATGGGCGAGCTGCGCAACAAGTGCGTGCGCCAGGTGCCCACCGACTGGACGAACGTCTCGCACGCGGACTGGCAGATGTAAGTATCCTTCTAAGGAGACTTCTTCGGGTCACCAATGTATTGCACTTTCAGCTGGGTCAACGACACCGACAACTGGCTGTACGACGAGGATGAGCTGCCCGTGCTGTGCGGCAACCTGACTGGCGCCCGCCACTGCCCCTTCGAGTACGTGTGCCTCTGCGTGGGCGAGAACCCCAACCACGGCTACACCAACTTTGACAACTTCATGTGGTCCATGCTGACGACCTTCCAGCTGATCACGCTGGACTACTGGGAGAACGTGTACAACATGGTGCTGGCCACCTGTGGGCCCATGAGCGTCTCCTTCTTCACGGTGGTGGTCTTCTTCGGCTCGTTCTACCTGATCAACCTGATGCTGGCCGTGGTGGCGCTGAGTTACGAGGAGGAGGCGGAGATCACAAACGAGGTGAGTACATGCTACCTACCCTGCATACCCTACATCCATTACCAACCCTTCGATGTCTCTGTAGGAGCGCAAGAAGGACCTACTCGACCACCGGGACGACTCCACGTTCAGCTTCGATCCCTCGGTGCTGAACGTCAAGAAGCTGAACAAGAACAACAAGAAGAAGATCGACTCGCGGAAGGGCGTGCTGCTGGCCTCGTACAGCAAGAAGAAGACGCGGCGAAAAAAGGCCAAGGGCGGCAAGGAGGGCGGCGGCACCAATGGCAATGGAAACGGCAGCAACGGCAACGAGCCCAAGTCCCACTCGGCGACGCCCAGTCCGGGTCCAAGTCCCCGGCACAGCGCCACGGAACGCCCCTCGGCGCTCACCCTGCAGGCCCAGAAGCAGTACCAGCAGATGGAGCAGCAGCACCAGCTGGCCAAGGCGACAGGCGGAGGCGACACTGCCACCGCTCCCGCGCCAAAGGGACGCATCAGCTTCCAGGACAGCGGCGTGGGCGTCAAGAACCCCAACATGCTGTACCCCTCGGACTTCAAGGGCCAGCTCATCGCGAGCAGCCGGCAGGCGAGCTCCAATTCCAGCGGCGTGAACCGCGAGTCCTCGCAGGACGATTCCGGAGTGGTGGACGATCACGAGGAGCAGGATACGACCAACGAGCTGGGCCACGTGTCCACCGTGGAGCTGGCCCTGTCGCCGCGCGAGGTGCGGCTGATCAAGTGCAATGGGAACATAGCTCGGATCAAGAACCACAATGTGTACGCGCTGCACCAGGAGTTCTCCTCGGAGGTGGTTGTAATCGGTGAGTTGGTCATCCAGTTGTATGTTCATTTTATGTGACTCCATAACCCATTCCAGATGACCTGCCCGACCGGAACTGCGACCGATGTGTTCACTGGTGCACCGACTACGAGAGCTGGCTGCAGTTCCAAAACTGCCTGTATAAAGTGGTGCGAGATCCCCTCTTTGAGCTGGCCATCACCCTTTGCATTGTGCTGAACACCGCCTTCTTGGCCATGGAGCACCACGGGATGAGTGAGAGCTTTCGCAATGCCCTGGATGTGGGAAACAAGGTGAATTCAATGCGGTTGCTTCCAAGCATTAGCTTACATACCCATCTGCCCCTCAGGTCTTCACGTCCATTTTCACGTTCGAGTGCATTGTGAAACTAATGGCGCTGTCCAAGGACTTTTTTCTGTGCGGCTGGAACATCTTCGACCTGCTCATCGTCACTGCCAGCTTGCTGGACATTATATTCGAGCTGGTCGACGGCTTGAGCGTCTTGCGTGGCTTGCGATTGGTTAGAATAACTTGTACAGCTTAAAGTTCCTATATTCTAAGATGTTTGATTCCAGCTGAGGGTATTGAAACTAGCCCAATCGTGGACTACAATGAAGGTACTGCTAAGCATTATAATCTCAACGATCGGCGCCCTCGGCAACCTGACGCTGATCCTGGTCATAGTCATCTACATATTTGCCGTCATCGGCATGCAATTGTTCTCCAAGGACTACACGCCAGAGAAGTTTGACCCAGATCCAGTCCCAAGGCAAGACGAGAGATTAAAGTGGGTTAAAATGCAGAAGTTAATTATTTGTTTTTACCAGATGGAACTTCAACGACTTCTTTCACTCGTTTATGATGATCTTTCGCATTCTGTGCGGCGAATGGATCGAACCGCTCTGGGATTGCATGCGTGCCGAGGAGGAAGTATGACTATTGGCCTCATTATTATTCTATAATAGTACTAAATACAGATTTATCCTGCAGCAAGGAGCCTCCACCTGCTTTGCCATATTTCTGCCGACTCTCGTGATGGGGAACTTCATGGTGCTCAACTTGTTCTTGGCCCTGTTGCTCAACAGCTTCAACTCCGAGGAGCTCAAGTCGAAAAAAGAGGCAAGTCAGATGCTCCGGTTGCCCGTTTTCCGATCCCAGTTTCTTAACGTTCGTGAATGTATATGTCTATATGTCTATGTGTGTCCCAGCAAGGGCACTTAAACAACCGAACAACTAAACCAAATAGCTCCAAAATCGACAGGGGAGAGATGCCTCTCTCCCCGCGTCATAAAACGATCCCCTAAAGTGGTTAAGACGATCGATTAGATCGATCGCTAAATGTTTGACTTGAATTTGTCTTGCACCTTGATGTGGTTTTCGGTATTTGTGTGTCTCTAAGTGTGAGATCTTAGCTTCATCATCCATCGCGCGATGGCACTCCCCTTAATTGAAGTACCAGTTGAATTATACACCATACGATCCGAGGCACTCTTCTGTTTCCACGAGCAAATTCGATTATCATTTTCATGTTTCTAACTCCCCACTAAATTCCATCGCTCTCTGCATTGTGTTACTAACTGTGCTAAATGTTTATATTCTACTATTTAACTAAATCTTAAATAACCCAACCCGGCACAGGAGTTAATCCCTCGCCTTTTGCTGGGTTTTTCAGTTCGGCTCTCCGAATCTGTCTCAATGGGGTTTGTTCTGAGGACTTTTACACATCTATTCCGAATTGCATCCGACTGAGAGCCAGAACAAACCCTATTAAGTTTCCCGTATAAGTCTTAATGTACGTCTACATGTAAAAACAATCTCTAAAATGCACTTAAGCGTAATCCAATTAACAAAATTTCTGTCGTCAACTCTGCACAATGCGTTTTAAACCTTAACTTACCACACGAAAAACACCCAAAACACTTGACACAATCTAAAAACCGATAACCAAACCAACCGAAACTAAAACAATTTAAATACACTGAAAACGTTAAACAGATTTTCAAGAAGAAGGTAATTTTTCCAACTAAACCGTTCTTACTTGCTTTAAACTTGCTTGCCTCGTTTGCGTTAACCAATCCATGTATCTAAATCCAGACATACTGTATAATATATTGTGTAGTCAAAAGTTAATCAGGCTATATATGTACGTTGTAATCTTTTGTGTTGCCTGCCCTTAGCGTAAACCGTTTTCAGTTCTGTATGCATTGGATCCCTAATCGTATAATGTCAATATCGATGTCAATTCAAAAAGAAACTTGTAGCGAACTCTTCAGTTGAGTTACCCCCTCGTCTCTGCTCGGTTCTAATGCCTCTGAATCTCTGTCCCAAAATAGGAAGTGGGCGAGGAGTCCAAGTTGGCGCGGAGTATTGAGCGCGTGCGCGACCTGATTCGCAAGAAGCGGCAGGAGCGCAAGGATCGCAAGGAGCGAAAGTTCGCGGAGAAGTTCCAGCAGATCGTCCTGGATGCCCAGCAGGCGCATGCCCAGGCTCACTCCCAGCAGGCTGCAGTCGGCGTGGAGAGGGGCGACAAGCCGGGTGTGCTGGCCGAGACCAAGTTCCATAGACTGAGCTATCAGGTAAGAGGTATTCACTAGATAATTCCACCCAATTTAACCCACCTATTTGTTCTTCAGGAGTCTATGAACAGGCCCGTCTCCGGCTCCGATTTTGGCTTCCAGATCCCCCTGCACGACGGCTTGCACACGATTGTCGATGGTCTCGAGTACGATGACACGGGAGACTTGCCAGAGCAGATCCAGCTGCAGGCCCATCCACTGCCACCCACGTCAGACTCGTTGCCACCGACCTACGAGAGCGCTATGATGGCCGCCGCTGCCGCTGCCTTTCCGTCCGTCAACGGGAATGGAAATGGAAGTGGGAACGGCAACGGCAATCAAAACCTGACGCCGTTCGCCCAAGCGGAGCGCCGGCTGCAGCACCAAATATCCTCGGGCGTGAGCACTCAGCAGAACGATTCGCGCGACGAGGCCACCTACACAGAGTCCATCGAGCTGCGCCTGCTGGGTCAGTACAACTCCACGGACACGGATCCCTACGCCGCAAATGATCAGCGCAGCGGCTGCGGCTCCTTCAACCGCGGCGACTCTCTGCAGGACAACTCCTCGCGGCGCTACGGCAGTGAGGAGCACGACGAGGCGTACCTCAAGTACCAGAAGTCCCTGCTGACGCGATCGCCCAGCTACCGCAAGTCGCTCGATCGCCTGTCGCAATCCAGCGGACAGTCGCAGCGATCACTGCTCAAGTCGGAGGAGGCCGAGATGCGGCGGCACTCGAGTGGCCAGTCCCTGAACTCCATATCGATCGAGCAGGACGAACTGCTGTCGCAGCAGGGCAATCTGCGCGAGGAGCTGCTCAACTGCGACCAAAAGGAACTCTTCCAGTTCCTGCAGGAGGCGGAGGACGAGAAGGGCACCAACCTGAGTCGCATCTCGAACGCCATGCGGTCCCGACGGCCCTCCAGTCAGTTGGGTCAGCCGGAGAGCGAGGCCCTCGTCGAGCACTCTGAGTTCGACAACATTATCCAGAGCTTCGAGAAGGAGCTGGAGGAGATCAAGCGTTCGACCACCTCGCTGGAGCGCAAGCTTTCCAACCTTTCTGAGCCCTCGCCGGCAGCTGACGAGGCCACCAAGGCCATTATGGAGCACATTGCCATTATAACGGGCGCTTCGGAGCGCTCGGCCGCCGACGAGGTGGTGCACCCGTTGAATCCCTACGACAGCTACGATTTGTCCAGCGTGCCGCGACGTTCGCAGTCCGTGAGCGCAGCCGCCCAGCGCCAGTCTGTGAAGCTGAAGCGACGCAGCCTGGAGAAGCAGCGAAAGATCGACGAGGACTTCAGCATCTCGAACGAGATACGCAAAATCTGTGATCAAATCCACGCCCCCTTCGTGGCCATGGAGGCCATGGCGGTGGCAGCCACCAGCGCCAGCCAGGCGACCAGCCAGCCCAGTCAATCTCCTTTTCTGCGTCGCAAGATCGACCCCTTTACGGTGCAGTTCGACCGCTTCAAGCGCCTCTCCCTCATCGAGCGCGTGGAGGAGCTGCCCGAGGAGGAGAAGCCCATCTCCACACTGCGCATCGAGTCGGAGAAGATGCCGCGCAAGTTTCTCCACGGCCACGAACAGCTGGGCCTGGACAGCCTCTCGCTGAAGAGCACCAACTCGTACGAAAACCTCCTCATCCAGAAGCAGAAGCTGGGCATGGCCACGCCCCCCGCCGTTCCCGCCACTCCGCCCACCTCCCTGAAATCGAGCATCGAGCCACCGACACTGGCGCAAATTTCATCGCTAAAGACCACCCCGCCGCTGGCTGCTCTCACCGAGCACCAGCAGCACTTTCATGCCACGAGCATCCAAGCAGCACCCACTCACGGCCACGCCCACGCCCATGCCCACGCCCATGGCCACTCGCAGGCACACGCTGGGCAACGGCGACGCCCGGAGCATCTACAATCGACGCTAGACAAAGCCGCATCCTTCCAGTCCGCGCGCACCGAGTCGCACAGCTCGGGAGCGGCCGACACGAGCTCGGCCTTGGCCCTGGCCATGGCCCACAAGACTGAGCAGTCCCAGTCGGCGGCGCCGCCAGAGGCCGCCCAGAAGCCGTCGGCATTCACGAGACTGACCGAAAAACCATGGCATTGTTTGGTTTCCTACGTAGACGATCTCACTGTCGGTGGGAGACGTAACTCGCAGGGAGCTTACAATGATCCCATGACTTTTCCGAGCTACGGGGCCGCGAAGCCGCCAAAGGTGCCCGACGACTGTTTCCCCCAGAAGTGCTACGATCAGTAAGTATGCCGCTGTCCTGTATAACTGTTTGATTCTAACTCGAACCCCTTTCAGCTTCTACTTCCGCTGCCCCTGGTTCATGAGCTGCATGGACACGCAGAGCGCCAAGCACTGGACGCGCGTGAGGACGGCTGTCTTGACGGTTGTCGATACTCCGGCCTTTGAGTGGTTTGTGCTGGTGCTGATCTTTGCGTCGAGTATCACGCTCTGCTTCGAGGACATCAACCTGGACAAGAACAAGACGCTGAAGCGCGTGCTGTACTGGATCAACTTCTCCTTCTGCCTGATATTCGTCGTGGAGATGATCCTCAAGTGGCTGGCCCTGGGCTTCTCCAAGTACTTTACCAGCTTCTGGACGATACTAGACTTTATCATTGTGTTTGTGAGTGCATTTTTGGATTGTATTTAAAGGAGTAGTTGTAACCTAGTTGTTATCCCCTCCAGGTGTCGGTTTTCTCGCTGCTCATTGAGGAGAACGAGAACTTGAAGGTCCTGCGCTCGCTGCGCACCTTACGAGCCTTGCGTCCGCTGAGAGCCATCTCTCGGTAAGTTGACCCAGCGACTGGGATCTCTCGATAGGCTGCACCACGACCTACTACTCATCCGTGCATCCGGTGAAGAAAGCTCTCTGCGTAGGAACTCAGCCTCTGCTTCTCGTTCTTCCTCTGTCTCTACTGATCTCTACTGATCTCTGTGTCTCTTTTTCCGGGGAGGAGTTGGTCAGACCGAGCGATGCGATCCAAGCCGTGTGCAGTGTTTAATACAATCTCGTCTTCTTTATGGATTTCGAATAGAAATACAAATACGTACTCGTAGAACACGCATTGCATCGTCCTCGCCTCCGTCCTTGTCCTCGTCCTCGAATCTGTGTAGTCTGTAGCTGAAGTCTAGACTTCTGCTTCTGTTTAACTTGTAAATTGTAGATAACTTCACATGTACATATATATACGTTGTAATCCTAAGATAGCTAAATAGTTGACTAAGCAGAGATCCACTCCGCCACCCATTCATCTGTATACGTATACCCATCATAGCACGGCTCCGGCACAGTTGAGACGACCTGCGTCCGTAATCCCGTAATTTCTAGCATTTCATCGTCCATTTCTATTCCAGGTGGCAAGGAATGCGGATTGTAGTAAACGCTCTCATGTATGCAATACCATCAATTTTCAATGTACTCTTGGTTTGTTTAGTTTTTTGGTTGATATTCTCAATAATGGGTGTTCAGTTCTTTGGTGGTAAATTTTTCAAGTGCGTTAATGAGATGGGCGAGTTGCTGCCGATTACTGTGAGTATTTTTCCTTGGGGGAGAATCAGATGTAGCTCCACCCCAGCAGGCCGAGCATTTAACTAATCTATGCGTGTTGCAGGAGGTGAACGACAAGTGGGACTGCATCGAACAGAACTACACGTGGATCAACTCCAAGATCACCTTCGACCACGTGGGCATGGGCTACCTGGCCCTCCTGCAAGTGGCCACCTTCGAGGGCTGGATGGAGGTGATGGCCGACGCCGTCGACGCTCGCGGAGTGGACCTGCAGCCGCAGCGGGAGGCCAACCTATATGCTTATATTTATTTTGTTATATTTATTGTGTGCGGATCGTTCTTCACACTCAATCTGTTCATTGGAGTTATCATTGATAACTTCAACATGCTCAAGAAGAAGGTAAGTCCATTGGCCTATGCTCCTGCTCCTGCTACTGCTCCGCAGCTCAGCTTCTCTGCATCCACACGTGAATCACCTGTACATACGCTACCCACCTCCATCTCGATCCATCTCTGATTTGTATTGCCGTATTCCGTATGCTGTATTCCGTTCAAAACGCCGTCATTATGTGTATCTCTAACCGTGTTATTGTGTTGCAATGTTTTGCCGAATTGTTCATAGAATACGTTTAGCATACCGCTTAGTGTGTTACATAACTGTGGATTGTATATATATAATTAAATGTTCATTCTATTCTCATCACTTTTATAGTATGAAGGCGGAGTGTTGGAAATGTTTCTCACCGAATCTCAAAAACACTATTACACGGCTATGAAAAAATTGGGACGAAAGAAACCACAGAAAGTTATTAAGCGACCTATAAATCATTTTTTAGCTATGTTTTATGATTTATCCAATTCGAGAAGGTAAACAAACCCGTCAATCAACCCCTGAATCAACCAATCTCAATCTAAGACCAGCAAATTACGTATTCTTACTTATAGTTTGTACTTACTATTACTATTAGTCCTACTCTGTCTCTCTGAAACTAAGTTTAACTCTTGTACTAACTCGTATGCTAACTAACCAACGCGTAGTTATCTCTCGGCTAGGACCATAACACTTCTATAGAATGTTTCTGATTTGGTGATAAAACTCATTTAAACACTTGTGATTCCCGGCATTTTTGGTCCAATCCGGTGCTTGTCCCCAAAGCAAACACCGTCAAAAATGCCTCTATCTTCTGTAATCTGTAATCTGTATTCTGTATTCTGTACTCTGTATCCTATTCAAATGCATACTTCTTGAAGTTCTGTAGAGCACCTTTTGCTATGATATGCTATGACCGACCTATACAATTTAGATATTATCCGGAATATCGAACTTTCCGCACTCTGGGCATGTTCTATCTATGGGATGAGTAGCTGTCCTTTGGCCTCTCGATTGGCCGTCCCCTAAGAACTCACTCCCTGTGTGTACAACCAGCATGTAAATACATAGTTAGCTTTAGATATAGTTTACTTAATAATTCTATGTACTATAAAACGGTGCTCCCCACAATGCCTGTACATAATTCCCTTCTTTCTGAATTTTTTCGGAGCACCGCGACTTCGGCCAGGCCGAAGTTTAGTAAAAATAACAAATACAAGACTTTAATCAAAATCCACTTTCGTGATGTGCAGGTTCGAGATCGCGATCTTTGTACTGATATTTCTTAATATGCTTACCATGGGCATCGAGCACTACGATCAGCCGCATGCGGTCTTCTTCATTCTGGAAGTGAGCAACGCCTTCTTCACCACCGTTTTTGGTCTGGGTAAGTGATTGGAAAGGGGTTTCCTTCCTGGTTATCACAGATTTTATTCCCACAGAGGCCATTGTGAAGATCGTCGGCCTGCGCTACCACTACTTTACGGTGCCGTGGAACGTGTTCGACTTCCTGCTGGTGCTGGCCTCCATCTTCGGCATCCTGATGGAGGACATCATGATAGACCTGCCCATCAGTCCGACGCTGCTGCGCGTGGTGCGAGTCTTCCGCATCGGACGCATCCTGCGGCTCATCAAGGCCGCCAAGGGCATCCGGAAGCTTCTGTTCGCCCTCGTGGTGTCGCTGCCCGCCCTCTTCAACATCGGCGCCCTGCTGGGACTGATCACCTTCATCTACGCCATCCTGGGCATGTCGCTCTTCGGACACGTCAAGCTCCAGGGCGCCCTCGACGACATGGTAAACTTCCAGACCTTCGGGCGCAGCATGCAGCTGCTGTTCCGGCTGATGACCTCCGCCGGGTGGAACGACGTGCTCGAGTCGCTGATGATCCAGCCCCCGGACTGCGATCCCTTCATCCACGGCCAGACGAACGGGAACTGCGGCCACCCGCTGCTGGCCATCACCTACTTCACGAGCTTCATCATCATCAGCTACATGATTGTGATCAACATGTACATTGCCATCATCCTGGAGAACTTCAATCAGGCGCACCAGGAGGAGGAGATCGGCATCGTCGAGGACGATCTGGAAATGTTCTACATTCGCTGGTCCAAGTAGGTGTACTCTCCCTGGCAGTAGGCCGCAGCCATAGGATCTCGATGGCGAACTATTTGAAGACACAATGCTGAACTGATTCGAAATGATTTACTTGCAGATATGATCCACATGCCACCCAATTTATACACTTCTCGCAACTGTCCGATTTTATTGCCTCTCTCGATCCACCATTGGGCATCTCGAAGCCCAATAATGTCGCTTTAGTGTCATTTAATCTGCCCATCTCTAAGGGCAATAAAATACACTGTCTCGACATTTTGCACGCGCTCGTGAAGCACGTGCTAGGTCATGTCGAGGAGACCGATAACTTCAAACAGTTGCAGGAACAAATGGATGTCAAGTTCAAGAAACAGTTTCCAACGCGCAAAGAATTGGAAATTGTTTCGTCGACGCGGATCTGGAAGCGCCAGGAAAAGGCGGCTAAGACCATTCAGACGGGCTGGAAGGAGTATTTGCGGTACTACAATTACCACACCAGCCAATAACCTCACCTCCCCTAGCATTCTAGCAACGAGCCTCTCTGTCCGACCCCTTTGAGTGTTTCTAATCTTTTGGTGGTGTCTCTTCACAGGCGAAAGCGGGAGAAGGAGCGCTCCAACTCCGGGGACAGTGCCACTCAAACCTCCAGCCCAGGCGGATGGCAATCGAAGCTCTCTGCCCTGAACTTCTTCCACCTCCAGGTAAGTGATAATGCTGCTATCTAGCCTTCACCTGCTAATTACATACGATTCATTCCAGGTGAGTCGACGTGGCACCGCCTGCTCTAGTCGGGCCTCGTCCCGCAAATCCTCGCGTGCCTCGGACGCCTCCGACCTCAGTGAACTGGCCGGACCCTGGCTGAACCTCCCACTCATGCTCGTCTCGGGGGCCGACGACGTAGTCAAGGACATCAAGCAACAGAGCGACGAGCTGGGCAAACGGTAGTTATCATCACCTCACCGCCAGACCACCCACCCACCCACTACCACACTGACACCTGACACACACACAACAAACATACACACACCCAAGAACACTGACACGTAGCCATTCCATGTATGTTTGTGTTTCATGGCTGCGATGAATTTGAAATGCAATTTTTAGACGAAAACGAAAGGCTTCCCATGTGCTCATGCCACCATATAACATGCATACCAACAAGAACATAACCGTCGATCTGCATCGATAAATTAACGTTTTGTGTGTCCACAGTGTATATGAACTTAAGCCCTATTTCTAGCAAATCCTCTTGTATCTCCTTAAACTATGAGTCCCTGCTCGCAGACATGGTCACTGCCGTTCTCAGAAGTGGCTCGCAGCCTAGTGGCTTGAATTACCTAGGTAAAGGCAACTCCCATCTCCATCAGCTGCTTAGCTTAGCTGGCCAGCAATAACCTACTACTTACTACGTACAATCTTAAATCTTACAACAGACAACAATCAGAAACCAAAATATCAGTATCAGTATATCAGTATCAAAACAAATGCAACAACAAGCTAACTTAACAACTTCGTTTTTAGTTCTCGACTATAACTCATCCATACTCGTTGTATATTCAACTAGACTAAGTATATGTATCTATTGAACTTAAACAACTATCCAGTACTCGTACCAGTCGACCTATTTACGTATTCTATCTAGTATATCCATCCAAACTCGACTCTCAACTCGCAACTCAGCTCATTTAAGCGAACGCAAGCAAAGTCTGTCAAAAACTCATTTGCCGTCAGAAGTTCTCTACAGCAACTCTCTATTCAACTACTATTCAACAACAATTATCAGAACAAGAACCACAGCTAATTGCAGTTTTGTAACATTCGAGTAAATGCCTATAATAAGATCATTTGTAAGTAGCGGCCTATTCCTTTGAAACCAATCCGTAGAATCCACCCACTCCGACTTCACCCGACTCGCCGAACGGCCGAATGATGGCCGATGGACACGTGAATGCGCAATTTGAGTTCATTTTGATTGGTTGCTTGCCCTTATCTAGATCGTTAACATAGTTTGGCTATCAATAAGTACTCTCATCTAGTTTAAACCCTAAACGTAGCTTACCGAACATGTCACCAGGTAATTGGATCTCCAAGTCGAAATCGAAATCTCATCCAAAATCAATTTTCATTGCCATTCATAACGATGTACAGCTTCTTTAGTGTCGAAAGCTTTACCTTCTTCCTTTGTTACTTCGTCAAAAAATTGCAGCTATCGTTGAAACGAAACAATCCTCGACTTTTATATGTGAACTACCGACCTACCTGAAACCTAAAACCCAAAACCCAAAACCCAACATTCTACATCCAGATAAATGAAATTTATGCTTATGATTGTTACTGTTATTCCAACTACTAAACTATTACTATTATTAGCGGTAGCATATTTGTGGAAGCGCCTAGAGCAAGTCGTCGCCGAAGCTTTTATAATTTCTTTTTGCGTCATCAGGATGCTGTCGATGACAGCTTAACCTCACCTTCAGTACATAGAAAAAGTAATTATTGACAAGTGCCTACTCACCCACCCACTTTCCACTCGACCTAATTACCCGCCAACCGCCCAAAACCACCCAACCTCACCCATTCACGACTCTTGCGCTATTTGTAAATACTCTCTGTACATAGCCAGCACCTTGAGCCACCTCTGCACCACACTCTGAATCTCAGTCAGTATCAACCTCACATGTTTGTGGCTTTATCTCTCCATCAAGATGCATTCCATCGAAACCAATATGCATTCCTAGTTATAAGCTTACGTTCTTGACTCATCAACCGTTACTCGCTGCGATCTCTCTATCTCTTATATCTCGATCTATATCTGTCTATCTGACCTACCTGTCTGTCCACACAACCTTCGTACTTGTGCGTTGTGCCACCACTACTGCCCGACACTAATGCGTGCCTTTCACCCACGACAGCCGCTATGAACAACAACACGACCAACACCACCTCAGCCTCCGCCTCCACCTCTGGCACGACCTCCTCCACCGCCTCCGCCCCACTGGGAGCCACTGGGTGTGGCCCAGCAGCCTCCGCCTCCGACAGCGACCGACATCAGGCGGTGGGGGGTGGGTCGGCGGCGATTCCCTCACGTAAGCGCGCCTCTAGTTTCATACGCAAGAAACCGCCCCTAGAAAGAGGTTTGTCAGCACAAAGCGCTTTAAGAGTAAACAAGAACGCTTTTGTCTGTATGTGTGAATTGTACTTGCTATCCCCCCCTTGAGCAGCCCACTAAAGTCCTCCTCTTTTGCCGCCTTCCAGCCGAGGCGCCGGCCCCCGAGGTGATCGTCACCAGGCCGTCGCCGGACCAGCAGACGCATCCGCACTCCCTGAGCCTGCGACCGGACAACGCCACCCTGGTCCACGTGCTGGTCCACCGCGAGAGCGAGGAGTACAAGGAGGAGGACGAGAGCAGCAGCCCGTCCTCCCCCGGAAATGGAAACGGCATTGGCTGTGGCCTGGACAGGCTGGCCAAGCAGGCGCCGCCTCAGATACGCATCAGCACGGGCTCCGTGGAGAGCAGCACCATGGACACGTGCGCGATGCCCACAGTCCAGATTATGGTGGACAGTCCCAAGGATCCGCCGCGCGGTGATTTCAGCACCGAGTTTGCGGCTGCCATTGAGGACGTGGATGCGCCCATCGATGTGAATGTCCAGGGCGACACATCGCAGGTGTTCTACGACTACAATCCCGACAGGGATGAAGCGGAGGAGGAGGAGGAGAAAGAAGCGCTGGACGAAGCACTTCCAGACAGACAGAGATGACCTCCGGTCAACATTCCACAGCGGGAAACGGAGCAACGGTCCACCAGTGGCAGCAAGAGCAGTGGCAGCAGCAGCAGCAGCACCAGCAGCGCCAGGAGCAGCTCGTCCTCCTCGTCGTCGGCGGCATCGGCAGCCGCTCCTTCGACGCGGCGTCCAAGCTGACAACCTCCAGTCTGAGTGCGTATTCGATGCCGATTCCTGTGCGCATTTGTGTCAGAACTCGTAGTTTCTTAGGCTTAGGCAGGGGGATCGCCTAAGATCGCCCTTTGTTATCATAGTCGATTACCTATATAATTATATACTAGTCGCTTTATACGATATACATACATATATACACATATACAGATACAGATACGGAGCTATCCAAATTTATACATACAATATCAATTTAAGGAGGAAATCAATATTAACTATGTTAACAAGAACGTGCATTAAACCGTTGTAGTACTCGAATCAAATCAAAAGTCCGAAGGAGTCGGTCGGAATTACCATCATCATGGTTATGGTCACAATCAGAATTGAGGAAGAGGAGGAGGAGATTCGTCGGTAGTTTACTGCCCGATTTAGTCGTAGTCGTCAGATCGGTTTGCCCACTCCAAGGGGGAGAACGAAGGCGAGGTGTTGCACACGGCCATTCCATATCCCCCTTTGCCGTGGGCCGACTTTCTTGAACATTTTCGAAGGTTGTTTTGAACTATACAATACCATAGAGATTGGCATTACTTGCATACATTACATGTGTAACTAACTATCGCGGTTAGACCTAGGCTCATAACTGTAGTGTTTGATTTCTCAATTATATCGACCGCATATACGAAGGTATATGTGAATAGTATCTAAATACATTGTGTACATATGCCAAAGGAAGTATTTTAAACTAAAGAGCTAGTTAAAGAGCTGTAGTTACAGACATATGACATTAGTTAGAGACAATTTATTGAAATATTTATAAAGGTTTTTCGTTACGATAGCGCATCAAATTGCCGATTACCAATACGAATACCATAGCGAATATTATCCATTACCGATTGTTCGAAGTACAAAAGCGAAGTATTAGTAGATTTGATTATTATTATATTGTATTGTACATATCTTATGGCTCCTCCCCGATCCCCTTCGCTCTTTCTCTGCTACATCTAATCCAATCGAATGGAATCGAATCCAATCCAACAGTAAGAACTAAGCCAAAAACAATGTCAAGTGATTTTGTACTCTGAACACACACTCACATATTTAAATCGAACCTAATCCCAGTCGGGATCTAGCCACTACACTGCACTATAATCGCAATCGTTATCAATCCAATCCAAGGAAACCCGAAATCAATCAGCAGTCCTACCTATGTACCACTGAGAAGAATTTTTATGATTGTGAACTTAATTTAGCTTATTTCCGATTAAGTATAGCCGAAACAAGCGAATCAAAAGCAAGCAACAAGCAAATGCAAGAAGTGTGCTCTCCTATACAAAGAACAACCCACAAGCTTCCACAAGAAATCTATTTTAGCAAGATAATTTACAATTTACACTCGACTTCTTTGTACGACTTTGATAATGGTTGGGTCGGGCCAAGTTTCCAAGAAACTCGCCTTGTTTTGTTACTTTTTAAGTGTTGTTCTCTCTCTTAAGTCTCCATTGTGATCGCATTAAGTTAAAACATCGAACAGTCTAAGGAGTTGAGTTCTCCAAGCGGGAGAATATGAACAAATACCGAGATACCGAAATACTTATGCACACCCGCCCCATTCAGGGCACTCCACTCGACACAAGTCGGGTCTACGCTACTCTTACTCTACTTTCATAACTTAACAACAGACAATCAGACAGCGATTGATAGTAAATTGAAATTCTATGGTACCAACTAAATCGTTTTCTCCAGGAACAAATAACCAAATGAACACACAACAACTTAATTGTGATTTTAACTGCAATTTTTACACAGAAAATAAAACAACTAAGGTCATAATTTTTAATTAGAATTGTTAACAATGGAAAAAAGAAAACCAACAACAGACAAAAACCAAACACTCGTCAATTAAGTGATATTTAATATTGGTACGTACTCGTATTCGATTGTACATAAACGAAAAACGATTATGATAATGGTAACGAAATAGCAATAGAACCTCATCCAACCACAAAACAAAAAATGCAACAAAAAAAGAGAAAAGCTTTAATTTTAGTTATGTATCTCCAACAAAAATCGATTAAAAAGATATTACGAGCGAGGCGAGACCAGTCGGAGCGATGCAATGATGTGGGATGTTTAATTTAGTCATAGAGTATAACGACAATAAAATGAATGAGGCAAATTCAATTAAATAGACGCATCGTTACCGAGACAAAAACTCAAATTAACAGCAGGCAGGCCACATTAACGACAACTTAGCTCTTAGATATTACCGAAACGTACTCGTTACCGCAGTAGAAGATGCTTTGCTCCCAGTCAAGTCAAGCCAATAGCAAAACGAACCAAGTGAAACCGAGGAAACAGAGGACAGAATCCTATGCATTTAAAGCTCACGGCCTTCGCAGGCAGGACATTTGGATGAGCTCCCGGGATGGATGCAAGGTGCAGGAACACATAAAGTACACAAATATATACCTATAGTTAGCAATACGGCTGGTTTAATTAGGCATGCCTTACAGAATACACGATTTTATTTATATATACGTATTTATTGTTGAGATTAAAGTATATATACGTACGAACGGTAGGGTAAACGTTTCATCATCGGCCACGCTACCAGCAGCAATAGAAGACGAATAATACAATTTAAACCAGGAGCTAAGCATAAACCGAATCAGAATCGTAGGATTGTTCAACGCGCGCTCCGAGAACTAAGTCAATTATTTTAATTTGCCGCTTTTAAGGTCCTAGTCCTAGTCCTAGTCCTGTAACAATAACAGCAGCTAGACCAGCTAACGCGTAAAACTAAAGTTTAATGATAATTCGTATTCTTGCTTAGCTTAATCATGGCCTGTGCTCCATACACGCTCCAACGGATCAAATCAGAGTTCTGGCCCGTAGCTTTTTATCCGCCGCTGTCGGAAGTCGTTCGAAACAATAATTAGGCTGAAAATTGTTAACAAATTACCGCATAGTTTGCATAAATTTCCACTCGGATTTCGATTACCATTGATTGCCTCGTTAGCCCTATGAAAGGTCCATGAAATTCGATTTGGTCCGCTAGCTCAGTTCAGCTCTGACTCAAAGATCTATGATAGCATAGAGGAGGATGCAGAACGTAAAGATTAAGAATCCATTAACCATAATATGTGACTAACACACATTTTGAACCGAATCATATCAAATCAAAACACAAACCAAGTAAAGGGAATAACTAAATGAAAACTCTAAGAAGCGTACATCTAACATTTGAAATTAAATATTTACTCGGGTACGAATGGTACAGTAAAGATATTCGTTTATACAATATTTACTGTCTATATAACCATTATATACTACTTACTTACTGACAATTATTAAGGGTTTTGTTCAATTTCATTACTCGTATGTTAATAAAAACAATTTCCGACTAACTCGTCTCTTTTCGAATTGAAGGGGTTAAATGCGAACCGATCTCAAAGGTGGATTAATACTATAGCTACCATACAATGCAATATATGGACTCAATCAGTTCCGATCCTGCAGCAGCTGCAACACCTGCTCCAGCTTGTGTTCGATCAGCTTTAGCCGACTGTCGTTGATCTGCTCCTGCCTCCGCCTCTGTTCAGCGCTGTTCTTCTGGTCGATCACCGCCAGGGCCAACTTCACCGTCCGTCCGTCCATTTGGGAGCACTTTCCGGTGAGCACGGAGCAGCAGCAGGGTAGGAGTTTTAGCGGCGGGTCCAGTAGCTTCTTTTGCGCCCCACTCGCACTCATGGGCAGCTGCTGGAAGCTGGCCTGCTTGTCGCCCTTGAGGGTCTTCAGCTCGAAGGGATCGCTCATGGGTATGAGCACCTTGTTTCCATCGTTGGGCAGCACAGTAATCTGCCGGAGGCTCAGGTAGTTGGGGTAGATGTTCATCAGGCGTTGGCAGATGCTTTGCAGAAGATGGTTGCTCATCAGGAATCCAGCTCGTCCGTGGCCAGTGAGAACCTGCTCGTAGCGACTCAGGACATTGGTCCTGCAAATGGCGCCATTGAGTTCCGCCTGCGCCTTGATAACCTGGGGAGGATAACGGAGGCGGGATGAGCCAAGGAAAGCGGAAGTGGATTGGATATAAACTCACCTGGGTATCGCTCACGGCCAGACCATTCAGCAGGTTGAACAGGACAATCGTCATGAAGAACACGAAGAGCAGGAAAATGAGATAGGTGTAAATACTAGTGAACTTGATGTCGCTGGCGTCGAACTCGCCCGTCAGCATCACAATGGTCTTGATCAGGGCCTCGATGGGCTTGGTGAAGGTGTTGAAGTCCCCATCACTCTCGCCTTCCTTCTCAGGACCCGGAGCTGGAGTCGTGGTGCTACCCAACTGATCTGGGACTTCTGGCTTGCCGAAGAGGATGTAGAAGCACAGACTGAAGGTCAGGACGAAGATCGAGTAGAGTGCGAAGCTCTTTACAAAGCTGCTGGAGACTTCGCGCAACATTAGCATGTGGGTGGAAATGGAGAGCACTGGCAAAGAGCCCACCAGCAGGCAGAACTCCATGGCGACCAGTAGGATGGTAAGGACTGCCAGGACTCGCTGCGTCTCCTTGTCAAAGTTTGACTCAACGCAGGTGCAGATGGATAGTATAATCAGAGCCACCTCCATGATGTTAGTTATGGACCAAAAGTAGCGAACCGGCGACATCAGCCACTGGATGCCCTCCCGCACGATGAGGTAGCCGATTCCCAGCCAGGAGAGGACTCCGAATAGTGCGGTGAGCGCCCTGTGCTCGCTCTCGTGGAACTTGAGGAGCGTGTGGGTGATAATGGATGCGGTAAAGAGGGAGTAGAGCAGGAAGTTTAGGTAGAAGATCACGGAAAGTCGGTGCCACTTGAGGAAGAGGAAGCTCGAGATCAGCGGGTGTTGCAGCAGGTGCCGAAACTCCTTGGATTCGGCGATGAAAGCGATGGGGGCCATCTCGTCGTGCAGCTTTTCGTTGGAGGGTTTGGAATCCCTCTCCTGCCGCCGCATCAAGTTCTTGTAATCGATGATGATCTCAAAGTTTCGTTCACCCGGCTTCTCTCCGTTGGTGGTGATGCAGGAGTCAAAGTGCTCCTCGAGCACCTCCGCTGGCATATCCTTGATCGGCAGTGCTCCAAAGACGTTCTTGGTGCCAATGTAGGCGCCGTTCTGCAGCAGTTTCTTCATTGCCATCGTATTGCGGTACTTCACCGCGTAGGAAAGGGGCACCAGGCGCCCCGAATCAGCCTCATTAACATCCACGCGATCGCTCTCGATGAGCAGATCGAAGCAGCGCTGGTGGTTGAAGCCATCATAAGGTGGCTCCTCAAGTCGTCCAATCACCGCATTCAGTAGCTTGGAGTCCTTGGTCAGTCGGAGGTTGGGCTCCTTCAGCAGTCGCTCCAGGGCCTGCCAGTTGCCGAAGATTACGGCCGTCTCGACGAGACTCGCCTCGTTGGGCCTGCCGGGTCTCGAGTTTATGTCGATGTTCGTCGCTAGAATGGCTTCGAAGGCTCGCTGCCTGCCCCTCTTGATGCTCTCCTGCAGCAGGCTGAAGTACTCCTCCTGGTGGCTGTTCAGCTGGTTGTCCTTATAGCCTGCGGCGTCCTTGTGGCTCTGCAGATACTCGGCGAACTGCTGCTCGAACAGTCCTTCGTCTCCATCCCGCAGAGTGCGGTGGAGGGTCTGGCTGTCGATCTCTGGCCCGGTCTGGCGCTCCTCCGGCAGTGGAAGCTCCGGGAATTGTGCCTGCAGCAGCCGACGCACCTCTCCGTTCCGATAGCTGTCGATGTCCAGCTCCGGTTGGGCCAGGAAGAGCTGCACCAGCTCCTGCTTCTCTGCCCGCACCTTGCTCTTCCTCAGCACATGATGCAGGGGAGTAAACTCGCCCTGATCCACGATGTTCGGCGAGGCGCCGTAGTCCAGCAGAAGCTGCATGCAGGATAGCACCGCCGAGGCATTCTCCTCCGTGAGATTCTTGGCCAGCGAGTTGAGTGGCGTGAGTTGGCCGTACTTTCTGTCCACCTGGACCTTCTTCCCAGGGCGGTATCTCAGGAGAGCCGCTAGGTTGCCGGGATCCCTCGAGTCGGCGGCATAGCTGACGGCGGCCTTGTTCAGCTTCTGGTTTATCTGTTAGACAAGATGATTAGCTGGGATTCTAGCCTCGCTCCTGGTTGCTCTACTCACGTAGTTCACCTGGCTGCCGTGGTCGATGCAGGCCTCTATGAAGTCCCGACATCCCGGTGTGGAAAGCGCCTTCTCGTAGATGCTCGTGTGGCGATCATCCTGCAGATCCGCCTGGGCACCGCTGTCCAGGGCGGCGACGAACTGACGGATGTCTCGCTTGGCCAGAGATTCGGCCAGCTGGGCCTGCGGGTCGATGAAGCCGCAGTTGTTAAAGTCCATTTGTGTGGTCTGCAAAGAGTGAGCGGCAACGGAGCGGATGAGCAATGTCTACAGTATGTGGGTTGGCTCTTAGGTAATTACCCCCACGCGTCGGATGAGTAACGGCTAGTCTGAAGTGATGCAAGATCCCGCATTGCTCACTCAACTTCTGACCCCACCAGACTTCTTGGCCAGTTCCCGGAACCTTGAGAGGCTAAAACAATGGGCCTGGGATTGGACATTTGACATCGCTTCATGCTACGATGGTTTTCATTTTCTTATGGAATAAACGCGAAGCTGGAAACGAAACCGAAGCCAAAAGCTGCCCTACAGGTTTCGCGGCAAATCTCCGTTTTGGGGGCAATTAAAGAAAGCGTCTTAAGTGGTTTCTGTGGTACCGACTTTGCTCTTAATTTGCTCCCCCGTGTAGTTATTAAATTATAACAATCCCAGCGAAGACAAGACAAGGTCGGTGGTGTTGAAGGGGGCAGCACTTGAGCCCGGGGAGTGTTTCGAAGTAGTTTCGGAATCCGAGTGATCCACAAATTTGAATCAGGTTTCGGCGCGGGTATCAACGTCTAACGATCATAAAGAATAATCATAAAATAATCGACACATCAGTATCAATTAGCAATCAATTTGTTGCGCTTTACGCTTTGATAACTCTTCTGGATGGGGGGCTTCGGTGGAGCCGAGGAGCCCTGGAGCGGATCAGTCGATGGGAGCGCTGAAATCGCGAGATTTATAGGCGGCTTCTTGCGTAAATTTCAAGGCGGCTTCTTCTGGGGGATTCTCGGTTCTCCTCTTCTGCGCCGATACTTGAAATGTGTGAGAAATCGGCTAATCACACAGTCGAAATCTGGCTAATTTGAATACGCCAATGCTGATTATTTATCAATGGCCAAAGAATTGGTAATCAGGAAACATCCACTCATCCGTTGAAGGCGGCTCTTCCATCAAAGTGGTTTGGCTTTGCAAACAAATTGGGTATTGTAAATGACCCCCCCAGGTGGCAAGTTCGGCCGCCTGATAAGATAAACAGAATCGCACAATCACCTTCCCTAATTGGCCCACTGTTTGGGGCCCTCTGTTTGTGCTACGTATTTGGCCACCAGGCTATTTGTAAAACCAATTGACAAACAACTTTATTGTTTACGCAGCTCAGGCCCAAAGTCTTAGGCGACAGTTGACAGAATGGCGTAATGGAAATTAGCAGAATCGTTTTTTAGAGTGAGCGAACCGAGGAGTGAGGAACCGAATTCTTCGCAGCATCCGGAGTTTGGAATGCACTAGGAGACGGCCAAAAGAAAACCCGTCGATCAGGTTTGCACAGGAAAAGCAAGAAAGCAAGTAAGTAATTGCACTTAACGGAAGTTTTGCACAACTCTCAGCTGCAAAAAACTCATGTTTTTCGACGGGTATAAAGGAAAGAAAATCAAATACGAGTGCATATGGTACAAATCTGGCAGACACAGATATAAATAATAACTAAACTCTAAGCAAGTTCAAGAGTGTTTTCAGTTTCCAGACTACAATTTGTGCATTCTATTAATGTTAGTTAGTTTGGAAAAACCAAAAAAAAATATTTTCCAAAAAATAATATATTTAGTCCGAATCAATTAAAAAAACGATTTACAAATGCCTTGTTCTCAGCTTTAGTTTTGAGCTTTTCAAATCAGTCAGACTTTTAGTTTTAAGCCGAGTGTTACGTCAAAAACTCACAGCAAAAAAATATTTTTGTATATATTGTATGGGGTTGAGGGTATATACACTTCGTCTTTCAGAAGATAACTTCCTTTCTCGCTTTCTCCGCTCCCTGTCGCTAAATCCAAATCGGTCCCGACGACGCCCCAATGAGCCACGCGTAAGCAAGGGGGAATGTTTGTGATAGTCTGCAAATATATCAGACGGAGGGGGTTTCAGCAACACCAAGAACTGGATAAGAAAAGGCAAAGGAGATTTATGTGCCGCCCTGGAATATCTCCAAAGTCATTCAATATACATTCTGGCATGTCGAATGGGGTTCCAGTCCTGTAGGTATCCCATAGATGTTTGACGAGTGGGCGATTTTGCAGAATAATAAACTAATTTACTTGTCCATAAAGTCTGTTTATTGGCAAACTGAAGATTTTGTTTACTTAATTTAGTGCGTTTTCTGCACTTAATGAAAAACAGACGTTCGTTCGGCAGTGTTTACTCTTCAAATGGCGGCTGGAAAAACAAGGGGAAGTAGCCAGATATTTGAATTCTAAAAAATGCTTAGGAGTGGCAGAAAAGCAGCGATCGTGATCGGGGTCGTCCGTCCACAACTGGAGTTTTTTGTGTGTACACGACTTTAACCCAAGCTCAGCCCGAAATTGTCATCATAAAAAAGTCATAATTAAGATGGATGCGTGCGGAGATGGGGCTGAAGATTTCTATATAGATGTGGACGGGGACTGACTTCATGGTGAAGTGGCTTTGCGAAGCATCCGCGAAAATAAAAAAAAAACAACAGCACCAGAATTTAGTTGTATATGGAAAAAAATGTTTAAACGAACAGCTCACAGACACATGGACAATAGCCAAACTAAAGTGGATACCCCCGGTCGTATAGAGATCTGTGCTCTATATACCCACTGTGCACTTCATAAACAATTGACTGGCCCACATCGTGTACACAACAAAAGATTTGGGAGGGGTGTTTGGGGTGGGGTGGAGAGCTGAGGCAAAAAGTCAGAGCTCCGCACGACTCAGTAATTTCAAATAATTTAATTAAACACACTCGGCCATACATAGTACATGTGTGAGATCAACATGGGGAAAATGAACGAAAATTAATTGGTATGAAATACGGGATGGAATGCCCAATAGAAGAGATCACCTTTTACCAATCGGTTCAGATATTATTCCATTTCGGGCCCCTCTGGTTCTACGCCTCTGTGCGCCGCGAAAAGTAGAAAACGAATAAACAAAAACTGGGGGGCGGAGTCTAATCGGCGAGCGAATGAATCCAGACGGACGGTATATGCATTCGTAAATAGGCTGGGGCTTGAGTTACAGAGAGGGGGCTCTTAACACGCCGCATATCGCCTAATCGATGGATTACTTAATTGTAATTGGCAATAAAAAATGCAAATATAGCAAGTATATATTCTGGAGGGGAGACGGAAATACTAGCCGCCTTAACTCCATGCAAATGGCAGTGCTTGGAGGGAACTGTCCCCAAACACAATTCCCAGTAGGGTAAACATCGGGCTCAATTTACTCGTCTTACACGACATTTTCAGAACACGCCTGGTCAGCAAGAACATTTTCCGTTTATTTTTTTTGCCTTTGGGAATAGCTCCGCAATCTAAACACTTCACTGAAAACTGGCCACCGCAGGCGTTGCCTTTTAGGGCACGGAACACCAGTTCGTGATCTGCCCACCAGGCATTCGAAAATCGTTTTTTAAAACTCCGATGATGTCACAGGTCGCGCATACGTTTCAAATTAATCATTTATCAAATGCAATTCAATCAATTTATTAGCTGTTCTGAACGTCATTAAAACAAAGCAGTTTTTTATTATATTTTTTGCGATTGCGCCGTGGGCGCCGTTTTCTGCAGTTTTTTAACCTTGGTTGTTAAATGTTTTAAAACTTGTTTTCACTGTGGATTTTTTGTTGTGTGGGCCGAGCCGAGCTGATCTTTGCAACTGCGGTTTTGTATCTGCATTACACATGATTCATTCACAGTAACTAATAAAACATTTTAATTTCACCGCGAGTCATCATCTTTAAGCCAAGCTTTGTCACAACACCTTATTGATTTGCATAATCAATGAGGTGATTCATTCGTATTGAAGATCTTTGCATCTTTGCTGGGGTTTTTCAAAAACACTTTTCAAAATACTTATCAGTCCCTTCACACAAAACACAATTTGCCGCGATCATTACCTTCTCCGTGAACATCCAGCGCGTGAATATCCAATCCGATCCGATCCAAAGATCTTTACAGTGGCGGGCAGTTTACAGAAATTTGAAACCAACGAAAGCTAACAAAGCCGCCTCTGTTAGCTTAACAGAGCTTTGTCTATCGATGTATCGTCAGTATTTTAAGTATTTTAATGTTAACTCAAAGATATACCGCCATATTTAAAAATACATCTTAAATGCAGGTAAGCATTTAACAATTACTAAAGATGTTTGTTGTAGGTTTCTATAAACTACCTATGCCAAATAAAAAATTCATTCTGGTGTTAAATTAGTGATTTACAGACGAAGCGCAGCAAATGAGTTTGAAAAGTAACAGTTTTGCCAGGTCCCACCAAAAATACTAGTATTTTGTTGGTGCCTGGCAACCCTACTTTACAGTTATCATTAATATCTATAATTTGAAGATGCGCAATTCCAAAAGTTTGCGATGGATTTCCAAAGTGATTTGCGATTTGTAAAGGATGTGGTGCACTCCTTGGTGGTTTCGTGTCCTGGCCAGATGACCATAAAGCAGCTTGTGGACGCCTACGCCTACCAAACGGGGTTCTGCATGCCATTTGCCCAGCTCCAGGACGTGGAATTTTTCCTTCGCTCCATTCCGGACACGGTTACGGTGGGCATGTAGACACATCTTTAATTGCGTCTTACTTTATTTTTTATCTATTAACAGGTTCTGGGCTACGGACATATGGCCCTTGTGACGGTGCCCAGTCAGACATCATATAGTTATTATCAGCACCAGTACAATAATAACTTCCAGGATCAGCGTTTTCGAACATATGGATATCCGTGTTGCTTCATCCAGACCAGACCAAATCCTGGGTTTCTGATCTTAAAACAGTATCCGACTTATCCGGACGCATCAAACTTCTGGCTTCGGGTTATTCGATACCCCCCTCCTATTAATTCATATACTTATCCGAGGAACTTCACCCAATATGAGCATCGGGGAATTCGGAATACTCAACATCTTCTTGCGGGTAGTCCAAATTCTTATCCGCAATGCTTCCAAGGATCGCACCCTAGCAACTTTCCGCATATCAGACCAAGCACAGCCCCTCTCAGCTTCAATGAAAATAAGTCAGATGACATTGAAAACCACACAAACCCGGGGATCAACGAGTGTGATTCGCAACATATACTAAATCATTCCTCGAGTAATTTATGTACTTCTCCGAGGAGCTTTTCTGAAACTACACAAAATCCTCTAAACAGTACCGAACATGAGCCACAGGCTGAAAATAAACAGGCCAATGTGGATCACTACTTGGAGAACGATGACAAGGGTTCGGGACACCTTAGCCCACAAAATGCAGAGAACGATGCCAAGGAAATGGATAAATCTTCGGAAAATATGGAGAAATTGGTAGACGATATTTTAGGCTCTGATAAAAAGCCATTATGTGCGGAGAAGAGTGAATCCCCGGTCCTAATATATACTCAAGAAAATAAAAGCCCATTGTACTTGGAAATGGATGAGCTGTCAAAACTGGTATATGAATTTGAAAACGTTGATCTTTGTGACGAAAATGAGGCTGTAGTGTACGACTTAAGCCGCGATGAAGATAGTCCAGCTAGTGATAGTGATGGGGTATGATTTACCTAATCCTTATTTTATTATAATTATTTAAGTTATTGATTTCAATTTAGGATGATCAAGGCATAGATGTCGATTATCCGGAGGACTGTGTTTCCTTACAATTCAAGCTGCCTGCTCGCGATTTGACCACTCTCAACCTTAAAGCACGCTATCAAGTGCAGGTGGTGAAGGTGAACAATCCCCACAGCTTCAAGATGTGGATTTATGACGAAATGATTCCTGACTATCGGATGATGTCCTGCAAAATGGAGTAAATTTAATTTCAATATACAATGTTCGACAATCTAATCTGATATCTTGATTTTTCTCTAGAAAATACTACCAGAGTCAAGATTTGAAAAAGTATACTATGCCATCGAGCTTGATCGCCCAGAACCACCTGTGTGCAGTCCGATCGAGCAAGTCGGGAGTCTGGGAGAGAGCCAAAGTGTTGCGACACCGACCGATTAAACCAAAGAAGACCACAGACGTTGAACTGATCGACACCGGGGTCGTCATGTGTGTCTCCCACAGAGATGTCATGTTTTTGAAAAAGGAGTTTGCTGTGTTGCCTCCGCTGTGCTTGCACTGTCGCCTGGCCTACATAGTTCCCTGGTACGGTGCCGAGTGGTCAACTGAGGCGTCAGCCTACTTCTTCAGTCGGGTTGCCCGCCGCAGGCTTCTCGCCAAAATCGAGCTTATTAAGGTGTGTGGACAAACACAATTCGTCTATAACTGGTGTAGAAAATTAATCGTTTTTAATTTTACAGGATAACACTGTCTACCTGGTGCTGGTGGATCCGCTAAGCGCGCCTGTGAGGAACATAAACAAGTCAGTAGTACACTATGGTTGGGCTCGTCTATGCTTCACACATTAGTGCTCTCTCTTATTATTATCTTACTTTAAAACTTTATACCTAATGCTTAAACTTATAACTACATATACTCATTTTTGTTTCCACCTTTGAACCATTCATTTAATTTCATTTTCTAATCTCTTTGTAAACTCTTTAATAGCTTTGAAAAGAACTCTTCAGTTTTTGAAACACAACCGTGAAACAACAAAATAAAACTCACATTAGGGCTCTCTCGTAATATTATCTTACTTTGAAACTTCATAGCTAATGCTTAAACTTAAAACTACATGTACTCATTTTTGTTTTCACCTTTGAACCATTCATTTAATTTCATTTTTCTAAGCTCTTTGTAAACTCTTGTATAGCTTTGAAAAGAACTCTTCAGTTTTTGAAACACAACCGTGAAACAACAAAATGAAAATAAACTTCATTTATATTGGCATTCAAAACTAAATACAAATTTAAAAGTAAAGTTTTATTTATTTCATTTTACAATCAACACGACTTGCAAAAACAAATCAACGTATACAAAACACCTGAATATATTTGACCTGATTTACAACAAATTCTTGCAAAGGCACGTGAACATATAAATATATATATAAAATATTTAAAAACTGAACTACAAAAAAGCAAAAAAGGCTCATTTGCTAGACAGAAAACCATTGCGAACCAAGTCGAGTAATCCTAGTTTTTTAGAAGTCCAATATAGAAGCCCAGAAATTATTAGGGTTTTGCAAATGCGGTCCAGCACATACATACTGAAATAAAGAGAAATGAAATCAAAACTTAGGTGGTGGTCTGGAAATACCTACAATCTCAACTGTATGCGGGATTTCGGCAACGAGGTCAAGGGTTCCTTCATCACATATTGACGTCCTCCCAAAATGCTCACTTTCATGTACTCATGGTCGTCCACATCGTCCGTATTGATCTTAAATCTATCCAGAGAGTAAATGGTTTTTAAAGAACTTTTATTCACATAACAATAGGCTACTGCTTACGTCCTTCGATCCGCTGCACCCAGTTCCTTGTAAATCTGCTCAAAGTGCGTAGACTTGAAGTCCCAATTACGCGTTGTGAAGAACTGCAAAACCTCCAGACCCACGGCCACTTTTGTTTGCACCCGAACCATGCTAAAAATAAGGGAAATAATTACATGGCTACCGCCAACTTGTCTTAAGGATCTTACAAGCGACGCTGTCCAAAGATCAGGAGGAGGAAGTCTATAAAGTAGGCTGGCAACCACATAAACAGTACTGTGCAGATGGTGTGATAGAATTTGCTGGAGGTCATGTTGCCGTCGGGATACCAGAGTCCCACTTCAAAGGGGTACTTAATGCCCAGGTCGCGACCCACATCCATTATCCACTTCCAAGTGCGTTTCTTAGCGTCGTCCACGGTCAGGTTGTAGACTGGTATCTGGAGGGGTCTGCGACGAAAGCAATACATCATGTGGATAAAGTGAGATCACCTCTGAGATTTACCTCTTCTCCGCGAGACTGTTGTGATACGGGAGCAAGATCAGGCCGTTGATTGCGATGTCTACGGGTATGACTTCAGACTTGAGTTCTCCATTGCAGATCATGGATCGGATGACTCCCTTGCCGGCGCCAATTAGCACGCCCGTGGGCCCGTTCATATTGTCCACCCAACCGGGCAGGGGCTCAGCAACGGCCGGTGTCACTGGGAGAACAAAGAACATGTGAGGTAAGCCCGCAAGGTTGACTTTGGGCAATGAAAAACAAAGGGAGAGAAACACGGGGACCGGGACTATGTGTGTATATTCAACAACCTAGAATCATATTTATTTGGAATCAAAACCTCGAATATGCGTAACTATAGCTAAGCTAAATAACTAATTAAATGCCTGTGACCACCACACCAATGCGGGAACTGGACTCAGAAAATGGCCAGCACCCCCGTCCACTTGAGGAGGTAGTAGAAGAACAGTCCCACGATCAGCGTCTTGCACACAATATCCACGACCCATTGGCTGGAAGAAAAAGAAGGAAGAGCCTCGTAAGTTGGCTATGACCAGAATTCGGTGGAATAACTCACATCTTCATATGCACACGCGCCCTGGGAATATCCTCATCCTTCTCCTTGAGAATGAACTTCCGGGCGCCCTTGGCACACTCAATCATGTACTCCTCCTCGGTGTCCTTGACGTTCATGTTCATGTTAAAGCTTTATGAAAAAAGGGTAAAATATTATAGAACACTAATGTATAATAAATTCAACTATATACTCACATTGCCTTGTCCTCCTCGTTGAGTTTGGTCCACAGCGAAGCGTAGTTGTCAGAGCGGAAGCACCAGGCGTTGAGAGTGAAGAACTGCAGGACGCCCAGACCCGTGGAGATCTTCTCCTGCACCCTCAGCATGCTTGAAAGATAGGATTCTGTAAGGGCCATTCTATCTCCTTCAACACGGCACTACTTACAATCTCTTCTGGCCCAGGATAAGCATCAGGAAGTCCACGAAGTAGGCGGGCAGCCAGTGGAACAGGGCCACGTTGAAGTTGTGGTAGTAGTGGTTGGTGGTGACGCAGGGATCCGGGTACCAGAGGCCAGCATTGAAGGGCACCTGCTTGTTGATGCGCTTGCTCATCTCCACCACAGTGCCCATGGGCATCTTCCGGTGGTCGGCATTGGTGATGTTGTAGACGGGCACGTTGGCCGGACGCTTGGCCTGCTTGTTGAACTCGTAGGGAATGACGATCAGTCCGTTGATGGCGTAGTCCACGGGAATCACCTCGGCCTTGTTCTTCTGGTTGACCAGGACGGAGCGAATCACGCCCTTGCCGCAGCCGATCATCAGGCCAGTCGGTCCGTTCAGGTTGTCCACCCATCCGGGCAGCGGCTCGTAGGCAGCCGGGGAGACTGTTGGGTAAAGGGAAGAGGGGTTTACTAGGAGATGTTCGATTGGTACTCCCAATGATACCAGTCTACATACCACGAGCCCAGGATGATGGTAACCGAAGCCGTTTTATGTGTGTTAATGTGTGTATGTTGGGTGTTGGGTGTAAGTGGTGTGGTTGGGATTAGGTCTTAGCCAAGGATGAGAGTGATTTTAGAATTTAGAGTAGTTTGGGTTCAACGTGTGGGGAAATATCATTGTTCAGTGTGGTTCTGTTTGTGTTGTTCGTGTTGTCTCGCGACTGGATCCTCTGCACTGGATCAACACTTGGACACTTGAAGCACAGACACATAAGCTCAGTACACAGACTTTTTATTTTCACACATGAAACATAGATAATCACTTAAAGTAGAAATGAAAACCAGATCGCAGGCCTCTCGTCGAGTGCCCCGAAGTTGTGCCCCAAAGCGAACCTAAGCGGAATTGATTGAGAAGAGCGCGCAAATGAATTGGGAACTGGGTCCGAGTCCGAGTCCGGGTCACCAGTCAGGGTCACCACCTCAGACGCCCAGGAGACGTGCCACCAAACCGTAGGTCCAGTAGCACAGCGAGCCCACGATGACCGTCTTGCACACGCGGTCCAAGATGTACATTCTATAAATGAAAGGAGGGAGGGAAGGGGAGTGCTCAGGGATCAGAGATCGAGGATCGAGGAGCTGAGCTCGCTTACAGCTTCAGCTGGAGCCGGGCGCGTGGCAGGCTGTCGGGCGACTCCTTCATCAGGTACTGCCTTCCGCCCTGGACACACGACTCAATGTACATGGGGACGGTCTCCTCGGGGTCCATGTCCATGTTGAAGCTTTTGGGTGGGTTCATAGTTAGTCTCAGTAACTCTGTAACCCCCTGAACTCTCTCGCCCTACGTACTTTTTCCTATCCGCCTCGTTCAGCATGTCCCACAGCGAGGAGTAGGCGTCCGACTTAAAGAACCAGGCGCGCATCGTGAAGAACTGCAGCACCTCGAGGCCCACCGAGATGCGGTTCTGGACGCGGATCATGCTAGGGAGAAAGGGTCTTAGGATCTGTGTCCTCGGTTCCTCCACAGCCCCCGCAACACTTACAATCGCTTCTGGCCCAGCAGCAGCAGGATGAAGTCGATGAAGTAGGCGGGCAGCCAGTGGAAGAGCAGCACGTTGATGTTGTGGTGCAGCTTGTTGGTGGTGATGCAGCCGTCTGGGTACCACAGACCCGCCTCCATCGGGTAGCGGTAGCCGATCTCCTTGCTCATCTCGATCACCTCGCCCCACTGCATCTTGCGGTGGTCGGCGCACGTGATGTTGTACACCGGCACCTCCTCCGGCCTCTCCGTCAGCTTGGCGAACTGGTAGGGGATCACGCACAGCCCGTTGATGGCATAGTCCACCGGGATCACCTCGGACAGGTGGCGCGTGTCGATCAGCATGGAGCGAATGACGCCCTTGCCGGCTCCGACCATGAGGCCAGTGGGTCCGTTCAGGTTGTCCACCCATCCCGGCACGGGCTCGTAGGCCGAGGGAGAAACTGGACGCGGGATGGGAGTTCAGATTCAGAGTGTCGGAGGGGACGGGACTCCTCCCTTCCTTGGACTCGGGCTGATGCGGATGCGAAGGCGAAGGCGAGGGCGGGGTAAGCGGGGGCTGGTTGGAGTTTCTGTCTTCTTCTGTTTTCATTGCATGCTCATTGAACTTTTTGGTCAATGACGACGGCGTTTGTGTGCAGTGGTTGATGTGGTTTGTTGTTTTAAGCAATGGTTTATAGGCAGACTTTTTCTTTTCAAGCACTGTGGTTGCTGTTTTGTTTCTGTTTCTGTTTTGGTTGGTGGTGGTTGCTGGCGGTTGGTAGCTTGCTCGGATCTGTTTGGCAGCTGCTGTGGCTCAAGTGCGGTGTTCGGATTAAAAGGCAAGCGGTTGAGCCCGCCCCAAAGGAGGAGGAGGACGCGCGATCGAACCGATGGCGAGGTCATAAAACACACGGAAAGCGTAAGACACTGAACGAATTAGCGGTAGGCGGCAAGAAGCGTCTTAAAACTAGCACCAAAGCAGCCCACTCCCCATAAAAGACATTCATTACCAAATGCTTATCTGCTAAAATCTCCGAAGATCTGCTAAAAACCGCGAACTCTGCGGAACTTTGCTCGCTAGTTAGCAAACGTCCATATTGACGACTGTGTTTATTGGATATTTGCCGAGCTAAGCGGGTCGGCTCTGCCTTGAACCCGCCCTGCAACAAACGAAACATCTATCTGCTCCTCCCGATTCCACTAGCTCTAGCCTATCATTAGATAAGTTTGGAGGGAACTGTCAGCGGAAATAGCTAATTACAAACCTACCCCTAACTAGGCAGTTTAATTGGAACTATAAGTTTCACTACCTATATTGTATAAGACCCCTGCACTAATAATAAATATTTAAATTTGGTTAATTTAAAAAAAAGAAAAAAATATTTACATCTAATTTGTATTAAATATGAATTCCTATATCCCTATATAATATAATACTATTTTTCATTTCTTTCGGATAGTTTACCACATTTTTTTCTAAGAGTGTACAACGAAATACCGCTAATCAATAAGATTCTCAGAACCTAAGATTGTTTTTCATTCAGTCAGAATACAACTGTTAGGTAATCTACATATTATCACCGAAAATACTATATTCCACTATTAAGTTACCCCACGGCTTTAATTAAAAAGTGTTTGGTTTTGCAGATTTGCATCAAGCCGCTCGAACAGGTTTCCGCCCGATAGTTTCTCTATTTCCTATAAATATAAATAACGACCTTTCAGGTTGGCCAAAAATTGCTAATAGAAAAGTTTAATTGACTGCCAGCGCAGACTCAAAAAAGACGCCAGGTGGCCGAAAAAGAGATAAATAATAAGCAAGCCAACGGCCCGGGGCAGCGTGGACTTAGACATAGACATAACATAGACACAGAGGCTTTAAGCGGAGGCGCATGATTAGTTAGCATGATTGCAGTCTCCATTTCGACTCCAGCGCAGCTGGCTACCAAGCAAGCAAGCAATCAAGCAGTCCCCCGAATCCCAGCCAGAGACATGGGGATTTTAACGACTCGAATAAATCGAAGCAGCAAAAGCAACCCGGAAAGGCAAGACACTGGGACGGGGATCCATGATCCGTGCTCAAAAGGTCACTTACCGATGCTGGGACGGGCGATGATGACGGGCATGGACTCGTAGTGGTCCCGCACCAACAGCTCCGCCAGGCGCTTCGAGTAGGTGTAGGTGTTCGGGTGCGGCTTCAGCAGGTCCGGTGTGATGGCGTCCAGGGTCTTCACGTCCATCCACTCGGCCAGGCGCATCAGATCCTCGGGCTTGTGGGCGAACTCGTAGACCTTCTCGTACATCACCTCCTGATCGCAGTTACAGAAGGCCGTGGACAGGTGGATGAAGGCCTCCAGCTGCTTCATCTCCTTGGCCACGTTGAGGGCCCGCCGGGTGCCCAGCAAGTTCATGTCGATGGCGTCCCGCAGGTTGCCCTCTAGCTTGAGTGTGGCCGCCATGTGGAACACGATGTTGGTGTTCTCGGTCACGTGCTTCAGGGTCTCCCCACTCAGACCGAGCTCTGGAAATGGGGGCTGTAGCTTCCAGATATCGGAGTAGATATCCATTGTACTTACGGTCAAAGGTCACGTCGCCCTGGTAAATGGTAACCTTCTTGAGCATCTCCGGACGCTCGTCCTTGATGCGCTGGAAGATGGGCAGCTTGAACATCTCCTCCAGACGCGTCTCGGGGGCCTTGCCGCGCTTCGGGCGGCAGATGATGATCACCTCCTTGAGGGAGTGGCAGGAGTAGAGCAGCTTCTCCAGCAGCACCTTGCCCATGAACCCGGACGCTCCAGTGATGAAGATCGTCTTGTCCTTGTAGTACTCCTGCACGGGCGATAGATCCACCGTCATCTTGGCTGCAAAAGGAGAGGGGCTGCAATTAGCACACCTTGCGGAGATTGGGAACGCAGCCACGGAGTGGCGCAAGAAGCATTCCGGGAAAGCGAAAACCAGTCAAAGGAAAAACTAGTGATTGGCCAAAGCGAGTGGCGCAAGTGGTGCTGGAAAAACTGGGGCTCATTCTGGCCACGCGTGCCCCTCTTGCCACATCTGGAGACCAAAACAACCAGCGAGCTGAACCTGCCGCAAACTGGTTTCCAGTGGACTTTCGGTTTCTATTTGGATTTTCGATTGCGCCTGTGGATTCGCATTTCTTTGCTGGTTTATGCAACGTCCACGGGGTAGCTGGCATCGAACCCGTCCAGCACGCCAGCCAGGTTGGCTTTAAATCCCCTGCCCCTCCCCCGCCAGTCGGGGATTGTTGCAAGTATTTGTTGCCCAATCTGCATGCGGCTGGCTCGGATTGCAGCCGCGTTACACTTGGCCACATCTGCGCGGCAATCTCGGTTTCTACGATTCCGATTGTGCCTTGCACTTTGGCCATGTCATGACATTTCACGCAAGACCGAGCGGACGTATTTGTTTACCTATTTATTCTGCGGCCCGAGTGTGTGTCGCCCCACCCCGCCCAGCCACATAACCATATCCATTACTGTATCTTCACCAGCGAGTGTTTACCTCCTCCAGCAGAGCAGCGCTGGCGAAGATGGAAATCGCCAGGAAGCATGACGCTGCACCTCCACTGCACCTTGAACTACAAGCTCTAATCTACGTGCACAGACGGATTGGGGCTCACTTGCGCGGTTCTCCTTCATCTCTCGCGGCGCCTGCCTTGTTACTTAGCCCCAGTTTTTTTTTTTGGCTTTATGGCCAATTAAAACGCGTCCGCCGAATGTGTGAAAACAGCCCGAGAAACAACCTCAGATCGCTTGCACTTATGCAAGCCTCGGAATACACACATTGAGCCAAATTTTGAGAGCCGGGTCGGCCAAGTTGTCAAACCCGAAGCCATGAGCATAGCACACACACACACCACTGTACTCCAACTGAACCTAAAACAACGATGCTTCATTTGGTTGACTGCAAACGAAAGACTTAGGCAACGAACTTGATCCATATACAGGCGGAAGAGGAGAAAACTGAAGGGGCAGTCAGCGAACTGTAACTAAACGATTTCAATTTGATGAATCTTTGTTTTCAAGACGAATATTCATTTAAGATCATAATTGCTTTAGAATAATTGAGATACTTTTTATGTTGATCTCATTGTTTTTAAGAAGAAATTTACCTAATATCCTTATTAAGTATTATTTTATTCTTTTAGATATGGCTAACAATTTGGACTGCTAATAAAAATCTGACTTATTAAATCCACATAAAAATCCCCTTTTCTAATCAAAAATGTTTTGACTTCCAATTTACCTTCCCCGCAATTGGAGAGTGTGTTTTTTCAAAGCTCTTAAGACATTGCGCAAGGCAAAAAATGACCCTATTCAAAACGACAAGACTTTTATTTTATGCTATTTGCTCGCCTCCTCCGTTTTGTCATATTTTTATTAGAGCCCAAACCGGATTGGCACTTGTAAGTAGAAACATTTTCGAATCTTTAATTAGCTTGTGTGTGGCTGTGAGTTTATCGATGGTGTGTTCCTCTTGTTTACATATTGCCGTTTTTAACCCAGGCCAGTAGTATTTCGTAGTTGCAACTCGATTGCGACCTCAGAACTACTGGCTAACGATGATGGGGGGCCATTAAAATTTTCCAATGCAAAGTGCAGCCCCCAATCTGTCTGCAGTTAATAAAGCCAATGCAATGTGATTGAGTGACTGACGACTCACTGACCCCTTTTCTGAGGCTACGAGTGCCGTAAGACGGAGATGGCTGCGTGGAGGATCATTAAGAAAGCCACTTGAGGCTGAGACATTAAACCATGAAATCGAACAAATTTTAAATGTTTGGCAATTCTTCCATTCCATCGGCCATTTGGCCTTTGGTCGCGCAGTCTCACGAAATATTTAAATAAATGGAAGAAAAAACCCCCTCAGTATGTAAATAGCCTTTGTATTCGATCAGCATTGATACAAATGAGATGTGGAGCCCGGACACATAAAATTAACAGTGAGCCGAGGTTCAAACGTATGCAAAGGGCCAGGCCAAATCACGGAACTCGAAGCGGAAAATTTGAAATATTGAAGTGGAGTATCAGACGCAGCTTTTTGCTTAAGTCCAGGTCATGACACGACCCTGACACAGACGCGGGTTCACGAGCGTATCTCAGTAGGGCAGGCACTTGATTACGGCACGATATGAATCTCGAGGGGGGTCTTATTTTATAATCCCCAATTAAACGCTTCGCTGGGCAGGTAAATGCCTCGAATTGCAGCCTAATTGCCCCGAAAAGTGCTCGGCCAAAGACAATGCGGCAATCAGCAAGAAGAACCGCTGGTCGAGATGATGTCGAAGAGCGTTTTGGTGCTGTTTCAATTACCTCGAGTGCTTGGGATTCTCCTCAATTAAAACACTTGCAATATTTGTAACAAACTCGTAGCTCGCGCACGCGAATTAATGCGGTTCGGATCGGATTGGCTCGAATCGAAGTGGTTTGATATCGAGATAGTTTCGGGGGATCCACTCGATGTGCACGCTGCGACGCTCGAAAGAAGACTGAACGCGACCAGCCCGGTGGTTGTCAATATGAATGGGTTGCGCCGCTCTGGGATGTGGCAAACCCAGCCGAAACGAAGCGAAAACCACTGGGTTAGGCCAACTAACCTGGCTGCAAGCCGCGGCGGGCAGGTGTTGGTACAGACATAAATATCTATTAGCTTGGCTAATCTAGGCGGAACTGCCTGTCCGTCTGGCCCAAGAGGCTGAGTACTGGGCCAAATAGTTGGTTAGTCTTTTCTGGGCATTTAGGTGGGGCTTGGGCCAAATCCCAGGAACACTTGAGCTTATTTGGGGACAATTAGCTCCGCAATTTTGCCAAGTTTTGGTGACTCTGCCGCTTTTGTTTCGGTTTAGATATATTGGCATCATTATGGATGCAAAATTAGCTGCGGATAGATTCGGTTTCCATTACACAATGGTCCAGCTTTGCATTCGCATTCGCCGCCGCGGTGGTTTCCACTTTGTTTGACTTAATTAGGTGGTTATCAATCTCCTATGCAAATAGTTCGTTGCCCAATGTCGCGAATATAGGTAATCAATGCAAACTCTTTTCCTGCGATTTTTGCACATGCTTAATTATGCATGTTGCCAATACGGTTGCAAAAAATTAATTTCTTTGAATCAGGTCCGTTATTAATGCGATTTTGAAAATGCCGCTCCATAAATCAATGATCTTTAGATGGGTCTGTTGTAGATCGGGCATTTGAAAAGCCCGCCAACAGAAGAAAAATCGATTTTACTCGATATCATATCGATAGTTAAATTACAGGGAAAATATCAACTCACCCCGTTCACTTGAACTTCGTGGCCTTATTAAATTTTAAATTAAAATTAGGAAAAACAATTATAGTAGTTATATTTTCTAGAGCAGTGCGGGGCTGCCAACTATTCTTCTAGACACTGTGGAGCTGCCACCTCGAGTAATTCGAGTCTGCAACCCTGTCTGCGAGAGTTAAACAGCCCTGGCACCAAAGGCGTGCAGAGTTGCCTCTAAATTTCCTGTCGCGAATCTTTATTCATTTATAATTAATTGCGAGCCATGGCCGAACTGGACGATTTCTTCGCGAAAAAGGACAAGAAGAAGGGCAAGAAGACGACCAAGTTCGTGACGGCCGACGAGCTGGTGAAGAACCTGGAGGACGGCAGCAAGCGCGAGGTGGTCAAGCCAAAAAAACCCGAACCAGCCGTCGTCGCTGGCGGCGTGGCAGTGGTAGGCGAAAACGAGACCAGCGGCCCCAAGGTGCCAGAGTCCGCCCCGGTGAGTAGCGCAGTCCGAACTGGGACTGCAGTCCAGGTGAAATCGCCGTCCGCTGGCCACTAATCACGCGATGTTGTCCCGCCCCGCAGCCCGCCGAGGAGGAGTGGAAGGAGTTCGAGGAGGAGCAGCGCAAGGACTACAGCGGCCTGAAGATCGGCCAGCTGAGCACCACGTGAGTTTTGCCCCCCTTTCGCCGATTGCCCGTTCGAAGAGCGCGAACAAAGGCCACTCACAGACACTATACATTCCACACTAAACCCCGCATGTTGCGCAAATCTCTCAGCTCTTCGGCCCATTCCAGAAATGCCCAGGAATCCGCGGAGGCGCGGGCAGCTCGTGTGCCCTCCTCCGCCCAGGATGGCGGCAGCTACGACGAGGAGGATGAGGACAGCAACGGTTACGACGGGAACGGAGACCCCGGCAAGGAGCGCGTCGGCCACGGACCCTGGAAGAAGGTGATCCCGGCCGAGGAGGTGATGCAAATCCCGGTGCCCGTGGAGGTGGAGAAGCCCTCGTCCAAGACCTACGTTTCACCCGCGCTACGCTACAGCGTAAGTCCATAGCTAATCGATCCTAGAATCAGTCTAATCCCCAATCATTCCCTGCAGCAGCAGGCCGGAAGCGGACTGGGAGGCGGCTCCATTGGCGGCGCCATGCGCCCACGCCGCGCCGCCCCCGACATTACGAACACCGAGTTCTTCCCCACGCTCAGTGCGGCGCGTCCGGAGGAACAGCGCAAGAAGAAAAACGAACCCGCCTTCGAGGAAGTCCGCCACGGTGGCCGCTTCCAGCGCGTCCAGGAGTCCACGACTGCCCCGGTGGCGGCCTCCAACCGATTCCAGTCGCTCGACGACGAAGCCAGCTAGGTCCAGCCGCTGCCAACAAACTAACCAACCAGGTGCTGCTGCTGGCCACGGGAACCGCCTTCTACCACAGTGTCCGCTGCCGAGCTCAAGTCATCCACGGGTTCTGCGCCAGCACAAGCAGTTTTTCTAGGCTTTTTGATTCTTCTATACCTCCACACTGCTACTCTTACCCCAAACCACAAACTACTATTGTTCATTTCGTTTTGCATTTTTAAAGTATGGAATCAATGTAATAGAATACGAATAATAGCCATGCGTTGAAATCCGTTTATAAACGTTACTTTTTTATAAGCGCTCCCGTGTCTCGTCTCACTCATCCATGGCCAGGTCCTCGGGGCAGCTCTCCAGGTAGCTGTAAAATCGGGAGGAGTTGTAGGTTCAGTAAGATAGATCTTCTCTGGCCGGAACAGTGCGCACTGACGTTTCGCAGTAGGGCTGCTCCGTCGTGTTGTGGTACGAGGTCAACATCTTCTTGGCCAGCATTTTGTCCGGGAAATTGCGGATCAGGTACAGCCAGCACTGGATGGTCCTGCGTAAAGTGGCGAAAGTGAGAGCTCCCTTACGGCGGTTTCCCCATATTCATTCCTGCATACTCATTCTGCTCTGTCAGTATGGCCTGCTCCTCGCGATCATAGTAGTCTGGGTACTCCTCCAGTTCATCCAGTTTGGCGAACATGGCCTGATCCACCTCGTAGACCTCGCCTTCTATGTGGTTCCCCTCGCCGGGGCGGGCGAGCAGAAAAGGAATGTTGTAGCGGGTGCCCACTACCAGGGGAAACTTCACCGCCGTCGTTCCCCTGCCCAGAAACTTGGCCTCGCCATTCTCCTTCTTTGTTAGCCAGTAGTGGTTGGGCTCCCCGCGCTTCAGCGTTCCATACACAAAGACGACCCTCCTCGCAGCCATTCTCAGCATGACTACTGCGCTTCCCGCCTCCGGGCTTATCAGTTCCTAGGCGTATCTCGCTATCAAATCCGTCCTAAAGATTCCACAGTCGACGTAACCCGCCCGCTCTTCTTCTTGCTGCCATTCGCACCGAAACTCGCCTCCGTACACCGCGAGAAATGAAAGGTGAAGGATGGAAAAGTACCAGACATGATATATGATATTTTGGTAGCTTGTTTATATAAGAGATCCGAGCCATTAGTTTCTGTGAATTGCTTCAGTTTATTTGCTTTGTATGTCGAAAACTATGAAATTACAAGCTACGCTAAAACCTAAATAATGCGTATGGTACATATCAGTGTATATCATTTGCCAATATATGCGCGTATATATCGATCAGTACATCTGCCTCTGCAGGTACGGTCTAGAAATGCAACTACGGTAACATAAGAGCTGTCCAGAGCACATCCAATGATGAAACCACAGCCTAGCTTATTAGTTCTGGGCCACGTAGGTGAGATCGTCCTGGGCCGGGTGCTTGTGAGTGCGGCGATGGCGCATGATATAGGGATGGGTGGTGGAGTTCTCGTAGCTGGAGAGGTAGCGCAGGCTGAGCAGGTTCTCCGGGTACTTCTGCAGCAGGTACACCCAGCAGGGAACGGTTCTAAAAACAGAAAGACGGAATCCGGTCAGATCAGATAGCCGAGGTGACGTCAGCCTTGACTTTTTCTCACCCCTCGCCCACGCCGATGTTCATGTCGTGCTTCTCGCGCGTGTAGATCTCCTCGCAGTCCTCCAGGTTGTCCAGGGAGTTCAGCATGCGGTCGTCCACCTCGTAGATCTCCCCCGTTACGTAATAGCCCACGCCGGGCTTGTTCAGCAGGAAGGGAATGTTGTAGCGGGTGGCGATCACCAGCGGCATCTTCTGGGTGGTGGTGGCCCGGCACCAGAACTTGGCGTGTCCGTTGCCGGTGCTGGCCAGGATCGAGTTGCTGGGCTGTCCGTACTTGAGGGCTCCGTACACGAAGAGCTTGCTCAAGGCGGAGGAGACTTTCTGTGGTGGTGGGTGTGGCGGTGGGGAGACAGAGAAGTAGGGTTAGGTTAGAGATCTGATAAACAGGTGATAAATACATATGGCTGCTCTATTAATATCAATCAATCGTCTGGCTTATCGGGGCTCTGAATATTTTCCACTGGCTTAGCCCCCCGCAACTTCTTGATAAGGCTACACACGCGTCGTCTGCTCTACCGCCGCGATTGTAGAGGTTCTCAGCGTTTATTTATAAGATCGGAACCGCTTTCGGGGCGAGGATGGGATGGCCCTAACCGGTTTCCTGCATTCACACTTATTTCTTAATGACCAAGTCCGTTATTGTTGCTAATAAAGCGTTTTTTGGGTTTGTCGTGCGTGCCTCACAAACTGCGCAGCAGCTACGCCTCCACCAGGTACATATGTATTTCTACATTCGTATATCGCGGAGTATGTGCGCGTGATTAGGTGCATAAATAATTGCTTAAATCGGTCTAATCATTGCAGTAAATGGAGATCACACGCAAAGCTGGCGAGGCGGCCTTTAATCAATGCCCTTACTAGACAAGTGGTTGCATCGAAGCATCTTGACGAATCCGCTTACATAACCCCCAGAACGGTCGGCAACACACATACATACGCGTACTACCATCAAAACTGAATAAAATATATCTCAATTTCCCGATTTGCATTGACTTCTCACTCCCTATTTCCGTAAATGTAGTGCTGAACTAGATTTTCCCACGCTTGCCAATTGGGGTTGCCCACTTGCCAAGGACCAAGGATACAGATACAAGGATGTGTATATGTATATACATATAGCGTATTTATATTCCCTTTTTTGCTGCACTCCCGATTCCGCTTACCTTTGCTTGGCCCATTTTTCCTGTTTCGTTTGATTTCTGGTCGAACCGCCTTGCAGATAATTAAAATTGCAAATTGCTGCAGTCTGCAAAAGAGAAAGAGCTCTCGAGGATGGGGATGTGCGCAGGAGCTCCAGAAAAGATACAACCGCGCCGATGGACAGCAAAACTCCAACTGAAACGCGATGGAGAACAATCGGACACGAGTGCTGCCGCCCGTCGCTGTTGCTTTTGTTGTTGCCTCTGTCAGTAAGCACAGTGGAACGCATCTTTCCTTGGGCTTAAAATTAAATTTCAAAAAAAATGTGTTTACATTAACGATGTCTGACAGTGTGAATCTTAAATTTAAGAGACTACAATATTAAATTCAAGATAGCTAAATGATAATAAATAACCAGAAAATAGTTTATCATTTTGTTTAATACTCCACTTGATAATAAATTTAAAGGACAATATTATATTTTCAAGTAAAATTGTTTTAGAAAACTTCGTGAACTAAAAGAGGACCTAAGCCCACTGTGCGACGTCGCCAACACCAAGAGGCCCGCCTCCCATGGAACAACAACAAGTAAAACAAAAACACGCCACACGCGCAAAGCTAAAAATGCCGCCTCTGCCACCGTCGACTGCGCTGCCTTTCTTTGCTCTAGCTATCTAAGAAATACCCTCTAGGCGTGGTGTGGGTCAGTTGAAATACCCCAGTTTGATAGGCCCCGCAAACATAAATACTTAAAAATTCAGGTCTTATCGGGGAGCAAGAAGCAGCTGATCAAGCAAGCACCCTTGTTTAAACCCCTTTTGAGCCCCCTCGAAACTTTTGATTTCGAAGGCGACGCCTCTGGAGAACACGTACGCATGGCTTTGACAAACTCTTGTTTCTCTACCGATCTGGTGGAGATCGGATATTGCATACATATCTACATATATAATTTATTCAATTTTAGAGCGACGGGCCTTCCATGTGTCCGATCTGCTATAAACTTATAAACAATAACAAAGTCGCTTTGTAATTCGGCGTGGTGGGAGCGGCAACAACACTACCAGTTGACAAACTCTCTTCGGCGCGCTCTCTTAATTTTTCCCTACACAGGTGAGGGTGGGCACTATAGTTCTCGGAAGCCATTGGTTTAGTAGTATTTAAAATATTGTACAAATATATATTTTACTTTTTGTATAGAAATGCTCATTTTGGTCAAAGCATTTATGTATAATCAGCTCATTGCCATCAATTTTAAAATCTAATGCGAACATGGTAATAGCACCTCATACAATTTTTATTTTAATTGCAACATGTATTATTGAAATAAATATTCTTATAACCTAAAAAATAATTTACAAACTCAGGAAGTTCAACCGGATGACGTCAGCGAGACCTAAAACAGCCCCATTGTCTTGCAGCTGACTTCCCAAGGTCAATAGTCCCTGGAGCAAATACCGTTGTGAGCATAATGGTGGTTCTTGTGCCGGCAGGCGCACAAGTTGGGAGCGAAGCAGTAGGCTTGGGGTCCACAATTGCTGGGGGAATATTCAGGGATTAGACTGGCGGAATGATAAAGGGACAATCCAACTCACTGATCGCAGATGGGCATGCATTGCTGCCCGTGGAGCAAGCTGGACCTTAGCTCATAGCCCTGGGCACAGATGCACTGTCCGTCGGAGGAACATGTGCCATGGGTGCAGCGCCTGTGGATGATCTAGGATACTCACTTCTTATCGTCCTTCAATAAGGATTAAACTTACCCGAGGCAGGGATCCAGCAGTCGAGCAGCCCTGTGGCGGCACTTTTGGGACAGGGGATCAAAGTAGTAGTGTCTGTCCTTGTGGCACACACAAAGATCGGGAGCGGCACAGTAGCCACCTGCCGCCGTGCATCCGGGCAGGCACTCGGCGGCGCAAACCAATCCGTCCGGGTTCCCCGAAAGATACTGATCTGCACACGGACAGGGTCCGTCCTCGAAGCACACACGATCCCGACACACGATGTTGCAGCGCCTCACGCACTGATGGGTGTTCACCACCAGCATTTCGTAGTCGGAACAAAGTGGAGGAGGCTCGTTGATCTCCCAATAGCCGTAGTCGTAGTAGTAGTGACCCTTCACCACTGTCCATGTCCACAGCAGCAGCTGGAGGAAGACCATCCGGATTGACATCTCGATCGAAGACAAGTGATATTCTGTTCCGGCAACGAGAGTGAGAGTGAAAGTGCCTTCCGCAGGCGAAGCAATTTGTGTGCGGATCCCATTACGGTCTCGGTCACGATCGCTGTGTACAAACAAAGTGCGGATGACGCAATGGCCCCCCAGCAATGGAAGCGGCCAACTGATAACCGCTCGACCGGAGATCATCTCGATCGGAATTACACATGATCAGAGCATTTGCATCGATCGAATGTGGGTCCGACGGAGCATTACTCACCCGATGGTGGGGTAGAGTTGTCTGATCGAATCCAACTCGAACGTGTGTGCAGAGAGCCAGGGAGAGCACTTTGGGGACTGATTCTGGAATGTCTGGATTTCCACGCTCTCAATGTTGCGGCGACGGCGCCCACATCTGCATGCCCACACTGCAAAAGTTTTGAGAGTTTAAAATATCTTTAGCAATTTATTTATTTTATAAGTCATCCCAACGCACAAAAAATGGTATTTCAAGTAATACAAACTTTTAAATTTAAAACGTTCCTATGTAGTTGATAAAGCCCTGCATGATTCAAAATTAAGTTAGTGCGTTCTCAGAAGATAATGCTAAATTTGATAACGATATATATTTGACTGTAAAAATGAATAATTATAATCCTAAGTTTAAAAAAATAGGATGATTGCTTACAGTAAAAAATATTTTTATTTGTAACTTATTATTTTATTTTATTTTGTTAATACAAAAAATTATCATCAAATATTTCTAATTTGTATTAAAAAATAAAACAATTTTAAACCTAAAATTGTTTTTAAATTTTTGAGATGTTAAGAATCCCCAATAGGATTACCAAAGATCCACTACACCTTTTCTCCCAGTGCTGCGATTGGGGCCTGGCTCCGTCTGGAGTGCAGCTGGCTTTAATAGGCCCCATTCATTCAGTCGGTCGGTGTCGACGAGAGTTGACGGAGTAGGGACACGGCGACGCCTGCGCGAACGGAAGTCCAGATTCAGATTTAGATTCATACTGAGATCCAGCGATCCAGAGTGTGGCACAAAGTTGCCAAATAGCCGCTTTGGGGATTAGCGAAAACGCCATCGAGGCAGAGTTCTTTCTGTGCGCGCCTCTCGTTCTTTGCTTCGACGTCAGCCACGAATTGAGTTCTTGACTGAACCGCAGACTGGGCGGTCTACCGCCTCGCCAGCCCCCATCCACCCCCTCTGTGTGCGCGTGTGAGTGGGGTGAATAACATAAAACAGACGGCAGAAGGCGAGCGCATAACAGCGAACGGCGAAAGCATAAAATAAACAATTCCATTTCGGGCTGGTCAGCTGGGAGGAAGTTCTGTGTGCTGGCCCCGCGCCGCTGGTGGTGGCCGAGTGGTGCGGCGGTGGTGGTGGGTGACGGCAGAGTGGGTGTGGGATGTGCGTGCCCAGACAAAGCCGAAGCGCTTAGAGTCTATTATCTATCAGGCAAGTGCTGACGCGTTGCGAGCGCCGGACGTCGATCGCTGAATCTGAATCTGTGAACTCTGGCGAATCTCTGGCATCGAAATGTGCTACGTTATCATCACCAGCGCCAGTCTGGTGTGGTTCCTCTGCTCCTTGGTGGCGGACATGCTCTTCGCCGTGGCCCTGGTCACGCCCAAGTGGCTGCTGGGTCCCGCCCAGGGCCTCAACTCCAGCTCCAGCCACCACCGCCAGTCCTCGGTGGGCATCTATACGCGCTGCAAGGTGATGCAAGACGGGGGCTTCCACTGCGGCCGCTTCGACCTGGACGGACTGGCCACGGACAGCAGCGTTTACCCCGGCGAATGGAAGGCCGCCATGTTCTTCGTCTCGCTGGGCTTCAGCCTGCTCTCGGTCACCGTGCTGCTGACCCTGCTCACCTGCTGCCGCCAGTCGGCCTTCGGCAAGAGCATCCACAACATGACCGCCTGCGCCCAGGTGGTGGCCGGTAAGAACGCATCATTTGTCGCAGGAGTGGACTAAGACTTGCTTTCCAGGAATAAGTGTGATGCTAGCCCTCTTCCTGCATCCACTGGGCTGGGGTGCTGACCGGGTTCAACGACTGTGCGGTCCGGATGCGGAACCCTTTTACCCCGCCGACTGCAGCATAGGTACACTTGATCACAACTCTTTGTTGAAGCAAACTAATCCCAACCCCCCACCATAGGAATTTCGTTTTACTGCGGCGGCATCGCGGTAGTCCTCACATTCGCCGCCGCAGGCATCAGCCTCAAGGCGGAGTCTTCCAATATGCGCTCCCACGTCCGCCAACGCGTCGAGACGGGCAGCAAGCTGGTCTGCATTCCGTAGCTGCCTCCGGACACAATAAGCACAGTCTCCGACTTAGAGCGAGCATACTTAACTTCATTCTCGAATTAACTTTAACATTAGCATAAATAAAGGTCTAACATTTCTACAGTATGGATACAAGGTTTGGCTGGATCTTGCTTTGGATCTACTTGTTGCGCTTGCCCTTGGCTTTGCCAGGAGGTTTGCCCTCGACCACTGGCTTGGCCTTGGGTATGTAGACGCCATGGTTGTTCTTCTTGAGGTGCGCAAACAGCTTGTTCTTGGAGTCAAAGACGAGCCTGCAGGTGACGCAAGTGTGTTGCGGTACGGTCGGGTCAGGATCATCATCTCCGCTTTTTGGAGCCGCCTTGGCCTCCTTGGTGATTGGTTCTGGAGCTGTTTGCTCTGCGGACCTCACCTTGCTTGCCGCCCCCTTTTTGCTCTTGCTCTTTTTGGCCGCCTTTTTGCCTTTGCTCCAGTCGTCGTCCTCCGATTCGCTCTTGCTGGCCTTGAGGTCAATGGGCTCGTCTGGTTCATCGCTGGCTTCCTCTTGCGCTTGCTTGGCAGCTGACTTCCTCGACTTTTTGTTCTTTTTGTTGCGCTTGGTGAGGGCAGATTCCTCTTCGCTCAGCGCCTCTTCTCCGGATAACTGATCGTCAGCGATTTGGAGTTCCTCCAGCCCCTCCTCCACTCCACTCAAAGTGTCTTCGTGGGACGCATCGTTGAAAGCCTCCTCCTCCTCCTCCATTTCCTGGCACAGTCGGTCGACATTTTCCTTGTGCTTTTTGCTCTCCTCGTGATTCGCACGCGCCTTGGCGTTCTTGAATGTCTTGTTGCACGCCACGCAATACAGATCGTCCACATACTCGACCTCGAATTTCTCGGCTGCCGGATCGTCCGAGTCCTCGCCCTCCTCATCGTCCTCCTCTTCATCCGTATACTCGTCCGACTCACTGCCGTACTGCTGCTCCAACTGCTTCAGCTGCTCCTCGTATCCCTCGTTGAAGACTTTGTTCTCCCTGACGGCCGCCAGTTCCTCCTGCCGCTTTCGCAGCTGCTCCCTGCGCTTCTCCTCCTGCTTCAGTCGATTGGCCTCGGCGCGCTCCTCGAGCACTCGCCTGTAGGCCTGGACTCTGCGATCGCGCTTCCTCACGAAGCTCACCAGGTTGCGGACCTAATTGGGGTTTTAAAGAGGGTTATTTAATAAGTTCCCAAAAGCAATAAACTACCCACCTCTTCGTTGCGCTCCTTGCGGGCTGCCTGGACGATCTTCTTCATCTCCTTCTCCACCTTGCGCAGGATGAAGCGCTCCTTGATCTCGCGCACGTCGTACGGACACAGCCATTCGTAGGTTTTCCTTGTGCTGTACGCCTGCCAGAAGGCGTAGAACGGACCCACCACCTCCTCGTAGCTGCTGTTGGCGTGCCCGAAGTCAGGCGCCATGCCCAGCCGGTCGTCCTCGTCCATAAACTCCAAATCCTCCGAGGCGATCTGGACGAAGACATCGGTGTACACGCGGTAGAAGCCCTGCTCGTCGTCGCCGTATCCTTTGTAGCAGGAGCTGGTGAAGAACGGGAACACATCCAGGCAGTTCTCCGCGTACTCGGAGTTCTTGCCGCGCAGGATCTGCTCCCGGTGGTTGTCGTACCAGGAGCGCTCCTGCGGATCGGACAGGACTTCGTAGGCCTGCTGGATCAGCTGGAAGCGGTCCTTGGCCTCCGCCAGTCGGTCGGGGTTCTTGTCCGGGTGCCAGCGCAGGGCCATCTTCCGGTACGCGCTCTTGATGTCCCCATCGTTGGCGTCCCTTTGGAGCTCGAGCTCCTCGTAGTAGCAACGCATGTTTTATTTTTAACAAAAAATTTGGAAGGGTTGCCAGACCGCAAGAGAAGGGGCGCCCAGCTGGTGCTCACAAGTGCGTTGCCTTAGCCAGGGTTGCATAGCGCCGAGAGAGAACTTTGAATTCCAATTGGATAGCTTACTTTTGGGCGAAAGAAAGTTGTTTTTGCGGGAAAATCCCTTTAAAATGTCTGCCAAGGATTATTCTACCAGGACTCGGAGTTGGCCATCCCAGTTTTTCAAACCCGCAACGTAGCGGCAATCCTGGCCATCCTACGTAACTGCGCATTCCGTCATTAGCTTTTTTCCCTTCGACGGCGACGGACGCTTTCCTTCGTGTCCGCGCATCCTTGCTTCACTGAATTCTGCCGCACGCTTTTCTCGCTACCACCGAAGTTTATACATCGCATACCCATACACAGGCGCGGAGAAGAAAAAGTTAAAACCGGACACATTCAAGTGAAAATAACAGTTTTCCACAACGGGACTTGCACCTGTGCTTTTTCCTTATAATTTGCAAGACATTTTCACATCATTTGCATGAAACACAAGTACCAGCGACTGGAATCGAATACTGCTCAACTCAAAAATTGCCAATCAGCCATAACAATACAGGAAAAGTGCCAAAATATCGTAAAGCATTTGAGTCTGCAGACGAAAAGGAAAATTGCTGGACATAAAATTTACAGTTACGTGGGATTTACAACCGAGAACAGTTGCACACAGACAGGCTCGCCCACACACACACGCTCAAAAAGTTACTTCGCCACGGGTGGGGAAGGGAAAAGGGGAGTGGAGTGGAGTCCTTGAAGCATCTCGGCTTACGAACAACCCCCAACAACATTGGGTGCGTCGGTACTCGGCCTGAACGTAACGGAAAACGGCAAAAAATAACCGTCAACAAAAAACAAACAAACACAAACACAGGAAGCCGACGTCCCATCCGTGTGTGTGTGTGTTCTGGTGTAGATTTACCGTTGCCCTTTCATCTTCTGCGAGAGTGTGTGTGTGTGTGGGCGCCACAATAAAAGGAGGCGCAAGGATATTATGAGGCCGACGCTGTCTGCCGCATTTGCGAATAAGGTAATTTCGCATAACATTCCAGCACATCCCCCGCACCCCTCCCCCTGCCGCATACAAACTATTGAAAATGTGACCCTGCTTTTGTGCCCCCATAAATGGATTTCCTTATCAGCGCAAAGTGGTCCCAGGAGTCCGCTTGGCTCCATCTCCATTGTTGCAGCTGAGTTGCAGCCATCCCACTAATGACCTCTTCCCCCTCATTCGCAGCAACTACCATCCGTCCACTTTGGTTAAGACTGTAGGGATACCACATACCACTATGTTTGGATCCAAGCTGCGCTCCTGGATGGAGACGCACATCGTGCGTCCCCGCAAGAAGGGCAGCAAGCACAAGCAGCAGGCGGCCTCGGAAGCGGGCAGTTCCTGCTCCGGCAAGAAGGCGGGCACCCTGCCCCCGCAGGGCAGCAACCTGACCAGTCCGGTCCTCACCAGCAGCGGCAGCCACAGCATCGCCAGTCCCGTGCGAAGGCGCGAGGTTTCGCCCATCCAGTGCCACGTAAGTTCATTTCCCACGGGGAGTTGGCCAACTGCTTACGTCTTTCCATTCTTCTTTTCGTAGCCACCCAGTCGGCGATACGGCTGGCAATCCCCAGACGACGACTCCTACGTCATCACCTCACCCAAGTCGGACAATCTGCTCTACGCCCCGCACTGCTATCAGCCCCACCAGCCGCTGCAGCAGCCCTCGCACCACCTCAGTGTGCCCCACAGCAAGGATAACTCGTGTGCCGAGAAGTCGCCCATCAGGGTCAACTGCTCCTCGTCCTCCATATCGTCGTTGTCCTGGTCAACGGGTTCCAAGGAGCCCTCTTCGGGCAAGCAGGCTGCTTTCAGGGAGCAGTCTTCAAATGGGGAATACCACATTCCACCCGAGGAAGAGGTGGAGTACGAGGAAGTGGGCGCCCTGCTGCTCCGGCCCCCGGCCCCCATTGCGGAGCAACAGCGTCCACAGTCCGAGAACCTGAGCGCCATGCGTCTCATCTACGAGGAGGAGCCCAGGCAGAGCAGCAACCATGTGCGATACGGACGCCTGCTTCCCTCCAAACTGGCGCCGGCCCAGCTTGGCGAGTCCCTGGACAACTTGACGGCCACGCCTCCAGTCCCACCTGCTCCTCCTGCCGGCTCGCGGATGCGAACTCCCCGGGGAATGCAGCGCAGCAACTTTATGCCGGGACCCCGGCCCCACAGCCTGCCCTCGCCGGAGAGCGCCTACTCCACGGGCTACTCCACGGATGGCACCTCGCCGTGCGCCGCCAGCAACTACAACCCGCCGGAGTACTACATCAACATGCGCTCGGGCACCCACTACTTTCCCAAGAGCGTCAATTCGCTGGCCATCGAGGCGCAGCGCTACAAGTTCGGCTTGAACCGCATCGAGGAGATGTCGCCCATGGATCCGCTGCCCAAGAGCAACTTCGCAAGTGCCAATCATGGCCTGGAGTCGTCGCCCAGTCCGCTGGCTCTGCGGCAGCAGCCGAAGCTTTTTGAGTGTGAGTGTCGGTGCTGTTAACCCGCCCGCTGGCGAACTGAGCAATTAACCCATTTAGAGTCTCGACTTGAGTGAAGTAGCAACCCATATCGCTTGTTTCTCCCCCTCTTTTGCAGCTCCCTCGCCGAGACAGCGCTGTCGCATAAGAACCAATCCCTGGTACAGCACAGGAGAGCACTTGCCAGCCTCCTCCGCGGGCCCCGCGCGCCTGGATGTGGATGCCACCAGCACCACCTCCACGACCTCGTCGGGCATTAAGTCGAGCAATGAGCTGGAAGTTCCGGCGGCCAAAACAACAGCAAACAAAGCAGGAAAGGCAGCCGCCCATACAGCAACACCCAACTGCCGAGGCACTCCCAGCAAGTCGGCCAGAGTGGCGGGTGTGGACGCTGTTGGGGGTGGGTCGGCTGGTGCACCTGGATCTGGGGTCGCGTACGAGTCCGAGGGCTCTTCGTCGTCGACAGAAGTGGAAAATCTGCATGCCCCACACACCATAAAGCGCCGGCACCTGGAGCAGGCGGAGACGACAGCAACAACTTCAGCGCCTGTGGCAGCTGGTGGTGGAGCCACCACTACCTCCTTCGTGCTTAGCGACGACGAGGCCACTCTCAACGAGATGATTGGGAAGTTTGACGAGAGTTACATCTACGAGAAGGAGACCGACATACTGAGGTGAGCTGCAGTCCTCCACTGCTCGGCAAGTCAACTCAAGTGGTTCCTCATTTTCCATTCGTCTTTTAGCAGCGACTCGGATCTCACTGACTGCTGTGCCTCGGAGCTGGACACTGGACAGGATGCGGGCGACGAGTGTGACACGGACGAGCTTCTCGACATTGACTTTATAGACACTTCTTCCATGCAAGAGGTCGTACTCGATCGACCGGATCTATCGCGCAATCTGGGCAGCTGCCAATACTACTCGAATCAGCCCGCTAGTCCAATGATGAAGCGGAAGGCATCAACCCGCTCCCGTCGCAAGAGCGGCCAGGAGACGGGAGAGAGCTCCCAGCAGCGTCGACGCAAGCGGTTCCTTAAGACGCGCAAGAAGAGCTGCGAAAACCGTGAAAAGCTCCCTTCGTCGCCCCTCCGTGAGCCCCGCGGAACAAGAAGTGTGGGAGGCACGCCCGTCTGCTTGCGCCGTAATCTACTGGCTGCAAGGGAGAGGTAGAAGACAGCCCTTCATATTTATATTTATATTATCAAAAATTCTATCTATAGGATCTACAAGACTTCGCCTCTCTCCAACCGCTCCAATTCGCTGATCTTTGGCAGCCTGAATGAGAAAAGCACCATCACCATCGCCGAAAGCGAGAAGGCTCTTCTTAAGGCCGACTTGGAGGCTGATATGAAGTACAAGCAGCTCATCATGGAGGCAGAGTCTTTGCTAGAGTCCATGAAGAACAGCTTACAGAGGTGGAAAACTTGAATTTTCTATTCCATATGATTAAACTAACAAATTGCATTCAGTATTCCCAGAGACACGCCCGTCGCCAGTCCGAGGCGTTTAAATCCGTTGGCCAACAAGCGCGTGGAGATGCTCAAGAACAGTGAGGTGGACTCCAAGAAACAGGCGCCACCTCCGAACTCTCCTCCGCAGGAGCACGAGTTAGCCGCAGCCATCAATAAGCGCATAGAGATGCTAAAGTTTGAGACTTCTGCTGCTTCTTCGCCTCCGAATAGTCCCAAACTTGGACGCTGCAGTCCTCGCAAGACGCACCTGACCAACTTTATGAATCAAAATGCTCCGCCAGAGCTGCCGCCGCGCAAGATGAACGGAAACACTCCCACTGCTCCGCTCTCGCCGCAACTGCAGCTAAACGGAAGGCGTCTCCAGGAAAGCCCGAAGGGCAAGAGACGCACTATGATGGTAACATCCACGACCACGACAACGGTGATCAGCTTCAACGGCAGTGACTCTGAGATGGAGAGCATTGCTGTGGAGGATATTGGCAATCACAACTACTTGCCACAGCAGCAGCAGTCGAACCCGAAAGTCAAGCTGGATGCGCAAACACAACATAAACTGCATGCGGAGTCCCACATTAACAACAACTTTTATTGCCCACATAGCGAGCCCTTGAAGCGAAAGGTCTACAAGGGAAGCTCCTCGTTCGAGCGCATTAAGAAGAACTTTGACTTGGAGTTGGGTAAGTAATTTAATATTGCCACATTAGCGATGACCCCTTTACTTAACGAATCAAAATACAGATGCAAACGGACGGAGCAAGTCGAACGAGCGTTCGCAAATTAAACTGTCGGCCTCCGTGTCGGCCAAGAGCTCTATGCAAGACGTGACCGTTGACGAGGCCAAGGGCCAGGCAATGGGCGGTAGTAGCCGCAAGCAACAGCTCATACTGAACACCATAGTCGACTTGAAGCGCAGTTTGGAGCATCAGAGCCATCAGTTGAGTGGCCTGAATGGGGAATAGAACTGAGTGACCCAACTAATAGGGATAATATCATCATCATCATCATACTTAATCATCCTGCATTATCTAGACAGTAACTAGTTCGCTAAGTTGTAAGCTAACAGTCCAACCGAATCCCTCAGACTAGACACTGAAACTGAGCGCAATAACTTTCTAACTGATAAGAGAAGACGATTATTTACACGAATGGCATAATACTCGAGGGCCGTAATAGGAACGATGGACTGTTATGGAAGGTTATTACGAAAAATGTGTAGCATGTAGAAAATTGTTTTTGATGGAGTTTTTATAACCGTAGTCATAACCCAAAGGTTTTATTTTGGTTTGAAATATTTAAAGATCAATTCTTAGTTTCAAAATGTTCTTTGATATATCATAGATTTTAGTTAAAGCATATCAAAATATTATTATACTGAGTGACATTATGTTAATACTGATCGTTTTAGTTTGTTATTTGACTATCACAATTCTTTGTTTTAGAAACACTATTACTTTTAAAAACATCCTAAAGTTGTCTTTAATATTGGTTTTAGATGAGCCAAGCTGAAAATGTGTTTAGAACACAAATTCATTAGCTTGATCTATTTAACTATCCTACCAACTCACACTATCCAACCTTAGCTTGAATACGTTGATATTAGTCACTATAATAACTACATAAGTCAATAATTGGTAATACTCCTTAGTTACTTATCGAGAGTGTGTGTGCTAATGCGTTAATGTGGAAAAAGATCCTTAATTATTGATGCATATCCCACATGATCCTCGCCTACATTTAGAGAGCTCATCTTATCGCTAGACTTGGTAGAACATTTCACTTAATCAGCATTATCACAAAAGTACTCAAAAGTAGTCCTTTAAGTAAATTATATTACGATCCATCCAAACGAAAATTGTTTAGCCAAATTGTTTGTAGATCAATGAAAAGAAAAGACATTGTTTTACCATATTGTTTCCTTAGTTAAATAGATGAAGACGATTGTGTTTTAGTGCTTACCAAAACCGAATTATATTTCAATTGGTCTCACCACGAATTTATAATATGTTGTATTGGCGAAAATTATAATGATTTCCAATTGGGGGTAAATTGGTTGTAATTTGAATTAATCGACTCATGTAATTATGAATTATGTATTTTGTTGTGTACCCACTTAATATGCATATAGACGCTGTAGAACCTACACGAAGAATACATAATCTAAGTCATACTGTAACGTGATAATAAACTTAATGAAAACCCCAAGACCAAATCGAAGACGATCGACCGAGTAGTAAGTATATAGTAATTACGTATACTTAAACAGTTATGTTTGTGGTTTTCCGTTTCACTCTTGTGTGTACTTTGTAGCTTTGCGTACACTTGTTTCTCATTGAAATTGAAATTGCAATTAGTTTTCATTTTCGCTTACGTACTAGTGCCTGCTTTTAGTGCCGCAGGGCAGGAGGGGTAGTGGTGCTCCGGTATGCTGTGTTAAATTTACTTAATTAGTTTCACCCGCGGTGCGACACTTGAACATCGGCCCTGCAGCGAAAGACGCACGCCGCGAAGCCAAGACATCGAACTCAATATTTTGAACTTTAAATGGACTGCTAATGCGTAGTTCCACCCAGCCCACTGTCATGGTAATTTATGCGCCCTACATTCCAAATATTCAATTGGATTTCCGATTAAAGCGACCTTAAGACAATCCGACGAGCTTTTGATAAGACGATTTACAAACCGCCACCTAAGAGAGAGACTGCAGAAGATTCACTCCCATCACGGGGATTTACATCCGTTTGGAATGGCCGAAAACCCGGTACTGCAGTACCACGTGTGGTATGAGTGATATTCGTTGTTGCTGAATACCCATTATCCTATCAGACGACGACGACTCATGTAATTACCGAACCCATGTACTTTAAACGTCAATAAAGGACCAATATTTTGAATTGCCCTCTATCTTAATTGCTCCGCAACGTTCGATGTTCGATCAAGATGCCAGTCATGCTGGAATTTCCAGAGACGCCGCTCCGATCCCCGATCCCCGTTTCTTGTCATCTCGTTCATTATTATGTCTGGCTGTAAAAATAAACTCGCACTGTTCTAAAAATCCCCAGAAGAGCATCGACAATGGAAAATTAGCAGACAGATCATGGACTGGCCGACTGGTCGTCCAAGCCTCCGTCGCTGCTAATTATGCAAATGGAGACTGAGAGACAGGCAGCGGCTGGGGAACGAGGAACGGCTGCTGCCTGCCCGCTGGAATACCAATTGACCAGGCCACGCTTGAAACATCAAATCAGCATTAAGTGGGCAAAAAACATGGCTCGAAAGAGCGGCCATAAAATGGTTGGTGGCCCAGTGAAGGAGGCGCGACCTGCTCGGGCTGCGTTGGAGATGTGCCCTAAATGGCCAAACTGGTTCGGCTTCCACAATCTGGCCAGGAGGCGGAATGCTTTCCGAAAGGCAGGGGCCGGTCCCCGAACTGCATACTTCAGCTTCGCTTTGTTTTACTTCTTGGGTATAAAAGGTACTTATCTAAAAATGCTAAGAATTATTAAATCATGATTTTTTGCGAAAAATGGCGTTTTTGTAAGTTTTTTTTTGCTGTAACTTGTATAAAAAGTATCCCTGATATAAAAGACGCAGTGTTTTGTACAGCTAATAACCCAATATATTGAATTCTACCACTTTGCGGATGGTTTAAGCAATTTTAAATTTTTACCTGTTTTTACGTTTTTGAAAAGGGGTAACATAATATTTTTTTTCAAAAAATGGGCAAAATTAAAAATGTTTAGGTTTGAATGCCGATCGATTGGGAATTAAATTACGAGCTCAGTGGTGTAGAACATTCTAAATTTGGACAATTTTTTTCATTGTTTGGAGCAAAATACTGATTATTTTACGCTGAAAATAACGATCCTTTAAATTACCTTTTTGACTATTTAATCTATGTATAAACATATTTTACAATATTTTAAATATACACAAAACTTGGGGGGGCAAGGTGGATTTCCGGTTAGGGTATTTCTATGTGCGACATGACCGTTTTTGCCGATCTGAGGCTGCAGTGCAGCTTTCGATCTCGAGCGATTAGCGCGCCGAAAGCTTTGAGCTCCGGGGAAGGGGGCTGAATTGTTGTCGTTTTTGTTAGCCGTCATGTTGACTGTTGTGTGTGTGTTGTTGCTGCTTTTTAACGTCTTTGTCGATTATTGTTATTATTATCGAGATTCTTGTTGTTGTTTGGTTGTTGACGCTTTGGGTTTTGGCCGTAAAATGTTACTTTAGTGTTGGTTCGTTGCGCCGGCGCAGTCGCCGCCTCTGCCGCAGTCGCAGTGGCGCAGTAGCAGCGCAGTTGCGTCGCCGCAACCGCTGTTTTTAGCCATGAAGGTCATACCCAGGTGTGTGGCATTCAGATTCACCTGAGCCCGGACCGAGCCCGACTCTGGCTCCGAGTCCGAAACAGAAACCGAAACCGAATCTGAGTCGTTCCAAGCCGAACTGCGGCTGCGCTTGCGCTCAGCTGAAAAAACAGGTGCAGGGGGTAAGGGGGGTAGGGGCGCGTTGTTGTTTTGGCAGTTATGAAACTAGTCCAATGACTCGCCACCCGTATGTGTGTGTGTGTGTGTGAGCCAAGTCCGAGCTTTTGCCCGTGCCTCCTCTTCTTGTAAGCATGTAATTACTCACACTGGTGCACAGGGCGTATGAGTGATCTGCTGCGCGTACGGGGTCTTTTGGCAGGTTCTCAATGTTGCGTCAGCCACTTCTTCAGAGTTTCGCAACCTGGGACAAATGTGCGCAATACCAAATCAATTGACGCCTCGATCGGAGGAGGGGTGTGTGCAGGGGGCAGATGAGAACGGGGATGAGGAGTCGCCAAAACCCAGTTGACAAAGGAAAATAGCAGCGTCATGCGGCAGTGTGCAAAAATTGGCTCAGTCTGCTGCGTAGCTGATTGTCCGGTTCTGACTTCCAGCTTCCATCGGGGACTCGGGGTTTCCAACTAGCTCTGACCTTATCCGATCTGATCTGATTGAAACCCTTCTGACTCCGTCCACCTAAACAGGTCACAGTTGCCTGTCAAAAATGGCACTCACTTTAACGGTAGCCCTATAATAGGTACACAGAACAAAAATAAATAAAACGTCATAACTGTCTCTGTTGCGAAATAATACATATAATATTTTTCTTTAAATATTAAACTTAAAGTAGGTGCAAATTGAAATGCGAAATGACTTGTAAAGTCATAAGTGGACGTCGGATTTTAAGTGAGATCGATTTTTTTAACGGAATTTCTGTATTCTGAATCTATATACAAAATTCGAAATTAGTTAAGATTTAAATCTTATTATGATATTATAACCAATCATATGTGGCTCTAATCCACATTTATAAAAATGACTTATTAAACAATCAGCATATCGTCTTTAATTTTTCTTATGTGTAGAACTTCCCCCCACCTCTTAATGAACCTGTTCCTGGTTGTAACTTTCTTGGCTTCAAGTGCCTCCGTTTCGAAAAGCCCCTGACGTCACGGCAGCTCTGCGAACTTGGCCCACCTTTCCGTTTCTGTTTCTGCGAGTGTGAGTTCCCCCCGTTCACTGTGTGGAGTGGGTCAAGCTAATTAATTTCGAGGGTGCTCAATTAGCGCTCGCTCCCATTCAGCCGGAGATCAAGTTGATCGATGGACTTTGAGAGGTGCATCCCACCGGGGATCGGATATCTCGTAAGTCGTATTAAACCGCATATCGCGGATTGGGAAGCAACCTCCGCAGAATGTTCGTGAATGAATATCTTTGGCGTGATTTAGCGCTCGCTGTAATGTCTACCGTGTGAGCTTGTCGAGCGCGGTCTGGCCATGTGTGAGTGTGGAATTTCGAGTTTTTGGACTTTGTACCAGTGGCTAGCCATGAACCGACTTTGCCGAGCTGGCCGCCAACGCGGTCCGGGCCCCCGCCAATCCCCGCGAGAGATCGTGAGCTCTGTTTGCGCTTGGCTATTCATCTACTACCGATCGCAGATGGGCCGTGGATGGGCGTGTGGACGGGGCTCTAATTATTCAGCAATGTGACGTACTACCTGCTGACAGCATAATGCGGAATTCTATTCTCGATTCAGCTCCTCATCCCCATCCATAGCGATCGATCGGCGGCCATAACGAGACCAGCATCATCCGCGAATGGAAGCAGGAAGTCGGCTACTGGGGAGGCGGCCCTAACGGAAATCAAGCGCTATTAGCCAGTCCAGTCGGAGTTCACTCGCTAAGGTTCCAGCCAAGATCTTTCAGCTTCCGCCTGCGTATCGATCTGGGGTCAAACGGAAGTGTTTCTCGACATTTTCGTTTGGAGCTGGAGCTGGTCGGAGTGCCGTTATTAATTAATTTCTCGTTTCGATTTGCATGCCGAGTTATTTTCGGATCGCAGCAGCGGCACGTGATAAAATTTGATTCCGACTTTGTTTCCACAGCGGCTGCGATTAGTGCAGCTCTCAATGCTGAATGCTGAAGAACAGCAGCAGCTCCAGCCTTGGGCACTTGGACTGGACCTTGGGCAGCACCGAATTGCTTGACCAGTTACAAACGCGGCCCAAACTGCTGACTCACGCCGACTCCGACTTTCTTTTGTAGCTGGGCCTTATGCTAATTCTGGGAGATGATTCTTCTGCTCAAGGTTCACAAGCTGGGGTCAATAAACGGAAACGAAACAACGCAGCACAGTATCGATCTTCGCTAAGTTATGATACTTCCGTCTATCTGCGCCGCTGTCCGGGGTTAAGGCGAGCAGATAGCCAAGCCAACAGCAACAGCGGAAGCCGAAAGCGAGCTAGAACCGTAAACAAGTTTTGGCTCACAGCAGCCGAAATCTCAGCCAATCCACCAGGCCAAAACAAATGTACGAAAAGTAAACTGAAACCGAGACTGGCGCAGTTTGCAAATGGCTTTGGTTTGGCCAACCCCCCTCCCTACTCGACTCCTTCTCTCACGATGCGGAAGCCTTAGCAGGGCGCTAATTGATTGCCCCGAGAGTGGAAGAAGAACCTCCCAGAAATATAAATCCCCCGAATAGGAGCCGGATTCGATTCAGTGGGCCAAGAGGAGGAAGACCCTGGAAACCGCTCAAGTGGAGTCTGCCGATAAGCACGAAACAAGTTCATGGCTTCCATTAGACTGGTCGCAATTCTCGTCACCACGATGATAAGGCCACATCCAAGAGCACAGCCAAAATAGAAACAGAAATAAACACTAACTAGCCGTCAAGTGGCCGCGGCGAAGAACACAATTAACTTGGCCCAGATACATACTTACCAGAATGGCCTGACATTCTAAAAGCAGATTACACATAGCAGTTCGGCGGAGCATAATCAGAGTTCTTTCTTGGGATTGAGACCGATAGAGAGCATACACGATTACGTCGCGTGTTGTTTGCAATTCAACAATTGAAGCGCCCTACGACAGAAGTGTTTTTATAGCTCTTGATTCCGGGCACGGGTCCAAGAACTCGCCAGTCCTCCCCCGCCCTGAACTTGAGCAAAAAAGTAGATATGGCCATGAGTCAGCCGCATGATCGGCAGTTCTTCATGGCCACATATTATGAATCGACCGGGCGGGGAATTATTTTGTAATTGGAATAGGAATAGGAATGCTTCGCCCTAAGCACTTTATCTATGCGCCGATAAGGTTGCCTCGTAGGCTTCACCTGAAAGTGGTTCGAGGGAAAGTTTTTCCCTCTCCCCGAGTTACGCCTAATCGAAATCACCAGAGGAATAAAACCAGTGACTCTCAAGATGCGGCACGCGTTTGCTTTCGTTAGTTCACCGGGAAGTGAGATTAGATAGGGAAGTTTCCGATTCGGATTGAAGAGCTCAGATTTCCAAAACGAGATAACCACTGAAAGGAAATTTGGATAACACAGTGGTCACATTGATCAGATATATACTGCTATAAATATATATTTATCGGTTGGTCAATTCTTTGTTTTCATGTAGGATTAGATAAAAAAAATTTTTGATACGTATGCATTTTAAAAACTTTTTGGGAAAACAAACAAGATAGCATACTTCGAAAAAATATATATACTTATATCCAAGTGCGTCAATTAATAAATAAATAAATAAGGGATAGTTTACGTTTGCAAAGGGCAGGAATAGCAGGTTTTATCTAAATGATGTGACCCAAGATTAGATTGAAGTACCTATATTTATATATTAAAAACAAGATAGGGTTGAATTTTCACAAAGGGGCCTGTTATGGCAGCCACCTAACATCCAAATTACCGGGTGTTCACTGTAATCTATATAGCCCATTTACAATGGCCATTGCCACCTTTCAACCGTTCCACACTTCGATCCAAACAAAACGGCCTTTGTACCCATCACACGAGCCACAACTCAAATTTTTGGCTCCGTTGGCACTTTCTTTATCGTTGCCAAGCCCCAAAAAGAGAGGGAAAGGGGGGTTGACCAGAACGAGACACATGAAACGAGCAGGTTGGATATATTTTCTAAGTAAAATTTATTTATTGTGTATAAATAATTCTCTTTTTAGCTCTCGCACAAGCGCTATTAACGTTAGTAATTTACAGTTTGCTCTGCGATCTTCGAAGCCGAACCAGTGACAAGCAGGTGAATCTCCGGGTGACATTCGGTGGGGTCTGGGAGGAACTCGCCATCCCCATCCCCATCCCACTCCGCTGGATCCACTGGATGTCGCTGGCTGGCTGCGAAGAGGATATCAAACGAAACATAACGGCACAAATAGTTGGCTTAAACAATTACAATAACAATTGTGGAATATATAAATTTGCATACAGGCTAAAAGTGAAGTGGGCCATCACCACTTGCTTCCGCCTCCGCTCCCACTTCACTTGTGTTCGTATTCGTAATTTAGTTAGAAATTATATTTCTTGTACTTGTTGAACAGTGTTTGCTTTAGTGTGTTTCTGCAGTCCCCATAGCTATCTATCCAATGTATATACGAAATCAAATTGCAAAGAATGAGGGATCTACATAGGGGTTGGGGCCACAGCTACGCCATGGAGAACCCTTTTGACTGAAGCGCAATGGGACCCCAACGAAAACAGAAGGAATGATCGGGACTGATGTGATTGGCTTCTGTGAGTTTTCTTTTTCATTTCGGTCGGTTCCCCTTAAAACCCATAAGAGAGATACAACGAAGAAGTTACGATTTTTACAATAGAACGTTTTGTTGATTTGTTGCTTTAGGCGCTGCTTTATCCACTACTATAACTACCAGTTATTTATCATCCTCAGTTATACATTTATACAATCCTCATGCACACATACGATCCTCATATGTCTTACTTAGCACCCCCTCAAGTTACATATACATTATCATATACATAGATATAGATACACAGATACAGTAATAGTTATAGTTTATAGTTAAAGTGAAAGAAAGACCTCACACTTGCTTCACTTGATACTAATGAGTGTAAAGACCCGCCCGCGACTATAATATGAAGTTAACCCCGCCCAGCTCGAAAGGAAGTGAAAGTGTAGGTGTAGGATTAGGATTAGGAGGCGTAGGAGAAGAGGGTCGAGAAGGCGTTGAGTGGGCCGTCCTAGACGGGCCCAATATCACTTTGGTATCTGGCGGTCAGGTAGTTGGCCGCCTCTGTCATTTGCTCCAGGCACTGGTACAGACCGTTCAGATGCCTCCGGCAGCGCTGCGCCAGCTCCGTGGCCTTGTCCCCGGAGCCCTGCTTCGACTTGGCCACATCCACGATGTCGCTACCGTCGCTGCTCTGCGCGTTGTCGCTCTTGTTGCCGTCGGACTCCAGTCCCGAGTCGTTCTCCTGCGAGATGTCCGAGTCCGAGTCGCTCATGTTGCTCACCGAGTTGGTGGACATCATCGAGGCGGTGGAGGTGCGGCGCACATGGCCCTTGACGGTTGTGCTCGGGCTGCCGCTGCTGCTGGACTCAGTCTTGCTCTCGCTGGAACTGCAATTCGCTGAGGAATTGGGACTGGCGTTGAGCTGTTGCTGCTGGGGGTGCTGCTCCTGGTCGTCCTCCTGGTTGGCGGTCCAGAGCAGATCCTTTTTGAGCGAGTTCAACATGTTGTACAGATTGAACAGCTCGGAGGCGCTGAGGAAGTCCTGCACATTCTTCGAGTGCGCCGCCCCCCGCTTGCCGTGGGCGCTGGAGCTCTGTGTCAGCTGGTTGGCGGTGGAGTCCTTGCCGGTGGCTGGGATGATGTCAGTGCTGTCGCCGATCTGTGGACGAATCAAGAACCGAGGGGGGAGCAATAAGAATGGTTGCAGTTAGAGGGGCCGGGGTTGCTCTACCAACCTGTCGATCCATGAGCCTGCATGGCACCAGTATGGTGTCGTCCATTATGTTGACAGTCTTCACAAACTTCTCCATCACATTGACGATGCTGTCTTTGGAGAACTGCTGCTCATCGTGACGGGCGATGCGGCGCAGGCAGTTCCTGAAAAAGCAGAACAATCGAAAGATGAGCTTGGGCCAGCGAACAGAGGACAGAAGACGGTAAACCAGTAGAGCGTGTGCAGGGGAACCAGTTTGGACTTGGATTTGGACTCGGACAATAGACGGCGTGATTGGGGGGGACGAAGACCATGCCACCGGACCAGACGCTGGCCGTTCTACAGCGTCGTTAAGTCTGCCGCGATCAGACTTCCGCCACTCGAAACCCTCTTTTCTTTGATGCTTTCGGCTTGGGATGGGTGCGCCTCGCCAACGTGGCGTATGATAGATATGAATTGGTTTTTATGCAAATCAGCGATTCGCTGGCGTTGTCGCAAATTCAATTTGTATAAAATAGAAAACCTGTTGGTGCCTTTGTACCTGACAGTGCTCGTGTGGCTCTTAAAACAAAAAGCCCAGACGGACGGACAGAAAGATTTCTATTTTCGGTTTCGGGTTCCAAAGCCAATTTAACCCGTCCACGTGCTGTCGAGGGGCAGACGAAACGGAGGGGCTGGGGAGGGCAAAGCCCCAACTCGGCACTCACCAGATCCCAAGTAATGGTTATACAATCCTAGCCGGTCTCATTAACTTTAATTTCACGAAAAGATCGCGTAACAGCGCGTCAGGTCAAGCCCCATAAACTTGGCTGAGCCATTAACCCTGCTGGGGCTTTGAGCTAGCTGCTGCTGATATCTGGAGCTGGGCGGCCAAAGTCTAGGGGCGACTGCTCGGCTTATCGCCGCCAGACGGTTCCCAGACGGAGCTGGAGTTGCGTATCTGCCGTATCTGCCATGCCACCCCAATTCATTCCGACTAGGGAGATTGCCCAGCCCAGCCAGTGCGGGGCCGCGTGATCGCAGCTAGTTGACAGAACGAGCGCCGAGCGCACTGATAAATTTAGTTTAGTGAATGCGCCATTTAAAGACCTCTACCCTACGGTGCTATAGTTGTATGGTTCTACAGTTCCCCGCCCGCCCCCGCTGCCCTGGCGAACAAACTTAGACAATCTAGATATCGATGGCTGAAGTGAACTGCGGGGCGGGGGTGGCCACGCGAGTGCTGCGTGCTCCGAGCTCCGCTGACCGACATCGTCCCACTGGGGGCCACAGAAGCAGAACCAGATCTACATTCTAGACGGGTGTCAAGGTTTTTTTCCTCTGTCGACGGAGGATTCCCAGCCAGCCACCACTCTCAGTGACTAATTAAGCTAATTGCGTTGGATTCCAATCATGGAAATCAGCGTAGGAATGCGAAAACAATTACCATCTTATCGACGCTTTTCGCTCGGGACACTCGGCCATCGGCCATAATAGATTGCTTGATTGCTGTCTCATGAATTCTGAATAATCACCTCAATTTAATTTCAATTATACGTAGTTTATACGCTAGCCCCTCTGACCACGACCCTGGCTTTCGGTGGATGCTAAGTTCTAATCAGGCGCCGCCGCTCGAGCGCTGGCCACGCGCCAGAACCACTCACTCATCAATGGATGACCCACCAGTACCAGTTCCTATCCCATTGATCCCCGCCCGAACCGCTCCCGAGAACCCACAAACGCCGGTACGTTGGGTTTTGGGAAACACGCCACACGCTGCCAGCCAATTGGAGGCCCCGAGTCATCAGCACAAGCACACCTGCTGACTGCTCCCCTGGCCCTCCTCCCGATGTGGGAATTGGGCTAAGCCCGGCCAGCGTCACGCGACATGCGCGAAAAGAAAAGGGCGGAGAAAGGGGCAGGGAAAGGGAGAGAAGGGTTGAAGTACCGCATACAACGTCGAAATCAGGCGACTTTTCCATTGAGCGGCCGCTGAGGGGGTGGTGGGTGGTGCTGCTGAGCTGGCTTCATGTGGCAAGCGAGTAGCCCCTCTCTTTGGCTCTCTCTTTGGCCCGTGCGATTTCTCTTCGCCGCCGTGTGGCGTGATGTGGACAGAAACTGTACGATGATGGACCAAACTAAGAGTCGCCTCCATCAGCTGAGCACGATGAATGAACCGCTGCTCCCGCCGCCTTGTTTTTGTGGTATTTCTCGTATTTGCAATGTTGGGCAATGGGCACTGGCATATACATACGCAGTCTTTGAACCGAATTGACCAATATTTGGTTTGCTTTGGCTGCGCTTCGACCTCCAGCATAATCGATATTTGATACGCCCGCAAATTAGATATTCTACCTACTCGGCGGCCGGGTTTGTTTGGCTTTGGCTCGGAGCTTTGGGCTTTGGGCTTTGGCCGTTGGCCATTGGCGGCCGTTGTCGCCGTAAGTTGCCGTTCAAGGCGACACCTGCCTCAAAAAGTGACACAGCGAGGTGAATCAGAGAGTTCTCTGTGATTTCCACGGCCCAAGGAGGCCGGATGGCACAGTTATAGTGGCCCCCGATGAGTAATGGGTGTTACCGATAACTGGCCGACTAGTGTCAGTGCGCTATAGATAGTGCCTTATCGCTGATCCGAAAGCTGGGCCTCTGTGATTTGCTCACTCGAAACATTTAGGCAAACAAACAGTGAAAAAACGCCAACATATTTCTGTATAGGTGTACAATATGTATAGCCGATTGTGTCATATTAGCGGACGGCTTGGTTTTTTTCTTTTCTTTCGTGTTTGAATTGGCCGTCCCTCCGTCCACCGTCCACCGAAAAATCGTACGATAAATTTCTTGTATCTCGTTTTTCGTTTCGTCGGTGTGTCGGTGCAGAGGCAAACGCAAATCGAAAGAGAAAACGCACGCGGGGTGCGGTTGGCTTGGATTCAGTTTGAGAGGAGAGTGAGTCGACGGAAGAGAGCCAGTGCGAGAGGAGGGCGGAGGGGTGGAGGGGGATTCAATTTAGCATCACTTTAGGCAAATTGAACTTAAACGCTTTAACTAGCTGACTCGGATTCGCATTCGGATTGGAACTCACCGACTGGTCTCCAGCTTGGTGAGGTCTGTGTATCCACTCATGATGGCTCTGTGCTTCTGTGTGCTCCCGAAGATGATGTACTGCTGACACAATTGACTTGGGGAATTCGCTTTTCTTTCGGCCGCACCAACACTCGCGCACTTTCACTCGCGTTCGGAATCGGAGTATTCCTGGCTGGGATTGGGGCTGGGATTATGAAATCTCCACAGGTGATTGGCTTGACTTGGCTTCGGTTTCTGTTTCGGTTGTGCTTGGAGTAGCTGCTGCCCCGGCGGAACTCTGACTAGTGCGCTGCCTTCCAAGAAGTCGCGGCTGTTTTATGCCAAAAATTTGCATGCACGCACCGAGCTTGATAAGACCACGACTTTGGCCGTCGATCTTGGGCGATCCAATTAAAATACGTAGGAATTCTAAGCAGTCTGCACGCGCCCCGCACCGATTCGATTTGCCTTAATTTCAATTTCAATTTTCAATTGATTGCGCGAGCACCGCAGCCAAAGAGACTTCCAAAAATTACAGAGAGGAGAGCGTGGCGAGCTGCTTTTATAGTGCGGGCCGCGCCAGGGCTGCGGCGCTCCGATAGGCCTATCGATAACACTGCGTGCCGTCTATCGATGTGCTAGCAGCTGCTATGTTAACTATGGAAAGCCGTTAAGAAATGTTAGTCATTTCAGATACTTTTGAGTTTTTCAAATTGTTGAATATACGATCACAAGTGGTACACCGATTTTGAAGACTTCTTAGAATTCACTTTCATTTTACGTTTCTAGGTTTGAACGACAATCGACAGGGAATTTTAGTACGAACTCAAAGAGGTATGGAATTCTATTTTCGGATAACATTTTGCTTTGTTTTGGACAAAATAATGTTTTTTTTTTATGAAAACTAGATTTAGGAATAAACGACGAAAACAGGGTTTTCACCTGCCTTTTTCCTTCAAAATAAAACAAGCATAATCTCAAAGTTAAAAAATACGAATCGTACTATGATTTTATTGAGGTCCCATATCTAGACAAAAAGGGATATAGAAAGTATTCAGAGGATGTTCTCATAGCGAACGTTTTTGTTTTCCATGTACCTTAACTTATAGTGCTTTCAGGAAATGCGTACATTATTGGGTTGATAAAAATGTATTATCTTAGTTTTTAATGATCAAATAAAGATGAGTAATTTTCTGATTTTCATTCGTTTTTTAATAAAACACGTCAAACGTAGAGTACAAACAAGATATGGTGTGTACTGATCAGTTTTATATATAACAGATTTCACAAATATTCCTCATTTTCGTATGGCCTTGTTTTCTAATAATGCGTCATGAAGTATAAACAAACTTACGGGCCAAGTGAATTTACACTTCATTCCTTTTGGATATGTTGCATTAATGTTCATACAAGGTTTCACAATAATTGTATACAAATTTTCATTTAAAATATGATGTTTGACTTTTAAAGGTCTCCAATATGAGACTCACATTCATTTTCAATTCGAAATACTTTACATTTCTTACTAAATTTTCTTGATTAACATCAATAAGGGACTATCCATATATTCCACATCAAAGTTTAGGTGCGTTCAACCTCTTTCCTTTAGGTAATCAGTTGTTGGGACAACAAGAGTAAATCAAATCCTGAAAAGTACCAATGTTTCAGAACTGATACTTGAATAATACATGGACGACCCCTTAGAAATGCAAGATTTCCAATATTTGTAGGTGATCCAATAATTTTCCGGAACTTGAATTTTAAACGCTCTAAGTAGCTTTCTCCAAGGAATCCTATCCTCAAGGTTAATACAACGGGGACTTCCTAACAGGCAGTTTAACTGGACTTCATTGCTTCCTATTTTAGGCGCTTGACACCATTTCGTTTTTGCTTGCTAATCCTCTTGGAGCACCATTGCAGATCTCTCTCCTCCTTGTGGCCTACGGAAAGAAAAGGTCTGGTCATTAAGGCCTTTCATTCAAGATAGAAGAACTCACAGAACACTCGATGAACGACATGTCGAGAGTAATGCTTCTTTTGGACTCCGGCTTCCCTCAGCGCACTTGGGATTCCTCGGACGCATTTGTACATTTCCTTCACTTGGTCTGGCGTCAACACATGGAACATGTTCAGTTCGGGGTCCCAGAAGAAGGGAAGAACTCCCAGCCTTAAACGCTCCGCCAGGTCCTCAAACATCTGGAGGATTTTTGGACAAGTTAATGACGCCCAGAGGTCAACAATGGGGAATGCTTACCTCGGTCAAAATGACTGTGAGCGGATTTTCCCAGTAGGACTCTGGCTCATTGCTAATCTTCCAAAGAAACAAAGTTTTAATATAGTAACTCTTGAGGTTGCCCAAGTTGGTCTTAACATCGCGAAATTTCTTCATAAGCTTGATTGCATCCCGGCAATTTTCGTGCGTACCCTCTAGCATAGCCCACTCGGCGGGGTAAAAGGAGGACCTAAACGATATACTGCTGGTCTGGGTTTGGACTTTCAGGAGCTTGGGGATCGCCTCCCAGTAAAATAGATTCGCGCGCCTAAAGTATTTCAACTGATCCGCGAGCAAGACGTTCTGTTCGGCCCCCAGGCGGATGGCAGGTACGAAATCGACCGAGTACTCCAGCTCCCCATACACGAATATGGTGTGGGCCGGCCCACAGGTCTTGTATTTAAGCGCGGACACGATGCCATCTACCTCCACGTGATTGTTGATCCGGTTGAGCGCTTGGCTAAAAAGGCTCTGGAGCCAGGAACGGAGTTTGTCCACGACGAGGAAGTTTTGCGCGTTCACGAGTTGAAGCTGAAGCAATTTCAAGATGCCCTGGTAATCCTCGCGGGGATCCTGCTTAAGTAGTTCTAAAACGCGCGTCATATCGAGAAAAACGTTGCCCGGAAAATTCGAATCTCGCGTCACGATGATGCTTTCATAATACGGAATTTGAAGCTTGAATACCAAATCGAATTCGTTGGGTTTCGCGACTTTAAGATTATCTCCCGTGCTCCCTGCGAAAATTAACGGAAACTACGCGGTAAGTAACGATCGAAAAACGCGGCGCGACGGATAAAAGCGGGACGAGGGTATCATGGTTACGAAGCACGGGTATAAAATTCGACCGAATATACGATAGAGCGCGAAGAATAGTAATCTTTACGAGCAATGCACTTCTTATCACGGTTATTATACTTAAGTACTCTGACTCATGGAGGAAAGTGGGTGGGGATAGGGAACGGGTGTAGGCTGCAGTTTCAGCTGAAGTGCAGCCAAGGTCCAGCGAATCCCGGCGAGGGAAGGATCCGCTGGGGCGACTACCTGGACATACCTTCCAAACTGTACTCCACGATGAGGCTGTTCAGCTGGGCATTCTTCGCAGTCAATATCCCGAAAATTATAGAGCGTAGCGCCTCGAAATGCTTACCGTATCTTTCTTTCTCCCCCTCCGGTATGGCTATGTACTTACTTTTACACAAGTCAATGGTTTTGCTCAAGAAGTCTTGGAAAGTCATCGTTGGCTTGGACATTTTGTTACCTTTCATCCTTTTTATACCTTCCTGTTTTTATTTTTAAGATGCTGTGGTCTAGACGTCTTTTCAGTTCTGCAGTTCAGGGCCTTATGATGGGCCGCCACATAGAATGGCGGGTTGGATCGTAAAAGCTTCACCGGTTCACTGGACGGAACCGATGGAACGGAACTCGAAGCTTTACTCGTATTTGGCATTAGCCAAGTAACAAAAAAATGCAACATTTTTTATTTAAAGCGAACGGAAGCTAGCTTTGACTAGCCGAAGTTTGAATACCCTTGCAGGTTTCACGAATTAAAATGTGAATAAAATAGTATAGCTACAAAATATATATATATGGGCACTTCCAAAAAAAAGTCCACCAAGCCAAAAACCTTGAAACTTGAATAAAACATATTTCCACATGATTTTGCACCGATATTAGTTTCTAATTAGTTGGATACTGCGCTTAACCACAAATTTGGAGTATAGTTTGATTATTTTTATGATAAACCCCACCAATATACGCAAAAATCAGTTTTTGGCTATATTTTTGTTATTTTTTGGACCTGTCTTCTGTTGTAAATTTATCCTATAGGAATGCTAATATGTGACATTTTTCTGTACTGAATGCTTCATTCACATGCTAAACTATTAAGTTAAAAGCAAAACATCCAGCAATTGAGAGATAGAGGTAAAGAAATCCGCTTTACAAAACAGTCGGAAAAAATGTCCCGAGCGACATGTCCCGAGCGAATGTGGTTGAAACTGCATACAAAAAAAACGGCAAAGAATTTTTGAGTAAAACCAAAAGTATTTCACAGCGACTTGTTTGAACAACATTCTAAAAAAAATCGCATTCAAATATTCCATCAAAATTTGCTAATTTCTGGTGTTGTATGAACTTCCTCGAAATCCACTTCTATTTTTGTCCCGAGCGAATACGGCAGTTTTTTACCGATATCTTAAAAACTAAAAGTGGTACAAAATTAAGATTTTTACCAAAAATAGAGCTTGGGAAGAGTGAAAAGAAAAGCCCATAATTAAAATTAAAATCCATTGTTTTAAAATTTTTTTTCAACTTTAAAGGTGTGCAAATGTCCCGAGCGACATTTTGGAAGTGCCCATATACAATGTACAATGTATATGTATATTATACATATATGCAAATTTTGCATTGCAAAACAAGCTATATTAACCTACGATCCAAGCGCTTTTACTCTGGTCAAAAGATTCATGTCACTAGCTTTCATTTACCAAGCATTTCAATTTTAAAAACAGCTTTTTTAACGCAAGCTATAATGCAAACAATAATCACAACATTCAGCTAATAAATTTAGCCATGTTTAGGAATGTCATTCCAGCCTTTAGTCAGTGCAATGATCAAATTGATTAAGAAGTTAAGAAAAAATCCAAAACGAAAAAGAGTTAAGGAGGTATCAATCCAGTGCACCGATCTCGACCACCTGAAGAAGGCAAATGAAAACTTTAAATGAACCCCAAAAATTCTAATTAATAAATGTTTGTAGTGCAAACGTAAAGTCTGCAGATCTGCCAAAAAAAACATTTATAATAACAATTTTACCGGTCTACCTTCTAAGGTAGAAGGCGAAAAATAGGCTTTTAAGGAAAGGGATTGTGGGAATGAAGTTCATGCAAGAATTTACATCCCGATACTTAAATAGAAATACTTTTTCCTAATTGTTTAACACCGGTTTGCAAAAACTGTTCATCGTTCAACACATTTCGCCAAGATATTCAATTGAGTTAACCAAACTGGATTTTAACGGCAGATTCAATAAAGCACCTATACTAGGTAGACCGTAATTAAGCACAGTCATCTTATCTTCCTGAATCGCCACAGATAAACGGCATTAAGAAGCGGGAGCGTTTCACGTTTGTACAAAATCATTTCGGCCAAACTAAAGGTGTTTTATTCAGATGACAAACAGTACTATCAATATGGGGCACCTCGACTAGCGAGGCCGGACTGCTTAGTGACCCGCGGTGGCGGCCTTGGCGGCGATCTCGTCCTCCTTGGCGTGCAGGGCAACCAGCTCCGCCTTCTTGGTGGCGATGCGCTCCTCGCGGCGCTTGCGGGCCTCGCGCACCTTCTGTCGGCGGGCCTCGGCCTGGTCAGCCAGCATCTTGCTGCGCTGCTTCTCGGCCTTCTTCTTGTGGATGTACTCCATGAGGACGCGCTTGTTCTTGAACACATTACCCTTGCACTTCATGTACAGGTCGTGGTACAGATGCCTGTCGATCTTCTTGCTGTCGCGGTACTTCTTCAGCAGGCGGCGCAGGACGCGCTGGCGCTGCATCCACACCAGCTTGGTGGGCATGCGGGCGTTCGCCGTACCCTTGCGCTTTCCGAATCCGCAGTGGCGGCCCTTGCGGCGCGCCTCGGTGTTCTTGCGCACACGGTAGCGGGAGTGGACCACGACGGGCTTCTTGATGATCAGACCATCCTTGATCAGCTTGCGGATGTTCTGGCCTGCAATTGGGGTAGGAGGGTTGTTAGTCGGACCTTGTTGCTCCACCTGGGCCGTGCTACTTACGCGAGTTTGTGTTGGCGATCTCGTTGATCTCATTGGGGTCCAACCAGACCTTCTTCTTGCCGCATCGCAGTACGGAGGCTGCGAGCCTCTTCTGGAGCTTTAGAGAACTGCAAAGGCAAAGGAGGGGTATTCGTTAGTCGACCATGCATCGAAAACAGCGTGCTGCGCTATGCATGTGTGTGTGCGCGTGTGGGTGAGCGGCGCACGTTTGGTTATTTCACAATTGCCGCAAAAACTGAATTGCACTCGGCCGCCCGGGCGTCCGCGGTGGCACGCCCCCACTCCATCACACTTTGCACACATTTTAACGCTGCGAGAGCGGCATTTCGCGCATATTAACAAACTCAAATCTACCTCATGCTGTCGACCCTTGCTCGACGTGCGAAAGAAAGAAAGAAAAATTTGACAGCAGGAAGTGAGCACCATTTTCTAGAGGTTAGTTATCGATACATCGATAGGCGGCGGAGGTCTGGCAGCGCCGCGCGGTAACTACACTTGTCGGCATAATTATTTTTACAGATTTTAAAATTAAATCAGCTCATATTTTGAACTTAAAATAGAAACATTTTGGGACCTATAGAAAGAGCACTTCAATTCCGTTTAAATGACACAACAATGCTCTTAACCCATTAAGCATCCTTTAAAATGTTCGAAAATTAGAAAATTTATTGTTAAGGACAAATTTTCAACTTTTTTCCTGGGGATTAAAACAAAAATGTTTTGATGCAAAGTTTTTCCCCAATCAAAATTTATAATAACTGCAAAAAAAAAATTTCAAAATATTTTTCCTTGTATTTTGATGATTTTTTGAAAATAGCTAAAAATGACTATTTTAGCCGCTTTTTGATCCTTTTCTGATAAATCTTAAATTTGGACTCTGTCAACCGAAAAAAGTTTAAAAATCCGAATTTTAAAAATCCACCATAAATCCAATTTCCCATGGATTCGGGCCATATCCAGCTTGTTTTATTCGGCAGGATGTAAACTTTAAGTTTGTACCCATTATGATTTTTCGACGGATTTTGATGATTTTTTGAAAATAGCTAAAAATTACTATTTTAGCCGCTTTTTGATCCTTTTCATACAAAATTTTACTGAAATCGCTCCATTCCTATGATAAATCTTAAATTTGGACTCTGTCAACCGAAAAAAGTTTAAAAATCCGAATTTTAAAAATCCACCATAAATCCAATTTCCCATGGATTCGGGCCATATCCAGCTTGTTTTATTCGGCAGGATGTAAACTTTAAGTTTGTACCCATTATGATTTTTCGACGGATTTATTTCGAGTTTTTACGATATATACAGCCGACCTACAGTCGACCAAAAAACACATTGTTCATCTTTGTCGAGCTGCTCCCCTGCCATCACTTATCTAATCATATTGATCAGTATGGCAAAGTTAAGCTCTGATCTCTTGGCTTAAAAATTAAACGAAAAATGGCTCAATTGGGTGGATATGAGCCGGGATATAAATTAAATTTCGAAAAAAATCAGAAATTTAACATTTTGAAGATTAAAAAATCTTTAAAAAAAAAAACTGTGCCATCGAATAAAAAATAAGTGGTATTTTCGTGATCTAGGTCTCTAACACTAACAGAATTTGCAATCAATTGCTGTGGAGCAAAATATTATTTTGTAAGCTAGTGTGGGCGGCGGAGGTCTGGCAGCACCGCGCGTTATCTAGTTTGAGCGGGGTGGCAAGGACCCATGATAGAGTTGAGCGCGGGCCGTGATTTTGGCCGTGGCACGAATAATCACGAATAAGGTTCTCGTGAACAGGTGCAAGTTCCCCTCATTTCACAAAAAGCCAGTGCTTTCTAACTCAGCAATTCTTTTATTATTTTATGGCGGGTGCGTGCCTTGTTTTTTGAAATTGTCGCCTTGTGTGTGTGCCTTCGTGCTCGTGTCGTGCCGTGCCGCACAAAACAGGCACGCGCCCATCTCTAGCCCTTATGTTACCTGTTCTGTGCAATAACAACAGTTTTTAAATCAAAGCCCAATTGCACCGCTAAAAGTGCAATTTTCGCCATGCAGCACACGCTAAGACGCTGCCTCGGCATGGCCCGGTCCTCCCTGACGCGTCTCCAGCCCAGATCCACGGTGGCGGTCTCTAGGATGCAGGATGCAGCCGCCTTACCAAACCCCACACAGCCGGCCAGGCGGTCTTTCGCCTCGCTGCCGCAGGAGCAGGACAAGAAGGAGCAGGAGGCCCGGGAGAGCCCCAACCGACTGCCCCGGCTCATGGACTTCCCCGAGATCGTGTGGCCCTCGGCGCTCAACAGCCTCAAGAACTGGATCACCATCCAGTTTATCATTCGTCCCTACTTCGACAGCGAGTTCCAGCTCAAGGACTTTATATACGGCGCCAAGCAGGCCCTGCAGGTGGGCTATAGTCCGGCTGTCATAGACCCTTCTAATCCTTCCGATCCCCGACAGGTGGTGTCCTCAAGACTGATGGGCGGCGACCTGGACTCGCTGGACAAGCTGGTCTCGGCAGAGGCGATTGCGGAGCTGCGGCCCGTGATCCAGAAGCTCTCGATGACGCAGCGGCGGCAGCTGGAGATCAAGGAGAGCGACATTTACCTCAGCTTCCCCTACCAGGTGGGCATTATGTTTGACGAGGCCAACGACAAGCTGCAGAAGCGCTTCGTGGAGATCACCATGGTGTTCCATGTGATGCGTGGTCTGTCCGAGATGCGGGAGCGCGGCGAGGAGATTCCCTGGAACATGGGGTGAGTTAAAGCCCTGCATAAAGTTATCCCCTGACCAACCCCAATGCATTGCAGGACCCTGCCCGAGTACCAGGACAAGGTGTTCATCTGCAACTACCGCTTCGTGAAGGAGTTCACCGCCGGGCAGCACTCGGACTGGACCATCAATGTGGCCAACCAGTTTAGGGCCATCGACCTGATCAACGAGACCAAATAACACCTACTCACAGGCTTCCTTCCGCCTGCCGCCTCTGTTCGCCGCCCCCTAGCCGATATTAGCCACCCCCTGCGTTGGAATTAAAGTTTCGTTGCCGCATTTAGGTATAAAAAACTAAAATCTTTACTGTGGATCTCTGATTTAAATTAGGTTCATGTGGAATGAGTGCATGTAGCTGTGCTGTGGATGTGCGGAGAGCCTAGTGGCCCTCGTGCTTTGCCCTGTAGATGCCCTTGGGGTCGTACTTGTCCAGGAGCAGCTTCCACTCGCCGGCCTTGTTGGCGCGCAGGAAGTTGATCACCTTCTGCGAGTTGCGGCGCTGGACTTCGGTGCACTTGGAGCAGTCGGACTGCAGGGCGTCGGGCAGCAGGCGCTTCAGCTCGCGGCCCTCGGGCGTGCACGGACCTTTCTCCATGAGGCACTTGAGGTAGTTGTTCAGCACCCGGTTGTTGGTCAGAACGTCGTCCACGTTGACGTTGTCGAACTTGCTGGTGTACTGCTTTTCGGGAGCGGCGGCCGCCAGACCGGCGATCACGCAAAACACGATGGCTAGCGAGGCTTTCATCTTGGAGGATGTGCTGCAAGGGAGACGAGAGTTTCAAGTTAGCAACGGTGAGCGAGCAAAAACAGCAGTTGCTTAGAAGTGGGACATCTGATTGCCGGCTGCGCATCTAATTAGAAGGCGCCGCCCAGTCTCAGATGAACTGTCTTGTTTTAAGCGCCTGCCGGGAGAATCATCCGAGGCGATCGCTGCGCAGCCCACCACTTTTTCATGCATTATTTATGGCCCTTGGCATATATATCGCATATGCATACTAATTGGCGATCGTTTGGCTTCAATATTTTATAAAGAAGATTTCACAATTTCACGACCACGTCGTCTTAGCCGCTGCCGCTTTCGACTTCTATGTGGCATGATATTTAAATCCGTGCAGTGGACAGTTGCTCTGGTTTACGCAATCGGTGCGGGCTTGCCTGCGCGTTTTCCTCAATTCCTTTGGGGCACTTGGCCTAAGCCGAAAACACGAATAAATGGCTTACTCACTTCTCTTCCGGAGGTCTTCGGTGGCCTGGCTGACGAAGTTGTGGTGCGTGCGAAGGCGCAGCTTGGATTGCGAGCAGTTAGCCTGTCGGCCTGGCTTTTATACCAGGGCTTTAACGGCTCCTACACTGAGCGCAATGGCCAGCTCTCTGGCCGCCGGAGCTTTAGCAGGCGGAGGGGCGGCCGAGGGTTTGGCCAAAGTCGCGGCACAGTGTAGACCCAAAGCTGACAAACCGAACCGGATTTTCGATGACTGACTTAAGGTTTTTCAGCTGAATTTCGGCAAGCTGTCCGAGTGTCGGGCCAAGCGGTTCAAAGGGTGGAATGGAATGGGAGTTTTATTACTATCACAGATTCATCTCTCGCTCAGCGATCGTTTGTTTACCCGTTCACGTTTGAAATTCGTAGGAAAAGCATTGACGTACGTGAAAATTAAAATTTACATGTTGATTTTGCCAGTCGGTTTTCGGTCTTAGTCGGTCTTAGGCCGAAGTGGAGTTTGGCTTCCGACTCTTTCCCGAGCTAACGAGCGCATTTGTAATCACTATGTTGTAATCACTTTTATGCATTTCCATTTCCCTTTTAATTATCTTTGGCGTCATGAATCGCACGCACCAGTCTAGACTTAACCAGATTTCGAAAGCTCTTCGGGCGTGTGTGACTTTGTTTTGTTTTGGCGCAGCCCCCCGATCGATCGCTTCCAACTGGTCTGGCCTGAGTAATTGGGATTTACCCCAGTGCAGGTGGACATTGTAGTTTTTCAGTTCGTCTTTGTCACCTGGTACAGAAACTGAAACCCAAACAGAGCCCGCTAATGGAGCCCAGCTCTGGCTCAAGATAATTCTAGTCTGGTGGGGCCAGCAGTAATTGCCCATAAAGCCAAAATACACTTTATACCCTCGTATAATTATGAGCGCTTTTACGACTCTGACGCGGGAGACGATGCGATTCTACGGATCCGCTGGCTAGCTAGCTTGAAAGATCAGCTCCGCTCGGTCTGCCGCTGGGTCTGGGCTAGGGAGGTCAATAAATCAACCGCGTTGACTCTCCACCTGTGACATAACTCTCGTGCCAATTATACAAACAACTTTCGGCTTGTCCGCTGTGATTAACATTTAAATTGGGGCATCCTTAGCCCCCAGCTCTGAGCAGGGGTATCGATTTATGCAAATCGAGAGTGTTCGGTGTTCGGAAAGGAAAAAAACTCCCTGGGACGGGGGATCAAAAGGGGATGGCGGGGGTCCAAGGGTGGCTTACCTTGAAGTCATACAGGGCATCAGCATCGCGGCTCGGGAAGATCATGAGACATGTGCAAAAGTTCAGGTTCAGGAAGGCGAAGGAAAAGGAGAAGCAAACAAGGCGAAACACAAGTAAACAAACCGCAAAATCCACAAAAACAACGGCGACGCAGAGGCTGAAGAAATACTAACAATAAAAAAGTAAATGCACAGATTGAATAAAACGCAAAATAAATCTTCGGCTCGGTACGTGCCCAAGTTTTCAGTGTCACGCCAAGAGGCGGGGCGAATCAAACAGAGAGCCGCGACCTCAAACCGCCGGATCGTCGAGGGGAGGGATCGCAGGGCGGGAGGAGGACCGCTTAGACCTGGCCGTCTGGCGGGCTGACAGATAAGGTGAAATGAGGCACATTCAATTTTCCTCTTAATCGTATATTACGCAACGGCCAACTACTGATAGCCGCTACACCTCTAGCCTAAAACTAAGTCTTGTATACATATATACACACGGGTCCAGTCTGGGAAGTAAATCACATCGGTAGACGGACTATTTGACAGTCACATGCAGGGAGGGTGCGGTTGCCTGGAACTTGGTCTCCAGCACGGTGGCCGGGCGCATGTCGCCGCCACAGCAGAGCTTGCGGAAGAGACCCACATAGCCGAGATCGCCGAGGGCCACTCGGATCGCCTTCAGGACGCTCCACAGGGCCACCAGCAGGAAGAGCGCCATGCAGTACGGCTGCATGTGGGGCACGACGTTCACGTTGATAAACATCAGGGCGGTCACGAAGCCCGGCAGCTGTCCCATTTCCTAAGGGGGTTCGGAGCCTTAGCATAATGAACTTATAAGGCAGCATGGTACTTACAAACTCGTACCAGAAGCTGGGAATCATCATGTTGCTGAACCTCTTCAACCGGTTGCTGAACCCTCTGAGATCCGGAATGGGAATGTTGGACTGGAAGCGATACTTTTCCGTTACCGGAATGCCGGTGACGGGCTCCAGCAGAATGTAGGGCTCGTGGTCTTCGGCATTGGGCGTGTATCCCTCGTAGTGCTCGCTCCAGTTGTAGCTGCTGCCGTAGAAGTGTGGCATCGAAAAGGCGGAGGGAGCGTCATCTTCGGGTTGAACAGATTATTGGATTATTTTATATTGTTGGATATTTAAGCACGTACTTATCACACACTGCGAGACGTCGAACATGCCGTCGTGCAGCTTGACCCCGTAGCTGGTGTCCAGGCACCCCGGAGGCGTCTGGTTGGCCTGGAGCAGCGTGTAGCGGAAGGTGTCGAGGCCGCTGTAGCGCTCCCTGCGCTGATAGGTGAGCGGCAGGACCCGGCAGGACTCGATAGCCACGATGTCCAGCGGAGTGTCCGGCTGGACGAAGGGAGGGAAGAGGGAGTTGTCCAGCGCACCGGTCACATTGAACGGGCACGAGTCGGAGTCATAACGGCGCATGTGCGGACGCTGTTCCCGGATGATTATCTCGTCATTGAGGCGCTCGATCCGGAAGAAGTTTTCAATGCCCTGCTCTGGGCCTATTTTCACCGTATAGACCTCCTCCTTCTCCTTAAGGGCCTGTTTGGGGGAGGGGTGAGCAAGGAGCACAGAGGGGAAAGATCACCAAAACACTTACGTTGAACAGCACGGCGACGTTGGGCTTAATATTGGAGACTCTGGAGATTGATTGCAGCAGCGGACGGGTGAACTCCCATAGGAAGTAGTAGACGCTTTCGGTGACAAAGATATCCTCCATCATGAGGGCCGCATCGAAGCCCAAGGCAGCAATCGGCAACGTTTTCTTGAGCTTGGCCGCTGTGCCCAGTATTACGTTGTTGGTGGACGTAATCGTCCAGTTGAGGACGTCGGGAGCCACGCTCTCCTCCGGCAGGAACTCCACTACGCGGTACCGGTGCTTGCGGTACTTGACGTTGGTCGCGTTCCGCTCCAAGATATCGTTGAAGCCCACGATCCTGTATACGATGGGGCCGATCTCCTGAACCTTCAGCTTGCTGTCGCGGCCGCTCCGGAACTCCTCGGCGTTGGTCACGTTGAAGACGTAGTTCTTCAGCTTGCCGAACGGCGAGTTTATCCAACTGTCCATGGTGGGCATCTCCTGGCGGAAGCGTACATGCTGCTGGGCCACCAGGATGGGATAGTCCGCGCCAAGAGACACCACAAAGAGGTAGATATTCGCGGCCGCAAGAACCAGGCAGAGCACTATTTTCACCCACTGAACGAACCTCATTTTTGGGCTAAGTTGGAAGGCAGAGACCGGAGTAAGTCGCGTCCGATTCCGGGAAAACACGCGATCCGTTTGAATTCAATTCTAAACGCTTTCGGCAATTGCTTTGCAATCACTTATCACTCTAGTCTCCGCCTTCCAGCCACCTCCCTCTTGTTTCATTTGATTCGAAATGAAATGAAAACAAAGTTTATAAAACCGAATAGCAGAAAGGCTATCAGCAAAGTCAGGGAGCTGATTTTGCTTATGCCAACTCTGGGAAATAACAGTGATAACAAGGGATCTCTGACCCGAGCATAGAAATGGTCCATTACGCAGATTGCTCTGGGAGAGTACAGGGTTTACAGGGAGGGCAGGGACTTCTGTACTGCCACCTCCCTTCGGACAGACCCCACCGGGATACCGCTGACCTTGATTGCAGGCAGCAGGTGTGGATGGCCTGCAGTTGAACAGGCGACTCTGTCCTGGGGTTCCGCCGGAGGTGGTGCCTTATCAGCCACAGACAGAGCACTCTGCTCTTATCAGTGCCGCGGGCAGCCAAACGTGCAACGAAACAAATGACTCGCCATTAAAGTCTGGCTTTAGCTGGTCTGTCTGATCTTGTCCCAGCTCGGAATCTCTTATTAATAGACATCTTTATGGCTATGCTGCAAAATCCGGTCTGGCCCATATGTCCGCCTCCGAAGTTCGAGGTGAGAAACGCTAGTAGGCTCATTGTAATTTTCAAGTAAATAAAACTTATAAATAGGTCAATGGGTGCCCTAATTAAATGACGCTCTATTTGATCACTTACACTTTTAATCGGAACCAAAACATTTATTTTTTATGACACTAGTTTCACTCATAAAAGTACTGAAAATATAAAATATTTAGAGCTTATAATAAAGGAATGCTCGAATTGAATGAAGCTATATGTCATCTTTTATTCGGAGCCAAATTACTTGTTTATTTATTGTTTATGACACTTGTTTAGCTTGTTTAAATTAGCATGGAGGTACTGACAAAAATATTCATTAGATTTGGTATAATCCTATCATTCGGGACTGCCTACTCATTACCTTAGTATTTTCAGGGCATTGCCTTCGTTGTCCTTATATTTATTGTGCGGCTTGATATTGCCGGTATCCTTTTATTGCAAACATAACAACATTCTCATAAAGCTTTACGTGCTTGAATGAATATTACATTTATACAAGAATGAGCCGATTTCAATTTCCAATGGCCTAATGCGCAAATGTTGCATACTTTCGGGACGCTATAGTCGGGTTGGTGTCCCGGCTATCTAATACCCGTCACTCGGCTAAAGGGAGTGCGAGGAAGATGGATATACATAATTTTTTAATTGCGTATAACTTTTTAATAAATTGTCCGATTTAAAAAATTGCTACATTTCGATAGGTATAAATATACACAACAAAATTGCATTTATACTTCCGAGAAGGTATTAAAGGTATGGGCGCCAGACACATTTTAAAATCGTTAGTGGGCGATTTTGGGCGATAGAGGGCGTGGCGCTCGGCTAAAATAAACTTGCGCTGCGTAAGAAGCCCAATAATATGTGTGGGAAATCTCAACCTTCTAGCTTTTGTAGTTTCCAAGATCTCAGCGTTCATACGGTGCGTATGAGTAATACCTTTTCTACAAAATTATATTAATCAAAAAACTTTTTACACATTATTATTTTCATTATTATCTAATAAATTTATCAAAATCCGAAACGAGATATACGCCCAATGGTAACCAGCTCGAGAGACTGCAAGGCTTGGATAACAATAATCTCCCAAGATGGGACAGCTCTTGAGGCATAAATGGATTGGTGGTGGATTATGGGAATGCCTAATTAAAATAATATCGTAGTTTATTGTACACATTAATGCATATAAATTGTACATTCAATCGATAGAATTATGTATTTATAGAATAGAAATATTCTATGCGGATCTCGTCCAGCATTTGGTCTAATGAAGCACATTTATATTCGAGGACGGAACTTTGTTTTATTTGAGAAACGTTTCGAGTTTTGTGACTTGATTATCTGGACATTAAATTTCAATTTCAACAGGGTAATGGACAGCAAGTACGGTATCGGTTTCCGTTTTGGTATAACAAATAAAAGTCTAAGTCGAAGCTTTGAGCCTTTAAGCGATCACGACTGATTCGGTAGACTACACATCAAAATTTTCATAACGCTTACTTACAAAGATAACCTACATACAATACAATAGATACAGATACACATACAAATACATACAAGTCTTCCCAGCTCCATTTCTTCTAAACTACAGAGACGCAATTGAGATTGGGATTGGGTGTTGGAATGGGAATGGGCTTGGGGATTTGGGATTTGGGTATGTGGAAACGGGATGGGCTAGTCCCAGTTCCTAGCTACTGCTTATACTAAACTAAGACACCCAGAGAACCCTCGGACTGCGACCAGTCTCCGACTAGAGCGCCTAGTATCTGGCGGGTTGGTTATCCTTGTTCTGCTTCTTGTTCATGTCCACCTGGGCGGTGGCCAGGTAGTTGGAGCCCTCCAGGTGCAGGGTGCTCTGCCGGTGCGAGTTGCGGATGAGGCAGAATGTCGAAAGCAGCAGCAGGATCACGCCCAGGGCGCACAGGCCCACGATGAGGGCCACGCGGATCTTGGGCGGCACCTGCTCGGCGAAGCGCATCAGGTCGGTGACCTCGTCGGGCAGGTTGTCGATGCCCTCCTCGAACCACAGGATGGGGAAGATGATGTCCGGGAAGTTGGCCACCTGCTTGATGTCGAACACCTGGCTCACGGCCAAATTGATCTGGATACGGGCGCGCACTCTCAGGGTGGTTCCCATTTTCTGCGAATACGTAATACAGTAAGTACACATAGGAGCTGGATGATTTAAGTAACTTACAGGCTGGACGTCGAAGAAGAACTGATGTTTTTCCTTCATTGGCGGGGAAATGCCCTCCACTTGCGTCCTCAGACTCTCGTCGGCCAGATAGAAATGCGGGAAACTCAGCATGATGGGGGAATCTGCGGATAACCTTACTTTAGCACTCGATCGCAAACAGTCTTCCACATTCATTCTCACCGTATTGGCACAGGGAGACGTTGAAGAGTCCGTTGGGGGAGCACGAGGGCTTTCCGGCCGGGCAGAAGCACATGTTGTCCGGGTGGCTGTCCACATCGGCGAAGACCCACTCTGGCGGGGTGAAGCGGTAGCCGGGCACCTCGTTCGAGGTCATCACCTCCTTCTCGAACACCAGCGGCAGCAGGCGGCACAGATCCTTGTCGTACACATGCAGGATGCGGTCGTGGGTGATGTGCGGCGGGAAGATGGAGCCATCGGTTCCGGCCAGAGTGTTGCACGCATCGGTGGTCCAGTGGGGCAGATGGGTGCGTCCGTTGAAGTTGTCAATGATGCCGTACTGCTTGATGTCGTCGACGCCCGTGTTCACAGTGACGCGGTCGGAGGAGGTGCCGTTCTTGCCGTACAGCAGGCCAAACTCCTCGTAGGGCAGCTTCTGCTCCTTGGGCACCACATCCTTGGCCAGTTTGAGCAGCGGATCCTCGTAGCCCCAGAGCAGCTGGCCCACGGACACCTGGACGAACGGCTTGATCTTCAGTATGTCCATGATGCTGGCCATGGCCAGACGCAGGAATCTGAACCAAGCGAAGATCAGGGTTAGTTAAGGGGCTGCATTGTCGGGCCGTGGAGTACTTACCTTGCCGCGTGCTTGCTCTGCGAGGTGGCACTCAGCATGGGAATGTTGGGCACAATAACCACGTCGTCTTCGGGTCCCACCGAGAGGTCTTCGCGGAACGAGTAGATCTTGCGCAGATTGTAGCTCAGCGTGCCATTGTCATTCTCCACGATGTTCACCTTTTCCCAGGTCTCGCTACAGATGTTTAAATTCAATACAAACTGATGTCATATTCGTTACAAATGAAGATCACTTACCTGTAAACGTAGGGCCCCACCTCATCGACAATGGCCTTGGAGCCGTTGCTGAGGAAGTCGTCCGCATTGGTTACGTTGTAGATGTACAGGCTGATTCTGGGCTCCACCGGGGGCTTGGCCCACCAGCCGAAGGTCTTGGCGCCGGGACGCAGGGCCACCATTCGGTCCACGACGGCATCGATCAGCACGGAGAATTCACAGGCCACCACAATGCCGCCAATTATCAGCGCCGACGCCACGACGATCGTAATCCCTGGAAAACCAAAGTGAATTGTTCAACAATTGTTCACCGAATGCATAAATTACTGGATAAATGGGATGAGTCAGTTGATATGGGGAGGTGGGGAACCGTGAAAAGTGTATTGGCTTTGATCACGGACCTCATATTTGAGTTGGCACTCGGCTGAATCCGCTCAATAGCAATGATTGGGATGTGACATAAATATTTATTCAGCGCTCATCGAGCATCTCGAATGAATCACTGACCCTTTGACCTTTATCTCCCAGTTGTACAATCACCCATTATCTATAAATACACCCAATTAGTTGTGATTGAATAATTGCAAACGAATTATAGACGCCGAGAGGCCAGAACTGGAAAGTCTACTTAAAACTATAACCGGATTGGGATTGGGACTCGGAGTATCCCTGGCAGAAGACCTCTGGAAAGTTACAACACGAAAAGTAATGTGGATTATGGGAAAGGGAAGTGTTGGGCAAATATCCAGTTTGTCCTATACGTACTTCGGAATTAATAAGAATATTTCCATTCGCATACCAGTCTAACCAGTCGGACAAATAGAAGCTGTGTGCTGTAGCTTCGGATCAAAACAAGAACGGGGCACGTGGAGTTATGACAGCTAAGAGAACTGAGTACTTGACTGGTGATTCCACCTCCCATTGCGTCGTTGCATAAAGTGTTGGATGGGTTTATTACGATAATCAAGGTGGAAATCCATATGGTAATTTCTTGTATGCGAAGAATGCCGTTATACAATGAGATGCTAATTGATAGTAACAGCCCCTGGACCAAAGCCCCTATATCTTATCTTCGCTAGGGAATACTTACACCATTTCCTGAGATATGTGCTGGAGAGTTTTGTGCAAAACTTGTGTTTCGGCCCGTTCATGATGACGAAGTCGGTGTTGGGGTTTCGCCTTGCAGTTGTTAACTAAAATGCAAAACAAAATTATATATAAAGCATATCGCGTTGTGTTCACGGGGACCTAGAGATACACGGACAGACTGGCCGTAATACCGGTTAAATTGTAGTCTCGGCTCGTTAATCTATAATTGCCAGTGGCAGCCCGATAAACAGGAAAGTAATCATTCAATATCATCTTGATCACTGGGTTCTAAGCGACATTGGGTCGCGGCCATCGTTTTGCGATCATGATCACCCTCATTCTTTTTTCTCCACATGCCAGATTTTAGAGAGATTCCCAAAGACCCCAGACCCAGACACGTTTTGGGGCGTGTTGGCCTTGTGCAGCTTTGACATCGCTTTGTCGAAAAGCCAAAAGCTGATTTATCACAGCGCACAAAAGCGAAAAACCAATCTGGGGGACTGACTCCAGAACCTTCGAGTCAGCGATCTTTTGTGCTGGCAAATAGCGAGAGCACAGCCCGTTCAGTGCGCCCTTCCTGGCAAGGACAGACCTTGGGCAATTAAGCGCTTTTTAATGGGCTGACAGGCTCTCCGACGCTACTGAGATCGACCTGCGAGTGGGGGACCTTGACCGAGGCCAGGGCTGCGCAAGCGCAAAATACCTCAGATTTATAAGATACATGCATGTATCTTTCGTGCGTAAACCGAAACGTTT